ACCCGTACCAGGGATTTTTCTCAAAAACGCGATTACCTAAGAAGTTGCAATAAAAAATATGATAATAAAATCGTATATGAAGAATTCAATGCACCAGTTTTTATCACGCTGGTAACACCGGAAGTGAAAGGAAAATCATTAAATAATATCTTTGACAATGTTTGACATATAACCTCCATTACTAACATAACCTACATTTAAATGTATGTGGTGAAATAATCTAAGTCATACGTCCATATCTTGATTCATACTATTTTTAAGCGATCTGTCACTGCCAGCTCTCGTGGTTTCTACTATATTAATTTTTATATTGATTCCGGTTGCACTGATCATATTGTCTATGATAGGCAGTTTCTTGAAGATTTATTAATACTAAATAACCCAATCCAAACTGCTGAAAAACACCAATACATGAAACCAATAGGTGTAGGTAAAATTAAGGTATTTACTAAAATCAAAGGTAAAAACATTAATAATAATAATAATCGGTTGTACAGGTGTCCCGTTAAGGGTATGGAGCGGCTGTATCTCGACAACGGAAAAGCCTAGAGGTTTGGGAAAAAATCCTTATAGGCAAAGTGGCCAAGAGAAATAGCTGGAAATTATTTTGAAATTCGTAATTCGACCATTAGGGGATGTAACTGCCATTGAGAAACATAAAATCCCGCTATCTCAGAAACTAAGACGATGAGCTATAATTTTGACAACATCATTTAATAGCTTAGATAATACCGCTTCACTTTTGTTTTGCGATATTTTTCATATCTGTCATAATAAGGGAGGGGGAGGCCAATGCGTTTTTATATGTTTACATTTTTAAACATCAAAATAATTTCCAGCTATTTCCCTTACTCATTTTGCTTATAAGAATTTTTTTTCCAAACCTATAGGCCATACCGTTGTCGAGATACAGCCGCTCCGTACCCTTAATGGGACACCCTGTACAATTAAGAATGTATTTTATGTTCCAATGGCTCGAAGAAACCTTTTATTAGTTAATAGATTAATTAGATGCTGCAAATATAAAAATTGTAATTAGTAATAGTATGATTAAATTATATAGCAGAGAAGATTTAGTAGGTATAGGGCATTTAAATAATCTATACAGTGTGTCCGTAAAGTAACAGATATAGGCGATAAAATCATTACAAACGGTTTATGGTAAAATCCCTGAAACGGGTCTAAAGATTTAAATTTGTTGCAATTTTTTGGTATAAATTTTAAATTTTTTCCGCCATTTTTAAACGAGTATTTTTTTCAAATGGCAATATCCCATTTTTATTGCGGTATATGAAAAAGGATATTGTTCTGAATCCAGTACTGTCAATATTAATATTGGTTACATAAGAAAATTTTCGAGAAAAATTACTTTAAAGTTTAACTATTCAAATTTGCTTAATATGATAAAAATAGGTAGCAGTAGCCATGAGTAACTATGGTAACCAATCATTTGAAACAATTTTCTAAGTGTCAAAAAGTGATTTAGTATAGCTTGTTGAAGTGTGGTGGCGTGCCATCTTGTTGGAATAACTGCCGTTAGAATTGGGTTGGGTCAACATTATCGGAAAATCTGGCTGTTATGAAAGGAATGATATCGCTTTGAAAAAATCTAAAAAAATCTTCAAAAAGGTAATGACCCAGGACAGTATCCCGTACTATTTCGCTCCACACATTTGCAGATCTTTCATATTCCATAATAAAAATTGGGGGATTGGGGCCATTTGAAAAAAATATCGATGACGTCATACTAAAAAAACTGATTTTTATGTTTTTGAAATTGTTTCATATGTACAAGGAAACAGAAAAAGCTTATTGATGTGTGTCAAAATGGTTCTAGGCGATTAAAAACATCTCCAGAAAAGCTGAGGAAAATGAAAAAATTAAAAAAAATGACTTTAATGTTTTTTGAAATTGTTGCAAATGTGTCAGAAAATAGAAAAAGCTTATTGGTGTGTGTCAAAATGGTTCTAATCGATTAAATACATATCTAGAACAGTTAAGGAGGATAAAAGAATTAAAAAAACCGGATTTTTATGTTTTCGAAATTGTTTCATATGCACAAGGAAACAGAAAAAGCTTATTGATGTGTGTCAAAATCGTTCTAGGCGATTAAAAACATCTCTAGAAAACTTGAGGAAGATGCAAAAATTAGAAAAAATGATCTTAATGCTTTTTGAAATTGTTTCATATGTGCCAGGAAATACAAAAAGCTTATTAATGTCTGTCAAAATAGTTCTAATCAATTAAAAACATCTCTAAAACAGTTATGGAAGATGAAAGGATATTTATTTGTGAAATTATTATTAATAATTTCAATTTATTATTATTTGAAGTTAAAAATTAAACATTTTCGGCTATTTTACAATTAAGTCATTTTGGACTTACGCCCCTTTATCTCTCAGGTACAGAATTAAGTTATAAATGAAATTTAAAAACAAATTAATTAATCTAGGTTTTTGGCCGGGTGATAACTCAAAATTTGGTTTGATTTCGTTCCACGATTCATCCCACATTTCAAAACGCGATTATAACGATGCGGAAGAATCGAAAGAAGCCGTTCATCGACAAGGAATTTTAGCAAGTTTTTCTTGGTTAAACTCCCAAGCTAATAATTTAGGTTTTACAACATTCAACGAACTCACTTATCCACTTTTTACTCAAACGATTCTCACAAACGGACAACAATTTTCTTTCTATCTTTACCAATTAAACACTCTTCTTATTCATTCTAATTACGTCAAAGATAACCCGCAAAAAAATGTTTGTTATGCCACTCCAGAATTAAAACTCTACGAAGAAATCGTTGATGGAAAATTAATCGGTTTTAACGACGATGTTCTCAAGAACTTATTAAAGTTGTATTTAAACGAACCCGAGGAGCGTTTAGGTGTGAAAATGACGCCATATTTGAGTCAGGAAGAAAAGGTTTGTGCTGATTATAAAGATGTTGATAAAAGGATATGGTTAGAACGGGAATTTAAGTTTTTAACGTCGAATCGGCCCAGATATAAGTTGGATTATGAAGTGTACGCTTGGGAGAAAATTTATAAGATTGATCATGAAACGAGACCCATGGAGGCGAGGAGGAGACCTTTCGAACTTTTCCAAAAACCTAGTGATAGGAGATTAAATGATCGACAAGCATTTTATATCCCTAAAGTTTTAAGACCAAATTTGCCTAAACAAAAAGGTCGATATGCTAAAGAATATTTCCCTTAATTTTTTTAATTGTTTTTAGTTCAAGAAAAAGTATAAACAAAGAAAATAATTATTAAATTAATAAATGTTTGAAACGAAATTTATTTGAGGTTATGTTGAGTTTTATCCTTGTTCTACTTTACCGACATCATTTAACCCAAAAGATGGCGGTAGTGGTTATTGATTAAATTAACCGAATTAATTAATTAATGTTTTCTTTATTAAGACTTATTAAATAAGATTAATCTGATAATTCAATTTCCTCCACAATCTTTTCTTTTTTTGATTTTATCATTTTCGTCCATGGTTCTTTGTTTTGATAAAAATCAATAACCACATTGGGGCAACGAATATTAGCTTGTCTTGCTGGCACCAAATCCGCCTCTTTACAATCTTTCCACATCATTAAAAACATTAATTCACCACTTGCATCGGTTGCCCCAACGATTTTATCTGGATCTAATCCTCTATCAAATCCCCTCGGACGATTATCTTCAGTTATGTTTTTACGTTTTTCTATAATATCGTCTTTAAAATCATTTATTGGATTCAAAGTAGTTTCGTATTCTAAAATTAATTCGGGACAATCCAAATTTTCTTCTGGCTCCCAAGTATTATCTTCACTAAAAGACTTCAATCATTTTATGATGAGGTTATGTTTAATACTTACTCAGAATAACCTTTCCATTTTAAGAAATATTCGATTTTACCGTTTGTTATACGTTTATCTAAAACCTTTTCAACTGAAAACTCTTCCGGGACATCTTCATCACGCTGATTTTTTTTCATTTTTTAGGTTTTTTGATAAACAAATCCTAAGTTGTCCTTTTAGGTTATGTTTGAGATTTCTACTTTACCTACTTATTTAATAATAACGATAATTTATTTAATAAAGTCTCAAAAACAGAATTAACCCAAATAAAACGTTTTGAGTTTCGTTAACTAAACATTAATCAAATTTATGAGTAAAATTTATAATTAAAGAATACTTTTATTTTAATAATTATTAATTGACAGTTGGCATCACTTTTAAAACATAACCTCAAAATGTCGAAACAACAATCACACGAAATAACCCCAATTTTTATCTGTAAACCGGGTTTTTGTCCGGATTGCGGTACAATTTTACCTCCGGTGAGTGATAAAGGTGATGTAAAATGTTATTTGTGCGGTCAAGAGATGCCGATTGAAGGTAAGTCGCGTGTTAATCGCGTTACATTTTTTCTTAGGTTAAATTGTTGTAGTTTTTAAAGATAGCAAAGTACAATACACGATTCATTTTAATTCCGTTGAGGCCCTAACAAAAAATCACGACGAAAAAATGCGACAAAAGCAAGTTGAAAACGCTGATGAAGGTCCTATCGTAGATCGTAAATGTGTAAAATGTGGTAATGATAAAATGTCTTATGCTACGCTTCAATTAAGATCAGCGGATGAAGGCCAAACCGTTTTTTATACTTGTACGAAATGTAAACATAAAGAAAGTGAAAATTCTTAAATTAATAAAATTTGGAACGAAATTTATTTGAGGTTATATTGAATTTTATCCTTGTTCTACTTTGCCGACATAATTTAACCCAAAAGATGGCGTTGGTTTTTATTTAAATTAATTAAATTTAATAATAAGTTTCTCTCGCCCAATAACCATGAGGATGACTTCGTATTTGCCATTTCCTATATTCATCGAATAAAATAATAATTACCGCAAATGGGAAAGCATAAAGCCACCTAAAAGTGAAATTTAAAGTGTAAAAATTAACCAAATTAATTTTAAATGTACCATCTTAATTTAACGGGTGCAAATTTCAAATAAATCGTTCCTGGTGTGTAAGACAAAGCACAAGCAATAAGGGTTTCGATAAAAATGCTTAAAATTAACATCCAGTTCGAAAATAAACCTTGTTTTAATATCGAATTTCTTCTCGTTTTGCAAATAATGGCATCAGCCCATTGAGTAACAACTATGGCTATTAGGAATGCGGTGTAACAAGTGTATTGGAGATATTTTCGTTCTTTATACGTCCATTCTTGATCAAAAGAATCTTTTAAATCGTTTACATAAATAGAATCCCATTCAGTTCTTAAGCCTAAATTAATAAATTGTACTATAAGATAATATATTGTGTAGTTTTACCAATTAATCTTGATGGTAAAAACCCATATTCGGCCATAATCATGAAATATACAAAAAATCCAGCTAAACTTTCGATTAGCCCAATATGACCGTACGAAAAAAAATATAATTTTCCACAAACTAAGCTATCTGTTTTTGGATTTCTCGGCGGTCTACTCATTATATCCGACTCAGCATCTTCATAAGCCAAACTTATAGCTGGTAACATATCTGTAAGAACATCTATGCATAATACTGCTAAAACACCTAAAAAAAATAATTTAATTTTTATTTTGATTTAAGTTGGTAGTGTTGACATCTTGTGAAATGACACGTTGTCAAATTTTAATTTAAAATAAGTTAGTTTATTTACCTAAAGGAAGTGGTATTCCGAAAATGATAAAAGCCAAAAAGGGTGTTACTTCGGGTATATTCGAGGATAAAGTGTAAGCGATCGATTTTTTTAAATTATCGAAAATTTTTCGACCCTCTTCGACGCCGATTATTAACGACGCGAAGTTATCGTCTAAAAGAATCATGTCGGCGGATTGTTTGGAGACTTCCGTCCCGGCTATTCCCATCGCTATTCCTATATCCGCCTTTTTTAATGCCGGCGAATCGTTTACTCCATCGCCAGTTACAGCAACTGTTAAAAGAATGATTAAAATCAAAAAGAAATTGTGTTGTTGGGTTAAATTAATGTTACCAACGCAAATTTTACCGAAAAAAAAATACCCTAATTTTTTTGTTTGGTTAAAATGTACTATTGTTTATAAATAGTTTATTGATTTGTGGTTTAGATCTTATGAAAGGAATCGTCATTGTTTTTTAATCTAATCATAATCAATAGTTAGTGTTATAATTTATAGTTTGCGGTAGATTTGTCATGTTTTTAAATTGTTATTGTTTTTAGAGATAATTAATAACAGTGTGTACACAGCAATATCCGAGAAAACCTTTTTGGCACTAGAAGAACTTTTAGGTGCAATCGCCCATACATTTATTCTGATTAATATTGAGGCTAATATCGAAACAGGATCATAATCATAATTAATATAATTCTGAGCAATATACACTTAAGTAGGCTCAAATGAAAAAAGAAGCTGAGTATCATCAGCATACATATGCATATCGCAGTGATGCAACATACCAAAAAGATTACTAGTATAAATTAAGTAGAGAATTGAACCTAAGATAGATCCTTGAGGAATGCAACAACTTCATCAGATCACTCACCATCAAAAGATACTCTCTGTCTGCGATTCATTATGTAATGTTAAAAAAAAACGAAGGTATTGCGTGATATGGTTCTATGGTGGACTGTTCTATGAGGACTGCGAGTTCTTCTGAGAGGACAAAAAGAAATGATTCAAAACATCGACACCAACAGGAATATACTTTCAAGAATAGAACGCTGACTTGTATTTAGAATACTCATTTTCCTGAAACTACCACACAATTCCCGACTACTTCTGGTATTCAACATATACTCATAATTTTGAGTAAGCATCATCTCTGAGCTTTATCAACAGTTTAATGTTATCAGTTATCCAAGGACGAAAATTTTTCCTCGCTAAGATAACCCTAAGTCCTAAAGGGAGCGTAAAATAAGGCCAAAATGAAATGAACAAGTACACCTTGTAATCAATATTTTCAAGGTATATGATCTCAAAATGTTTAACATCTTTGAAGCTAATAGATCGTGGCTCAGAGTTAAGCCCACCTGCGAAGCCTAACTCTATACAAACTATCGCATGGCCCGCAACGTGATAAACAGACAACACAGCTGCGTCCAGCACTCGAGTATGAGAAGTTACAATTATATGATCAATAAGCGAGGCAGAAGTTGACGCAACCGTGGTCGCAGCCTCAATTACGTGACACAGACCAAAGGATTCAATAAAGGACAAGTATCGACTACGGTATGGTCCTAAGAGATCTAAAAGATCAATGTTAAAATCACCCAAACCGATCAAATTCTCTGTTAGAAGAACAAAGGAAGAGAGAGTAGCATCAAGGGTATCCAAAAAGGTAGGCATACCAGTATTATGTCTGTATGCCACCCTCACCATCATCACAATATCCTTGCATCCATTACCACCCCAAAACCGTATCCATCCCTAACATAAATATCAACACCTTCACCAGTACGCGTCATTCGAGCTATAAAAAAATGAGAGTATTGTTCGATACAAAATAAGGAATAATGATATTGTACGCTTCAGCAACAATTAACTCCTATCTTCATGAAAGAAGAAACCCAACAAACTTATGAATGTACTCTTAAAAACGAATTTAGACTATCAACAAGAATTTGAATCAACTCAATCAAACAATTGGCATATTATAAAATATAATGTCTTTAAACTAAACTTTGCCTTTTTTTAAGTACTAGAACTATTGAGGTCTTATATATAATCTAGAGTGCGTATGTGGTGGGGGTAATCAGAAAGTCAGACATGTTGGATTTACCGACCTGAACTTAGCTATAATTCAGGTATAGTATAGAGACAAAAAAATACCACTAAAGAATACTGCTTTACAACCCATATTTTTTTATGTTAAATACGTACTAAATTTCAAATTCTACGGTTTACTTACAGCCGAAATACAAAACATAATGTAAATTGTTGGCTCAACTTTGACAGCTCATAGCTCGAAAACAAACGAGTTGCGACCCTACGTTTATATAAAAAACTTGTGTTATTTTGGCAAGTACTACGTCCTAATATAGTTTCCCGATTAAAAACTGAACCATTCTGTATATAAGAATTTCAAATTTCCCGCTAAGTTGGTATATCTAACATGGCGACCTTTAGGAATTCATTTTTGGCGTGGTGGGGACAACAGCATACGCACTCTAGATTATATACAGGATGAGTTATTAATAATAATAATAAATAAATTTATTGCCATAATAAGAAACAAAAAATACAAATTAAACAAAACGTGAAGATACTTGGAGAGCAAATAAATGACGTTTTAGATGGTTTTTAAATGTCACAAAGTGAGGAATATTACGGATCTCAGTAAGCAGACTATTCCAAAGGGTTATCGCCTGCACAGTAAACGATTTATGGTAAATCTCGGTATTGTGGATCGGGAACATAAGCACAAGTCTTTGCAGTTTGTTTCGGAGTGTTACCAAAAGATCAGGATATGTCGTGTCACCTTAATCTATATGGGGGAAAATCAGAACGTCTTGCTGAAATCAAGGATGGTAACACAACGTTTGTCGCATGCATACCTAATATAATCTGTAATCTTAATAAGCGCTGTTGTCGTGCTATGACCTTTACGAAAACCCGATTGAAACTCGTTGTGCAAGTTAAATTCTTGCAAATGCTCTTAAACTTGTAGGTAAACAAGGCGCTCGAGAGCTTTGGATAGAACAGATAAAATGGAAATTGGGCGAAAATCATTTAAACTTGAGGGACTCTTGGATTTAGGTAGAGGGACAACATGAGCAACCTTCCAGATTGAAGGGAATGAGGATCCTTCAAAGAAGTTAAAAATGTGAGTAATAGGAGTAAAAACAATATCCAATATAGGGAGAAGAAGTTCCTCAAGTGATTCAAGGCATCGCGGACTTTTGACGCTGTGACCAGGACAAAAGAGAAAGAGGAGGATTTAGATAAGGCAAGAATTTCAGTAATAGTAGTCATCTTAGTCTCACCACTAATGAGCAGAGGAGGGTCAAACGCAAGCAGCCCGAACAGAAGGAGACTCAACCGGTCCTAAAGAAAACCTCCAAAATGTCCTCGGATTAGCATTCCGCTAGAAATAATTTTTTTTGGCATTCCTACATTATCTGCACAGTGTCTAATCTATTTCTTCCCATTCACTACTGCAATATTGCAAGATTCGGTTCATAGCTCTCAACACATTCTACATCTAGGATCAACACAATAAACAGATAATAGTAGTATGGCCAAAAAACACTTTATTTCTTCATTGGAAACTTGGAAATTAATTTTACCATATAGTGCATATAACGTCGTCATTTCTGCCAAAAAATGATATAATACTATCATCAAAAAAAGGCTCAAAGCGTTGTTGTTGCTTGCTAAAGCACGTTGTGACTAACAAAAAGCGTGAAGGGGAGTAAAACGGTGGTGTTCCGTTATTGGAACTGTGGGAATAAACGGGTTAAAAGAAGTTTTACTTTATTTTAAGTACTAGATCCACTGCCTCGGCAGCATGGCTACCTCGGCTTCTATGTGATGCATTTGTATTAAAAGAAGTTTTACTTAATTTTAAGTACTAGAACCACTGCCTCGGCTTCTATGCGATGCATTTGTATTATAAGAAGTCTTACATTATTTTAAATGCTAGAACCACTGCCTCGGCTTCTATGTGATGCATTTGTATTATAAAAAGTCTTACATTATTTTAAATGCTAGAACCACTGCCTCGGCAGCATAGCTGCCTTGGCTTCTATGTGATGCATTTGTATTATAAGAAGTCTTACATTATTTTAAATGCTAGAACCACTGTCTCGGCTTCTATGTGATGCATTTGTATATAAAAAGTCTTACATTTTTTTAAGTGCTAGAACCTCTGCCTCGGCGGCATGGCCTCCTCGGCTTCTGTGATACATTTGTATTAAAAGAAGTTTTACTTAAGTTTAAGTACTAAAACCACTGCCTCGGCAGCATAGCTGCCTCGGCTTCTATGTGATGCATTTGTATTATAAAAAGTCTTACATTATTTTAAGTGCTAGAACCACTGCCTCGGCAGCATGGCTGCCTCGGCTTCTATGTAATGCATTTGTATTAAAAGAAGTTTTACTTAACTTTAAATATTAGAACCTCAGCCTTGGCAGCAGCATGGCCGGCTTCTAAGTAATGCAATTCTATTAACAGTCATTTTACTTAATTTTAAGTACTAGAACTACTGCTTCGGCAGCATAGCTGCCTCAGCATGGCTATAACATNAGAAGTTTTACTTAACTTTAAATATTAGAACCTCAGCCTTGGCAGCAGCATGGCCGGCTTCTAAGTAATGCAATTCTATTAACAGTCATTTTACTTAATTTTAAGTACTAGAACTACTGCTTCGGCAGCATAGCTGCCTCAGCATGGCTATAACATTAATAGTATTAGTACGACTTAAAAATATTTTGTCCGTTATATTCGAAGTCCAAGTATTACTGTATTTCATTACCTATATGGCCTAATCTTTGACAACTTTCAACAATTTGCAACTTCTGTATCGGCGAAGTCCTAGCAAAAACAATTTCCCGATAATTACAAATCAAAGTATCCAAATGACTCGAATTTAATTCCCTCAATAAATTCCCAGTAACAATAACGGCTCGATCAAAATTCTTCGCTTTCAACTCATCGATACTCTTCATTTCAAAAATATTATTTTTCGTAATAATCCCAACGTCCTTCGCTATTGATTTGGCCGTAATCGGATGATCGCCAGTTACCATCAAAATTCTTATCCCAGCCGTTCGACATTTATGCACCGCCTCGGGCACCTGCGGCCGAGGCGGATCAAAAAGCGATATAAATCCGAGAAATCGCAACCCGGTTATTGGAAAATTCGGTTCGGGGTCTAAAGTAAAATCGTAAGTGCTGGTTATTGTGGTTAATTCCAAATCGGCGAAACCAAGAACTCGCTCCCCTTGAGCCGCCAACGTCATTACAGCCGATTCGCAGATTCTTCGAAATTTCTTATCGATCGTTTTAGTTTCGCTGTTCCAAAAAATCGTTTCGCAACGATCGAGAATTTGTTCCGGGGCTCCTTTCATTACTAATATACAGTGCATCGCTTCAAATAAATGGACGCTTAACTAAAAATTAAAATTAATTAATTAATTATAATTGGACCGCGTTATGCATTACTTGACTAAGCGAAAATTGAACAATGTTGAGAAAAACTAAAAATATGACTTCTCAGAATTATCAGACTCAAACTATTGCAAATTATTTGGTGCCTATCTATTTTTATCACAGAATCCGCTTGGTCAGCCATTTTACGATTATACAGGGTGTTTCTGTAAGTCGTGCCATAAATTTAATCACAAATACTAGAGTCAAAATGATGTTTCGTCTAAAAAGTTTTAAAGAAAATTATCTAGAGTTTGATTTTGTACTTTTCAACTGGTTACAATCTTGGTATATAATGATAGCCGAGGTCGCTTGCGGCCGAGGCAGAATATTTGAAACCTGTTTTACTTATTATAGCTTGTAAATATTAATTTTAGACAGTCTTGGTCATCGTATATCACACTCATCAAAGACAATCCTTCACCATCTTGGTATATAATGGTAGCCGAGGTCGCTTGCGGCCGAGGCAGAATATTTGAAACCTGTTTTACTTATTATAGCTTGTAGATATTAATTTTAGACAATCTTGTCCATCGTATATCACACTCATCAAAGACAATCCTTCATGATCATGGTATATAATGGTAGCCGAGGTCGCTTGCGGCCGAGGCAGAATATTTGAAACCTGTTTTACTTATTATAGCTTGTAAATATTAATTTTAGACAATCTTGGCCATCATATATCACACTCATCAAAGACAATTCTTCATGATCTTGGCATATAATCGCAGCCGAGGTCGCTTGCGGCCGAGGCAGAATATTTGAAACCTGTTTTACATATTATATCTTGTAAATATTAATTTTTAACAAACTTCGCCATCATATATCACATTCATCAAAGACAATTCTTCATGATTTTGGCATATAATCGCAGCCGAGGTCGCTTGCGGCCGAGGCAGAATATTTGAAACCTGTTTTACTTATTATATCTTGTAAATATTAATTTTTGGCAATCTTCGCCATCATATATCACACTCATCAAAGACAATTCTTCACGATCTTGGCATATAATCGCAGCCGAGGTCGCTTGCGGCCGAGTCAGAATATTTAAAATTTATTATTTTATTAAACTTATTATATCTTGTAAATATTAATTTTAGATCCTAGTGGCCATTATACAGATGTTTCTGTAAGTCGTGGCATAATTTTAATCACAAATACTAGAGTGAAAATGATGATGATTCGTATAAATTTTTTTGATTTAAACCTATAAATGACGAAGATATCATGAAGATGATGATGAAGATATGGGCCTTCAAAGTTAAGAAATTTTCAAACATTTTCTTAAATATTTTCAATATGGTTTGTCTTAGAAAGACTAAATTTGGCAAACAGTGCAATGTTACCATAAAAAATCGTTTAAGATCACTATTGGAAATATCGAACAACGGGATCAATGCTGTACAAGGTGTTCACAAAAGTTATTTCTTTAAAACTTTATTATTATGTCATAAAACTTTAAATTTTCTAAAACCTAAGATATTTAACCTTCTAAGATATTTAGAAATGTTTTTCTATCAGGTTGTCCTTACTAACAATTTGTTTCTTCAAAATGTTTTCTTCAGAAACTGAAATTTTGAAGTTTTTTGCAATCATACTATGCTTCTAAACATGACGTTTTTTTCTGTCCAAAACACTTAGCTTCTCAGCATGACGTTTTCATCTAGAAATAACCAGTATCTTTTTACGTTTTGCTTCTGCACATCATATAGTTCTTCTGCATCTTCACACAATACTATTTTTTATCAAATTTCTCCTCTAACCATGACATTTTTTTCTGCCCGAATCATTTTTGTGTCTCCACACCATATTTTCGTTCTACCCATGATATTTTGATTCTGCATAACCTGTTTAGGGTGTTAACGTAGATAATTGACANGTTAATATTATTTTTTGACAATCTTCCCCATCTTATATTACACTCATCAAACACAATTCTTCATGATCTTGACAAATAATCGCAGCCGAAGTCGCTTGTGGCCGAGGCAGAATATTTGAAACCTGTTTTACTTATTATAGCTTGTAAATATTAATTTTAGACACTCTTGGCCATCATATATATCACTCATCAAAAACAATTCTTCATGATCTTGGCATATAGTCATAACCGACGTCGCTTGCGGCCGAGGCAAAATATTTGAAACCTATTTTACTTATTATATCTTGTAAATATTAATTTTAGACAATCTTGGCCATCGTATATCACACTCATCAAAGACAATCCTTCACCATCTTGGTACATAATGGTTACATAATAGTGTTTCTGTAAGTCGTGACATAATTTTAATCACAAATATTAGAGTGAAAATGATGACGATTCGTGCAAAAATTTTTGATCTAAACTCATAAATGACTAACAATAAGATATGGGCCTTCAAAGTTAAGAAATTTTCAAACATTTTCTTAAATATTTTCAATATGGTTTGTCTTAGAAAGACTAAATTTGGCAAACAGTGCAATGTTACCATAAAAAATCGTTTAAGATCACTATTGGAAATATCGAACAACGGGATCAATGCTGTACAAGGTGTTCACAAAAGTTATTTCTTTAAAACTTTATTATTATGTCATAAAACTTTAAATTTTCTAAAACCTAAGATATTTAACCTTCTAAGATATTTAGAAATGTTTTTCTATCAGGTTGTCCTTACTAACAATTTGTTTCTTCAAAATGTTTTCTTCAGAAACTGAAATTTTGAAGTTTTTTGCAATCATACTATGCTTCTAAACATGACGTTTTTTTCTGTCCAAAACACTTAGCTTCTCAGCATGACGTTTTCATCTAGAAATAACCAGTATCTTTTTACGTTTTGCTTCTGCACATCATATAGTTCTTTTGCATCTTCACACAACATTATTTTCTCATCAAAATTTCGCCCCTAACGATGACATTATCGGTTTTTATGGTGTGTAGACATCTAACGTGTCTACACACCATATTTTCGTTCTACCCATGATATTTTGATTCTGCATAACCTGTTTAGGGTGTTAACGTAGATTTTTGACATTTTTTATTGTTAAATTGAAGCAGTTCTTACACGAAGTGTTACAAGTTTACAGGTTAAAATTTAAGAACGCTCTTTTTTAATAAAAGAAATATTAAGAAACTTGGGAAAAATTCAAGAATCATCATGTAGCTTAAAACTTGACGTTTTTTTTAATCAATGTGAAATGACCCAAAAAACACGTTAAAAATGAAAAGAAAGTGCTGAAAAGTGACTAACTTCAGTTATAAAACTTCTATTATATGATAACTAACTTCAGGTTTAAAATGTCAACCTCACTTTTGACGTATTTGTAATCTTTATTAAAAATCGTTTCAAATGAGTACAAACACGACATATTTATCTTCAATATTAATGAAGTTATGATCAACTTCCGGTTAGAAATGTCAACCTCAATTTTTGACATATTTGTAATCATCTTGAAAAATCCTTTAAAATGAGCCCAAACATGATACGTTTAATTCCAAGATTACTCGAGATATAAGCAACTTCCGATTTGAAATGTCAATGTCATTTTGATATATTCTTGATTTTTATAAAATGTCTTAATATTTTTAACAAAAACAAAATATAATTAAAAAAAAATCAAAAATTGAGGTTGGTATTAATATTTAAAAATTAAATTGCTAACTTCGGGTTTAATGTTTTTTATTCAAACTTTTTTGTTTTTTGAGGTAAGTGCGTCATCTTTGGACTCATTTTAAAGGTTTTTTAATGAAAATAACAAATATGTCAAAATTGACGTTGACGTTTCAAACCGGAAATGATTGTATCTCCATTAATATTAAAGTTATATATGTCGAGTTTGGACTCATCTTAAAGGATTTTTTATCAAGATTACGAATATAATAATAAAATTAAAGTTAACATTGACAACTGAAAGTTTTTTTCACGACTAAACCCGAATTTTTCTACACTCAGGTGCAAAAAAACGCAACAAGCTAATAGTTGGTAAAGTTTGAAATGTGATAACTTTTTTATTTTTCGTTCAATTTTCATGATTTTTTCAGCAAACTGTAGATAAAAATGTCTAATTTCATGTTCAATATCCAGCCTTTTGTTAAATGCTGGTCATTTAGTCGGTATACAGGGTTAATTGAAACGTCGTTCTAGGATCCTAATTTTAAAACACCCTGTGGAATAATTTAGTGTATAAATTGTTTCAAAATATAATTTTTGTTAAGAACCATTCCTTCCTTACATTTTGTTTTTTGGTTCATGTCTCTAAGTGCATTCGTTCATTTTTAAGAGCGAAATGAATTTGTCACTAACAATTTACTTAAGATACGTTACTTTTTAATGAGGTGGCCTTCTTCATTGTTATTCTAATGACAGTTGAACAGTGATTTTTTTGTACAGAAGATTAGTACCATGGTTTTAAGTGTTGAAAATTGCAATAAACCTGTTGCTCTTCTTGAAGATGGATTGATCGCTCCACTATTAAAAGAGTGGTAGAAAGTTTTACACAAACTGGAAGAAATAAGAGGAGGGCAGGAAGTGGTAGAAAACGAAAAACCACACCAGATAATAAACTTACTAGTTCTAGATCTAGTGTTAGTTCTAGTTTTAGTACAATAAAAATATAAAAACGACACTGGTCCGAAATTATAAGTTCATCTATTTTTTCTATAGCAGAATTTCTTGGTATATCTAAGTGTCGCATCTAAGTCGGTTCTTAGGACGTATGATGCAAATCGTATAACGTGATTGACGCTTAGCTTTATCCTTTAAAACAAATACTATTTTAGGTCTTTCAGTATTCTGCATTTTTTCTAAGATAAGTTACACTTTTACCTATAACACAGCATAAAAATCTTTAAAAACGTTAAAATGTCGCTTAGTCAAGTGATATATAACACGGTCCTATTAATTTGTAATTTAATTTACCTGAAATTTATTTGATGAACAAAAAGGCATTTCGATTAATTTAGGATGTAACCTCCGATACATTGAAGGTTCCCCATAACACTTGGTCATCTCGACAAACTTTAAAATCGCCGCTTCTGAAGCATCCCCAATCACCAATCTTTCCATAATCGGTTTTGAAACTTCCTGTTTATCAAATTCGGCCATGTTGCACAAAGTTGCGCATCGAATTAACATTTTAAATTCTGCATCGTGAAAGTATCGCTTTGCCTCGTTTTGTTCAACGGTTAAATCGGCCATTTGAATTTGTCCTTTATACCATAAATGGCACACGGTCATTTTGTTTTGAGTTAAAGTTCCGGTTTTGTCCGAGCAAATAACTGAGGTTGAACCTAAAGTTTCAACGGTCGGTAAAGTTTTTATTAAGCAATTTTTCGCTGCCATTCGTTTCGCCGTTACTGATAATGAGACGGTGACCGTTGATAATAACCCTTCTGGGACGTTTGCTACGATTATTCCGATTAAAAACATTGTGGATTCAATCCAACTGTATCCGATTATGGCACAAATGATCCCGAATATGATTCCGATGGAACAAGCCCAAACGGTGACTAATCGCATAAATTTTTTTAGTTCCAACGAAATTGGTGTGATATTCGGTTCTAATCGCGCTGTTAAACCAGCGATGTGCCCCATTACGGTGTCATCTCCAGTTGCAACAACGATTCCACGCGCTGTTCCTTCAACGGCGTTTGTTGAAAAAAGTGCCACATTTTTCGACTCTTGAAAATGACTACTCGTGCAATCTGGGCTTCGAAGAAGAGGTTCGCATTCTCCGGAAATCGGGGAATTATCAACTTTGAAGCTATGACTCGTTATTATTCTAACATCAGCTGGGATTCTATCCCCAAATTTTAACTCAACAACATCTCCTATTACCAAAAGCTTCGCTTGGATGTGATTTAATTTGCCTTCTCGGACTACATTCGTCGATAAAGGTAACATTTTCGAAAACGATTCCATTACCTAAAATTAAAAAACTTAAAATTAAACGTAGTATGCAACCAATATCACACTAAATATATCTTAATACGCATAATGTGATATTGGTTGCATATTTGCAATGATGACGTCGTGTACGTTAATTAATTATTAATTAACACGCTGTATTAATGAAAGTAATTAATTTCACTCACCATCGAACTTTTATGTTCTTGATAAAACATAAAACAACCAGTTAAAACGATAATAACAACCAAAACGCACCCCAACGTTAAATTATCAGTATCCAAAATTCCTTTCGAAAAATATTCGATTAAACACGATAAAAAACAAAGTCCAGATCCGACCCAAAGCAAAAACGAAAATCCTCCAGTTAATGTTTTAATAAATTTGATGTATTCCGGCGTTTTTGATGTCGGGGTGAGTTCGTTTAAGCCATTTTGACTCAATAATTCCTTCGCTTTAGCTTCCGTTAGTCCAGATTCGACGTTTGTACTCAATCGAGCGCATAATTCATCTATAACGTGATAAATAAACTTTAATTTATGTTTATGTTTGAATAAAAACCTATTGTTATGCTATGCGAATCCGAAACAACTTCCCTTTTAAATCTTTCGAGTCGTAATCGACTTAATTGTCGTCGGCTGTGTACGCGGGCTCTTCGCTTCATGTTAACACCTAAAAAAGGATTTAAATTATTTAGATTAGGAATAAAAAATAACAAAAATAAACGGAATTAAAATCTTTTTTGTCATTACATTGACAGTTAAAAATTTTATTAAAAATTTAGGTTGGTGTCATGAAACGTCAATTCATAATTTATTTATAACAATGTATAAAGAAAAAGAGAAAAAAAAGGGATTTTAAATCATTGAGATAACGAATAAAAATTAACAAATATAAAAGGATTTGTTAAAACTTTATTATGTGACACAAGATTTGATTTCAAAACATGATGTAACTAAATTCCCTGTTAACGTTGCCAACTGTCACAAATTTGACAGTTATAAAGATTTTAATAATTTATGTTTATTAATATTTGATAAATTATTTATATCGGGATTTTCATATAATTCGCAATATATAAATGCAATAACCATAGTTACGAATGCACTTGCACTATTCCACATAAAATGCAACATAGCTTAATAGTATTATTTATTGGGTAGTTTTGCAAAGGAAAAGTTTTGCTTGGAAAAGGTGACCTCCTTATAATAACTCTGAGTTTCCGTCTTAAGAAACGCATGGCTAAGCCCTACTTTTCATTCAATAAATATATACAACAATCTAGCGCTGAATAATAATTAAAACTAGAACTAACACTAGACCGACCCAAAGCAAGTGTTAAACATAGTGTTAGTTCTAGTTTTACACTTCCACTATCACTAGAACTAACATTAGACCTAGCACTAGAAATATTTGGGTTTAGCCGTACATCTCTAAAGACGGCTAAACCGGAATGATTCTAGTTTTAGGTGTAGTGTTAGTTCTAGTGTTAGTTCTAGTTTTACACTATCACAAGAACTAACACAAGACTTAGAATTAGAATCATTCGGGCTTAGTCGCACGTCTCTAAAGACAGCTAAACCCGAATGATTCTAGTTCTAGGTGTGGCATAGTGTTAGTTCTAGTTTTACACTTGCACTGTCACTAGAACTAACATTAGACCTAGAACTAGAAGCATTTGGGTTTAGCCGCACGTCTCTAAAGACGGCTAAACCCGAATGATTCTAGTTTTAGGTATAGTGTTAGTTCTAGTTTTATACTATCACTAGAACTAACACAAGACTTAGAATTGAAAGTGATAGTGTAAAACTAAAGACGGTTAAACTCGAATTATTCTAGTTCTAGGTGTGGTATAGTGTTAGTTCTAGTTTTACACTATCACTAGAACTAACATTAGAACTAGAAATATTTGGGTTTAGTCGTACGTCTCTAAAACCCTCTAAAGGCCCGAAACTTTCTAGTTCTAGGTCTAGTGTTAATTCTAGTATTAATTATTATTCAGNTATTCCTGTCTGCATAGATATTCTTCGTGTCTTTCTGCCTTCACGTGTATTTGGTTTCGATTGTCCATATTTAACTCGACTATAATGTTTTTTATATCTGGGTGCACATTTTTCATCTTGAAAAGGCTCACTACGTCTGGAAGTGCTATAAGGTCAAAAATATTCGTAAGATATGCTGTTTTGTTGTATTCTATAGATTTTTCCACAATCTGTGTGATTGCAAATATGGCGTCTACAGTTGACCTGTTCTTCCTAAAGCTTTGTTGTTCTTTGTTTAACCCATGAGAATTTCTTCTTCCAGGATGTGTTCAGTTTTAGCTCTGAACCTAATAGCGTGATTCCCCGATAGTTTGCTAGGTCTTTTTTACTTCCTTTCTTACACACTATAAATCATACTTCACAGTTTCTTTCCATTCGGTTGATATCCTCCTGCAATTTATGATTTTCTTAACAGGTTCAAAGGTTCAGGTTTTGTTAAAGAGTACCTACGTGCAGCTCTTTAGTGCTAAAGTTTCCTCCTCCATTCCATTCTATTTTTTATACCAGGACACTGTCTCCAATTCAGGCGGGCATTAAGATCTCCTAGTATGATCACCTCATCTTGTTTTGAGATGTCATTTAGTACCGCCTGAAGGTTCTGATAGAATTGATCTATTTCATCTTTCGGATTGCTATTATCCTGGTCATAAACGCTTACCAGATGCGTGAGTTTAGACTTCTAGAAGCTGATGGTCACCCAAAGTATTCTATCAGAGAGATATTTTCTGTCGTCGATTTTATCTTGGACCCTTTCGTGCAAGAATAATCCGACACCAGATGCTGTTTTTTCATTCTTATCTTTTCCGTTATAAATACAGATGTACTCGCCATATTTTGTGTTCTCCATGCCTTTCTTTTTGCTTTCTGAGATTGCAAATATATCCATGTTATGTCTTTTTACCCCCAGCAGCACTTCGTCATCCTTATTTTTCATGGATGTCACATTCCATGAAACACATTCCATAATTTAGGTTGGTATCATTTTAACCCCTAAAATTTTATTTGAATTGTCAAACGTCAATTCACAATTAATTAAATACATTATAATAATAATTTTCAAGTTGGTTGTTCATTTCTGATCATTTATCATTCATTTATTTATGATAATCTCATTCGGTAAGCTTTTTAATTATTTTTAGAAAATCATAACCTAACTTTTTTTGGTTACATTATCATAAGTGCATTTATAAATAAAATTGGTTGTCATTACATTGAGTTAAGAATATTAATTTTAATTAAAAATTAATTTTGATTCTACAAAAGCTTTTTTTGGTAAAAATAATTAATTAAATTTTTTATCGAATTTAATTTTATAATAATTTAGGTTGGTATTATTTTAACCCCTAAAGTTTGTTTGAATTGTCAAACGTCAATTTATATAACCTAACTTTTTGTTTACATCATTATTACAAATGCATTTATAAATAAAATCGTATTTTTTTATAGGATGAAAGAAATCATCTCCCCCATGATCTCATCCGTTCTATTTAATTCCGGTCGAAGAAAAAAAACGACTCAAAGGTAAATTTAAAGCAAAACCGCCGAGGTAGGAGGGCCTCTAGGAAGACACCTTCTTCTTCCCACCTCTTTGCGTTGCTGGGGGCCTCGCTGCTACCACCTTCGCTTCCCAAAGGGGGACTAGACGAAGACACAACAACCGTAAAAGGATGATAGGTGAGCCGCTTTCGTTTTTCTTTTCCTTCGTCTTCTTTGCCGCCGCACCTCTTTGTATGGGGTCCTTCTTTTTAATAGAGACGAACCACCCGCGGCCGTCCAACGGGTTTATTCGGATCGCGGTGATTATGCGTGGGGGGCCGAAAACGAACTGGCCAACTGTTTTAACATGTGTTTGAGGTTTTTATTTTTTTTTAATACTTTTTTTGGGTGATTCTTTTTGTGAATGCGGTAGAAAAAAAAGTTAACACCGTTCTGGTCGAATTTGTAGGGGACCGTAGCTGCTACTACCACTTTGGAGGTAGGCTTAGAAGAGAAGTCGACTTGGTTTCTTTTCTTCTCTCTCTTTCGGGTCTTCTTCTGTTAGAAGAGAAGAGGAAGAGTTCGGGTTTAGAGGTCTTTGAATTTAGATGAAAAAGAAGTAGGAGTTTGTTGTTGATTAAAGGTGGAGGAGAAGCGAAGATGAGAGATTTTTAAGAAAATTATTTATTTCAATTATTATTCAAATTATCTTTTGGGTGAGTTAATTTCTTTAATTATCTCTTTATTCTTTTTATCATCAAAGTAAATCTTGGCGATTATTTCAAATTTAAATATGTGGCGTGATTTTTTCGTCTCATAATTTCTTACGCAACAAAACCCGCGGATTATATGATACAATATTTAAAAAAAAACCCGATCGTGTGTTTTATCGTGTTATTGATGTTATAGATAAAATTGTCTAGACGGAAATGTGGAATTTGTACTTAACTTCTACGTCGTTGTTGATTAAAAATAGGTTATGATCTGATTTAGATTATTAATCGAGCGATCCACGTGGTTTTCGATTATGTATACTTGCATCATTTAAAAAAATTAATTACAGCAACAATTTAATTAAGTCATATTTAAATAATATTTTAAATTGAGCCAATTTCCCGCCGAAAAAACCTCCCTTCGTATTGGTCCTTACGACCGTAATGGCCACTAAAAAACGGTAACCAAGCAACCCGATTCGCAAAATCAGCTGGTGACAGATGTCAAATTTAAATCGTCGAAAAGTTGTTGGTGAGAAGATCAAATAATGCAAATTTGGTTAAAATCAGGTAGAATATAAATAAAATAAACGTTAAAGTAGAATATATTCGTGAAACGTATAAAAAAAAGTTTCAAATTTAAATAAAATATTTCTCAAGGACATCGTACATGACGTTAGTATGAATTATATAAGTTGGTAACACTTCTTAAGCAAACTCCCTAAAACATTTATTTGAAACGTCAAACGTGAACTTTGAAAAATCGTTTAAAATAAGAACTATATAAAGAAATAACCACGATTAGAAATGATTTAAGGTTAGTATTTAGTACTTTATCGTTTTTATAACAATAATTTTATTCAGAAACTCGAAAATTATTTTTGTTTTTTTATGGTTGGCAATAAATAATTTGACGTTTACTGAAAAAATAAGTCAATAATTACAAATAGTTAAACAAAACGTTACGTTAAAATGGCGGATAATAACGAATAAAATTAATATGACGTTTACAAAGTGAGGTTAGGTTTTATGTTTGTGCATAATCACGTGGGAAATTAAAAATCCTTTAATTTGAGTCCAAACACGACCCAATTATCTTAAAAAACACCCGAGATACCTCACATTTAATTTTGACATAACCTCAAAAAAGTGATAACCGGAAGTTGGTGTATGTTGTTTTTTTTTTAGATAACTTGACCGAGTTTAGGCTCATTTTAAAGGGAATTTAATGTAGATTACGAATACGACGTTAGATTAATCAAATTCGATAATAATAAAAACAAAATGGAAGATGATTTAAGAGAAATGATTCGATTTCAACGAAATTAAATTTGCCTGGTATTTTTAGATCTAGAAATAAAGAATTTTATTATTATTTAATTAATTATTATTAATCAAGATGGCGAAAAATATCAATTTGACGTACAAAGTGAGGTTAGGTCCTTTTTTTTTATTCATAATCGGGTGGGGAATTAAAAATCCCTTAAATCGAGTCCAAACACGACCCAATTATCTTAAAAAACACCCGCGATATCCCACATTTAATTTTGACATAACCTCAAAAAAGTGACAATCGGAAGTTTGTTATCTTTTAAGATAACCCTATCAAGTTTGGGCTCGTTTTAAAGAGAATTTAATGTAGATCACGAATACGATGTTGGATTAATCAAATTTGATAATAATAAGAACAAAATGGCGGTTTATAAAGAAAAAATGATTCGATCTTAACGAAATAAGTTTTTTAGAAGTTTAATTAAGGTTTTAGATCTAAAAATAAAGTTTTTCGTTATTATTTAAAAGTATAAGATATCACTATGATGCATATTTTTATTGAATTAAAACTAGAACTAACACTAGACCTAGAACTAGAATCATTCGGGTTTAGCCGTCTTTAGAGACGTGCGGCTAAACCCAAATGATTCTAGTTCTACGTATTATAGTGTTACATTTTTGGGCTCACTTCATTAATATTGAAGATAAATACGTCGTGTTTGTACTCACTTTAAACGATTTTTAATGAAGATTACAAATATGTCAAAATTGAGGTTGACATTTTACACCTGAAGTTAGTTATCATATAATAGACAAATGGACAACTTCATGGCGTTCTTTCATAATGTTTCATTTATCTCAAGAGATAAAAAGATTGAATAAAAAACATTAACCTAGAATGTTTTTAGTTCTAGGCATTGAGGTCTTATATATAATTTAGAGTGCGTATGTGGTAGTGGTGGGGGTAATCAAAAAGTTAGACATGTTGGATGTACCGACCTGAACTTAGCTATAGTTTCAAGTCTCTATTGTACCTACAATTATAACCTCACAATTCTCATAAACATAATGTTATTTTTGTTAAAATTTTATTTTTGTTGAAGATTTTCGAATTCTTTTTGTTTCACATATGTTGTTTATAATTTGGTAGGTTGGAAGATTATTTACAACAGCCCATAAAATGTTTCTGGTTATTTAACTTGAAATTAACAATGAAGTTCAAGTAAAGTTTGTTATTAAGGAATGTTCAGTTCTTTTAAAATAAACTAACAATTATTTATAAGCAAAAGGTTAACGTGATCAATCAGAATTGTTTTAAATATTTTCTCTTAGTTTATGTTAATTATAAGGGTTTTGTTAAAAATTATTAAGTTCTTTTAAAATATTATATAATTAATAATTATTTGTTAATAAAAACTTAATGTGTTTTGTTTTGGTTATTATTTTCTGTCTTTCCAGTTTATAATAATGTAAATTCTTGCATAAGTATATATAACAATTTCGAATTTCCCTCTAAGTTGGTACATCTAACATGGCGACCTTTCTGGCTTCATTTTAGGCGTGGTGGGGACAACAGCATGCGCACTCTAGATTATATATAAGACCTCAATGGTTCTAGCTCTAGTATTAGTTCTAGTTTTACACTAGCATTATGACTATAAGTAACACAATACCAAGAACTAGAAACATTCGGGTTTAGCTGCACGTCTCTCAAGACGGCTAAACCCGAATTGGCATTAATCAAATTCAAAATGGCATTAAACAAAACCAATTAGACAACTGTCATAATCAAATTGGCATTAATCAAAATCAAAATGATATTAGTCAACATCAAATTGGCATTTAATAATTTTATAAAACAGTCTTTGATTCTTGATTAACGTTTTAAACGCATAATTTTATACTTGGTAATAAACAATATTGTTAACTCAAAAGATTACAACCTCCATATTTAAAATAGAGGTGATGTGCTTTTGAATTCCGGCTATAAACTTGTTTCAGTGAAATTTTCTAATTTTCGAATTCTGTACTCTGTTTTCTTGGTCATTTCCCTCCAAAATACTATAAGGACTTAGTCTTACAAGTTTCTGGTGACAAAATTATTGTTCTTCAACACCACAATGACAAGGAGCATTATCAATGAGTAAAGCCACTGAACATTAGCTATCTTAAGCTCCTTAAGCATTGGCTAACAAACTCATTAGACCCCTTCTTAATTCATGATAAATCAATCCCAAGCTACTGATACATCTGATAAGATGAACATTTGCTCCCCGGCTACTGGCAGAAATTCATTTCGTAATGTTTCTTGCACCTGCTTAAGTATGATTAGGATTTTCTTCAACTTTCATCTGTAATTTTTATTTTCTGTTTCCTTCTCTTGGGTTTTCTTCTTTTTCTTCTTGATTTTTTACCCATCTCAATTATTCTTTTTGCAACGCCAAGAATTCCAGCTAAATTCCACCAGACGCAATTCGTATTGTAAATGGCACAAATTTTCTGCTTCCTTTTTCTTAATATAAGGCATTTTGTAGATAGTTTGTTAACAGTAACAATTTTAATGTCATTTTAATTAATGCCAATTTGATTATGACAGTCGCCATATTGGTTTTGTTTAATGCCATTTTGAATTTGATTATTTTGACGGTTTAAACCAAGGACAGTAGAATCTACTGTCCTTGGGTTTAAACATTAAAGTGACAGATTGAGTTGCAAATGTCACTTATGTAATTTCTGAGACGTATAAAAAAAGCTTCAAATTTAAATAAAATATTTCTCATCGTACATGACGTTAGCTCCTTATTTGTATACATTAGGAAGGACGAAGTCATATAAGTTGGTAACACTTCTTAACCAAACTCCCTAAAACATTTATTTGAAACGTCAAACGTCAATTTTAAAATAAGAAATATTTAAAGAAATAACCAAGATTCCACATAATTTAAGGTTAGTTTTAGTACTTTATCGTTTTTATAACAACAATTTTATTCAGAAACTCGAAAAACTAATTTAATTTATTTTTAGAAAAAAACATAACCTTACTTTTGACATTCAATTAAACAATGTCATTGACGTTTTAATGAAAATTGCATCTTTTTTACGTTTACAAGTTTATCTAGCATAAACTTTATTGTGTTCTTAAAAAGAATAAAGCAATTTCGTCGTAAATCCACTATTTTTGGAACAATTCATAAAGAAATACGATTTTTTATTGCAAAAAGGAAAAAACTGGACACGTATTCAAACCGTGGTGTTTTATGCCGTTTAACGGTTGGTTGTGTTTGATTTTACGTTAAAAACAAACACAAACGTCTTTTAAAAAAGTCGTCAATTCGCCGAGAACGTTGCAAGATAAATATCGAAGGTTAGAGGTTAAGAATTATGTGGGAAAATCCCGATTCATTTCGTTTAAAATGATTATGTCGATTTTGATGATGCCCGATTTTATTTATCGACGACCTCCAGCGGATTTCGACCGGTTTTTTAATAAGATAATCGAGGTCAAACTTAATCAGAATTAGTTTTTACCTAAATGCATTGTGTTTTAATCAATATTCTAATCTAATTCTTATAGGTTTTAGAAAATACTTGTTTTAAGGATGAGTTGACACAGTGGAGATGATTTGACACAGTAAAGGAGTTGTTTTATCTTAAACCCAAGCCGAATATAACCAGTATCTTGAAAAATATTAAAAAATTATTCCATTGCAAAGAACCTTTGAACAAAATAATTTTTTTGCAAGGTTAATAATAGATTACAATCATTGAAAAAAACATGGAAATCTCCCCGTTGACGTCAGCGAGAGTCTCCTCGAACGAGTACTTTTTTTACTGCTTACATCCACATCCAAAAAAACAGAAATGATAAAAACGTTATAATAATAATTTAATTTAAAAAAAATTGTTGACTTTGAAGCGGTTTAATCGCGGACCCCTTTCACGTTCGCCAAAAAGATAACGCGAGTCTGTGGACTTTGTCACGTTGGATTCACTGTAAACACACACATTTAGAGAGAGAAAAAAGCGAACATTTTTATTTGTTATTTTAAAGTTTCTAGATTATTGTTTTAATTTATTAATTTTGCATTAATCGATCTATATTGAAGTGGGTCCAGACCTAAGTCAATAATTCACACACCTTCGAACTCTTTGAACTTTAAACGTTCAATTTTTGGCACATAATGTTTATTGGAGGTATTCAATTAAATTATTGCCGTTTAATCGATGTGATTCTTATTTAAATTTGTTATCACAAAAATTTTTTAATTTATCCAAATTTAAGTTGGTAGTATTAACATTTGACATCTTAAATGACATTTAAAATTAAAAATTTTCCCCACAAAACATTAATTTATAAACCGGAAATTAAATTTTAATCAATTTAATTAGTGATTAGTAAATACAAGTTGTTTTGTAACCATCTTTTTCATTCAAAACTTTTTATTAACGACATTAACGTAAGTAACAATCAATAGTTGTGGATTATTTTTGTATTTTTAATCTAATCAGATCATTTTGTACTATTAAATCTTAATGAATGCTTCATCCTTTTAATCAAAATGATTAAGAAGCAACACTTGACTTTTAAACTTATTTATAACGAGAATATTTTGACCATCGAGGTTAATTTGTTTAATTTGTAGGTAGATAAGTCACTTATTTGTTGAATCATTTACAACTATTTTACAAATTTTTGTTTAAATCAAAATAAATCGGCGTTTTATGCAATGTAATTGTCAGTAAATATGTTATGTTTAAAATGAGTGTGTGTATTTTCGAACTGATAACGTTCTTCGGTTAAAATAAAAAGATGTTCAACAGTGCGCCAAGATGAGACGCTAAACTGCCGTTAACCGGTTAACAAGACAAGAACATCACGGCCGATTTTGATAACGGACGTAAAACTCGTTTTATTTAGATCACAATTTATAGAAATATAATTCAGTTCAGAAAATAATAAGAAAAACAATATTTTATGCTTAGAATCAAATTACTCATCTAAAATGTCAAAGTGACAAGTTAAAACGTCAAATTGACACTTTAAAATGTCAAAGTGACAGCGTAAAACAGGTTATGATGTGGAAATAAAAACTTTAAGCCAAAATAAGTAAATAATGTGCCTAAATGACATGTTTAAATGTTAAAGTAATGAGTTATATAGGTAAAATGATAAGAGGCGGTGTCAAAATGATAGGTTATGGTGTTGAAATGAAAACTTTAAATCAAAATAAGTAAATGAAGTGTCAAACTGATAAGTTAAAATGTTAAAGTAATAAGTTACATAGTTAAAATGATAAGAGAAGGTGTCGAAATGATAAATTTATGTCAAAATGATAGGTTATGGTGTGCAAATGACAGCTTTAAGAAAAAATATAAATATATAAAGTGTCAAAATGACACGTTAAAATGTTAAAGTAATAAATGTAACTTATGATTAAGTAATTAAAATGATAAGTTTATGTCAAAATGATAGGTTATGGTGTCGTAATGATAAGTTTATGTCAAAATGATAGGTTATGGTGTTGAAATGAAAACTTTAAGCCAAAATAAGTAAATAAAGTGTCAAAATGACACGTTAAAATGTTAAAGTAATAAGTTACGTAGTTAAAATGATAAGAAAAGGTGTCGAAATGATAAATTTCTGTCAAAATGATAGGTTATGATGTGCAAATGACAGCTTTAAGAAAAAATAAGTAAATAAAGTGTCAAAATGACACGTTAAAATGTTAAAGTAATAAATGTAACTTATGATTAAGTAATTAAAATGATAAGTTTATGTCAAAATGATAGGTTATGGTGTGGAAATGACAGCTTTAAGAAAAAATAAGTAGATAAAGTGTCAAAATGACACGTTAAAATGTTAAAGTAATAAGTTACGTAGTTAAAATGATAAGAGAAGATGTCGAAATGATAAGTTTATGTCAAAATGATAGGTTATAGTGTAGAAATGAGAGATTTTAGTCAAAATAACTATGTAGATAAATTGTCAAAATTATTATTATTATAAAATGTCAAAAATTATACATTTGAAATATGTTAAATTGATACATTATGTTTTTTATTAACTGTTTGATGCCAAAATGATAAGTTATAATTTCAAAATGGCAGCTTTCAGCTAAAATAACTAGATAAATTGTCAAAATGTCAAGAGTTGTTCATTCGAAATATGTTAAGTTGATAAATTATGTTTTTTATTAACTGTTTGATGCTAAAATGATAAGTTATAATTTCAAAATGACAGGTTACAATGTCAAAATGACAAGATGAGATGTTTGATAAGTTAATGTTAAGCTTAAAAAAAAATAACGAAATGAAATGTTATAATGATAAGTTGAAACGTTAAAATGTCAAGTTATGTATTCGACGTAATGTCAAAACGTATTATAAAATGTCAAAAAGTTAAGTTAAAATGTCATAGTGAACGGTAAAAAAACAAAATATAAGATAAAATGTCGAAATGGCAACTTTAAGTTATGTTGGCAGGTTACAATGTGGAAATGATAACTTTATTAAAAAATAATAAGATGAAATGTCATAATGACAAGTTAAAACGTCAAAATGTTATGGTGACATGTTCAAAATCAAAATGATAAGATAAAATGTCGAAATGATAACTTTATATTATGATAACAGGTTATAATGTGGAAATGACAGCTTTATAAAACAATAACAACATGAAATGTCACAGTGACAAGTTAATATGTCAAAATGTTAAGTTAAAATGTTATGGTGGCATGTTCAAAATCAAAATGATAAGATAAAATGTCGAAATAATAACTTTATATTATGATAACAGTTTAAAATGTGGAAATGACAACTTTATAAAACAATAACAAGATGAAATGTCATAGTGACAAGTTAATACGTCAAAAAGTTAAGTTAAAATGTCATGGTGACATGTTCAAAATCAAAATTATAAGATAAAATGTCGAAATGATAACTTTATGTTATGATGAGAGGTTGTAATGTGGAACTGACGGCTTTATAAAACAATAATATTATGTATTTGACGTAATGTCGATACTTGTCATAAAACGTCAAAATGTTAGGTTATGTATTCGACGTAATGTCAATACTTACCACAAAATGTTAAGTTAAAACGTCATAGTGACAAGTTAAAAAATCAAAATGATAACTTTATGTCAAGATGACAGGTTATAATGGGGAAATTACACCTTTATAAAAAAATAACGATATAAAATGTCATAATCACATGTTGAAACGTCAAAATGTCAAGTTATGTATTCGACGTAATGTCAATATTTATCATAAAATGTCAAAATGTTAACTTAAAATGTCATAGTGACAAGTTAAGTCAAAATGACAAGATAAGATGTCGAAATAATAAGTTTATATTATGATGACAGGTTATAATGGAGACTGACAACTTTAAAAAAAATAACTATGAAATGTCATAATGACAACTTAAAATGTCAAAAGTTGTCATTCTCCATTATAACCTGTCATCTGTCAAAATGACATTTTAAAATGTCAAAGTGACATTGTAAAACGGGTTATGATGTGGAAATGACAGCTTCAAGCCAAAATAACTCGATAAAGTGTCAAAATAACAAAAGTTATACGTACGAAATATGTAAATTGATGCATCATGTTTTTTAGTAACTGTTTGATATCAGAATAACAAGTTACAATGTCAAAATGGCAAGATGAAATGTCACAATGACAAGTTAAAATGTCACGTTATGTATTCGACGTAATGTCAATACTTATCTAAAATGTCAAAATGTTGAGTTAAAATGTCATAGTGACTAGTTAAAAAATCAAAATGACAAGATAAAAATGTCAAAATGATAACTTTATGTTATGATGACAGGTTATAATGTGGAAATGACAACTTTATAAGAAAATAATTCTATGAAACGTCAATGACATGTTGAAACGTCAAAATGTCAAGTTATGTATTCGACGCAATGTCAATACTTATCATAAAGTGTCAGAATGTTAAGTTAGAATGTCATAGTGACATGTTAAAAAATCAAAATGACAAGATAAAATGTCAAAATGATATCTTTATGTTATGATGACAGGTTATAATGTGGAAGTGACAACTTTATAAAAAAAAACTATAAAATGTCATAATGACATGTTGAAACGTCAAAATATCAAGTTATGTATTCGACGTAATGTCAATACTTATCATATAGTGTCAGAATGTTAAGTTAGAATGTCGTAGTGACAAGTTAAAAAATCAAAATGACAAGATAAAATGTCGAAATGATAACTTTATTATGATGACAGGTTATAATGGGGAAATGACAGCTTTTTAAGAAAATATATTTATATGAAATGTCATAATGATATGATAAACGTCAAAATGCCAAGTTATGTATTCGTTGTAATGTTAATACTTATCATAAAATGTCATAGTGACAAGTTAAAAAATCAAATTAATAAGATAAAATATCGAAATGATAACGTTGTTATGATGACAGGTTATAATGGAGAAATGACGGTTTTATAAAAAAGTATATGAAATGTCATAATTACATGTTGAAACGTCAAAATGTCAAGTTATGTATTATAAAATGTCAAAAACTTAAGTTAAAATGTCATAGTGACAAGTTAAAAAATGAAAATGATAAGATATGATGTCGAAATGATAATATTGTATAATTATAACCTGTATGATGATAGGTTATAATGGGGAAATGTCAACTTTATAAAAAAATAACTATGAAACGTCATAATGACAACGTAAGAAGTCAAAATGACATTTTAAAATGTTAAAGTGACATCGTAAAACAGGTTATGATGTGGAAATGACAGCTTCAAGCCAAAATAACTCGATAAAGTATCAAAATGTCAAAAGGTGTATATTCGAAATATGTCAAATTGATGAGTTATGTTTTTTATTAACTGTTTGATGTCAAAATGACAAGTTAAAACGTCAAAATGTCAATTTATGTATCATAAAATGTCAAAAACTTAAGTTAAAATGTCATAGTGACAAGATAAAAAATAAAAATGATAAGATATGATGTCGAAATGATAACTTTGTATAATTATAACCTGTATGATGATAGGTTATAATGGGGAAATGACAACTTTATAAAAAAATAACTATGAAACGTCATAATGACAACTTAAGAAGTCAAAATGACATTTTAAAATGTCAAAGTGACATCGTAAAACAGGTTATGATGTGGAAATGACAGCTTCAAGCTAAAATAACTTGATAAAGTATCAAAATGTCAAATGTGTATATTCGAAATATGTCAAATTGATGAGTTATGTTTTTATTAACTGTTTGATGTCAAAATGATAAGTTAAAACGTCAAAATGTCAATTTATGTATTATAAAATGTCAAAAACTTAAGTTAAAATGTCATAGTGACAAGTTAAAAAATGAAAATGATTAGATATGATGTCGAAATGACAACTTTATAAAAAAATAACTATGAAACGTCATAATCACAACTTAAAAAGTCAAAATGACATTTTAAAATGTCAAAGTGACATCGTAAAACAGGTTATGATGTGGAAATGACAGCTGCAAGCTAAAATAACTCGATAAAGTATCAAAATGTCAAAAGGTGTATATTCGAAATATGTCAGATTAATGAATTATGTTTTTATTAACTGTTTGATGCCAAAATGACAAGTTAAAACGTCAAAATGTCAATTTATGTATTATAAAATGTCAAAAACTTAAGTTAAAATGTCATAGTGACAAGTTAAAAAATGAAAATGATAAGATATAATGTCGAAATGATAACTTTGTATAATTATAACCTGTATGATGATGGTTATAATGGAGAAATGACAACTTTATAAAAAAAAATAACTATGAAACGTCATAATGACAACTTAAGAAGTCAAAATGACATTTTAAAATGTTAAAGTGACATCGTAAAACAGGTTATGATGTGGAAATGACAGCTTCAAGCTAAAATAACTCGATAAAGCATCAAAATGTCAAAAGGTGTATATTCAAAATATGTCAAATTGATGAATTATGTTTTTTATTAACTGTTTGATGTCAAAATGACAAGTTAATACGTCAAAATGTCAATTTATGTATTATAAAATGTCGAAAAGTTAAGTTAAAATGTCATAGTGACAAGTTAAAAAATGAAAATGATAAGATATAATGTCGAAATGATAACTTTGTATAATTATAACCTGTATGATGATGGTTATAATGGAGAAATGACAACTTTATAAAAAAAAATAACTATGAAACGTCATAATGACAACTTAAGAAGTCAAAATGACATTTTAAAATGTTAAAGTGACATCGTAAAACAGGGTGGAAATGACAGCTTCAAGCTAAAATAACTCGATAAAGCATCAAAATGTCAAAAGGTGTATATTCGAAATATGTCAAATTGATGAATTATGTTTCTTATTAACTGTTTGATGTCAAAATGACAAGTTAAAACGTCAAAATGTCAATTTATGTATTATAAAATGTCGAAAAGTTAAGTTAAAATGTCATAGTGACAAGTTAAAAAATGAAAATGATAAGATATGATGTCGAAATGACAACTTTATAAAAAAATAACTATGAAACGTCATAATGACAACTTAAAAAGTCAAAATGACATTTTAAAATGTCAAAGTGACATCGTAAAACAGGTTATGATGTGGAAATGACAGCTTCAAGCTAAAATAACTTGATAAAGTATCAAAATGTCAAATGTGTATATTCGAAATATGTCAAATTGATGAGTTATGTTTTTTATTAACTGTTTGATGTCAAAATGACAAGTTAAAACATCAAAATGTCAATTTATGTATTATAAAATGTCAAAAACTTAAGTTAAAATGTCATAGTGACAAGTTAAAAAAATGAAAATGATAAGATATAATGTCGAAATGACAACTTTATAAAAAAATAACTATGAAACGTCATAATGACAACATAAAAAGTCAAAATGACATTTAGAAATGTCAAAGTGACATCGTAAAACAGGTTATGATGTGGAAATGACAGCTTCAAGCTAAAATAACTTGATAAAGTATCAAAATGTCAAAAGGTGTACATTCGAAATATGTTAAATTGATAAATTAACTGTTTGATGCCAAAATGACAAGTTACAATATCAAAATGACAATATGAGATGTCGCGTGACTTAATGTTGAGATGACGGGTTATAAATGTTTAATGACAGCTTTATAAAAAAAAATACAAGATGAAATGTCAAAATGTCACGTAATGTATTCGACCTATAAAAGACAAAATTAGCAATTGACAAAATATACCTCGATGCATTAATTTATCAGGAAATTATTTATTACATTGAAAATTAATTAGTTAATCGTTAATAAAAAAAACACATCGAAATTAATAACAAAATTTGTAACATTTCTAATAATAAATTTGTTTTTGCGTCATTTCAAAAGTCAAGTAGGCGAGGGATTGCGAAATTTAACCTCCAAACTCTAAAAACCGAAGAGAGAGATTCTGTCCGAGTGCTCATTCTGAATGTCTTCTTCTGAAAATTGATAACACAAACCGGTTTTGTTCGGATAATAGGTCAGACAACTTCGTGGATATCGAATCGTTATCAAAATCCCCCGCGGGCTGCAAAAACCCATAACTGGATTTTACCGGATTTTATTTCCCCCACTCTTTATGTTAGGCATCATCTTTTTCTTCGTTAAACCCGATTCGTTTGCTCCATTATCTTATCACCCTTTTTTATAATTATCGATGATTAAAAAGACGACGTACGTTTTCATTTTTCATCTTTATCTATTTCCTGGTTCGAATTTTTCGCGGGAGGAGGATGGAGATAGTTGCGGTTGTTCGTTAATTTTTGTCCAAGTCTATATAAAGGAGCGCCTTTGTTTTGACGGCTCCAGATTATTATATTTTTCGATTCGTTTTGTAACATTTTGGAAATCGCCAAGATGTATTTTGAGGGACGCCCATTAATTTACCACCGTCGCCAACCAAACGACAACAACTTTATCCAAAGTAGTCAAAACTTTTCTTACTTTAGACCGTTTGAAGACACCTGTAGGATGAGTGAAGAGTTTATGTTGCCAAGTTCACCACAAAGCACACAAGTAAGTGATTATTATTTTGGATTTCCATCTTATTATTTTTTTTTTAACTTTTTTTATTAATTATCCAGAGTGATTCTGACACATCAATATCATCAATAGACATCAATCCAAAACCGATTCAATCAAAATTTACAAAAACATCAATTGAATCGAGGTGTTGCTGGCAAAATTGCGGATTAATCTTCGAAACGTTGGAACGTTTATCAGATCACGTAAGTAAAGTCCACGCAATAAGCAGCTTAAACGGACTTTATTACTGTTTATGGGATGGTTGCACTCGAAACCATAAAGGTTTTAACGCCCGTTATAAAATGTTAGTGCACGTAAGAACTCATACCAATGAAAAACCACATCAATGCACGTTATGTAACAAATCATTTTCGAGGGCGGAAAATTTAAAAATCCATATTCGATCGCACAGCGGGGAGAGGCCGTACGTTTGTCCAGTTCCTGGATGCAATAAAGCTTATTCGAATTCAAGCGATCGATTTAAACATACAAGAACACATCAAGTTGATAAACCTTATCAATGCAAAGTTCCTGGTTGCACGAAAAGATACACTGACCCAAGTAGTTTAAGAAAACACGTCAAAACATACAAACATTTCGTTGAGGTGAAAAAAGAAGATGAGATACAAAAAAATCAATTAGATTTGAAGATTGAAGAGATTAGGAATTCGGTGATTGTGGAAAGAAATGAAATTAATAATATTAATGAAAGAATTGAAAACGACAAGTTGGAAGAAAACGGAAAATGTAGCTGTGATCATTTGCCGCATTGTTATTATTCGAGATGTTTGGGGAGTGGTTATGTTGAAAAGAGACAAACTTGGAGTACTTTTATTGAACCTTACTTAACCTACCAACAAAAAGATATCGAATTGAATGATATGGATATAGATTTGCCCTTGGATTTAAGTATACGTAGGCATTATTAAGGAAATTAAGTTAAAACGATCTCAGAAACTGGTCGCTATACCCGAAACTAATTAAGATTAATTCATTTTATTTCTTTTTTTTTTTTGTTGATGTTCGTTCATATTGAACAAAACAGATGTTTTGCACTGCAATGAGAGTATTTTGTGATATTTGAGTATTTATGTATTTATTAAATTTCGACTTTAAAACATTTTTTTGCTGTATTACTTTAAAATTGAGATTAATCTTCATTAAATTTAATAAAACCTTTTCCTTTTTCCCATTTTCTCGCAGATTCCTTAAACGTCAATTAACGAAGTTTCGCGATTCGACCATAGATGGAGATAGTTCATGAATTCAAGATGTCATCAAAGATATTAATTGTGAGTAACAATATTAATTATTTAATTTATATCTTTTGAATCATAAAAAGAAAAAAACTTGCTAAATATTACAGCTTCCTATATTATTTATTATTTTATTACGTAAGGTATAGTTTTAGTACAATCAGTACATTTATTAATCAAATAATATCCTTTTTCCAATGGTGTAATCAATAATTACAGTATGCAAAATCCGTATTCGAATTTGGATGTGATTAAACATTTAAAAAGTTGCTTTCGTTTACGAAGTTACCTTGTTTTTAATTAATTATTAATTATACAACTTTATTAATAATTATTCCATTAAACGTCAAAATTGTCAAAGGTAAAGAAAACTGTAATGTTGGTAAAAGTCGATAAAGCAGAAATTAAAAATTATAAATAAAAAATTAATATTTTATAATATAATATACAACATTTTATGTACAATAATCTAGCGCTGAATAACAAATAAAACTAGACTAATACTAGCTCTACAACTAACATAATAACAGTTAGCATAAAATAAACCTAGAAAATATTCGTGTTTAGCCGTGCGCCGAAAAATAGTTTTGATGTTTTTTGAAAAAATTTCGACACACGGCTAAGAAAAAATGTTCAGGTGTTAATGTCAACTTTAATTTTATTATTATATTCGTAATCTTTATAAAATAACCTTTAAAATGAGTCCAAACACGACGCAGTTATCTCAAAAAACATAAAAATTAGAATAAAAAACATTAAACCCGAAGTTAGCAACAATGAAGATAGAAATTTGATTTTCAAATATTAATACCAACCTTAATTTCTGAATTTTTTATTATATTTTAGTTTTTGTGACAAATTTGAAGATGTTTTATAAAATTAAAAATATATCAAAATGACATTGACATTTCAAACCGGAAGTTGCTTATATCTCGAGTAATATTGGAATTAAACGTATCATGTTTGGGCTCATCTTAAAGGATTTTTAATGAAGATTACAAATATGTCAAAATTGAGGTTGACATTTTAAACCTGAAGTTAGTTATCATATAATATACAAATGGACAACTTTATGGCGTTCTTTCATGATGTGTTCTTTATTTAAAAAACCTTTAAAATGTGTCTAAACATGATGCATTTATCTCAAAAAGCAAAAAAGAGAATAAAAAACATTAACCTTGAATGCTGTTAGTTCTAGTTTTACACTAGCACTATCACTACAATAATTTTTAATAAAATTATTACATTTATTGAATTATGTAATGAAAATTTGTATTGTTAGACATAACCTCTAAACGTCAAAAATTAATTTTGAGGTTAAATGATTTTAAAAAAATATTTTATTAAAAGCTCTTATTTATTATTATTAAAACACATTTCAAATATAACTATACCATATAATCCTAAATAAATTGATTCATCGGATCATCCTCTCTCCTCCTCTTTATATAATTATAATAATACGCCTTCATTTCCTCTTCGGTAGGTTTCTTAATTTCGTACATACTATTATATGGCCGCTTCCTTTCATCCATTTTCATTATTCTACAACTTTATCAATAATTAATCCACTTAAAAGTTATAATTTTCAATCATTTTTAATAACTTAACCTTACTTTTTCTTTGTCATTCAAATGTTAAATGTCAAAATTGTCAAAGGTAAAGAAAACTGTAATGTGGGTAAAAGTCGATAAAGCAGAAATTAAAAATTATAAATAATTAATATTTTGTAATAATTTAATTTTTAAGTTAGGAGGATTATTTTAAATATGTAACGAAAATCTTGTTTAAGATCGGTTAAACACTACTACTTACTTTTTCATCATTTTTAAGAGCGTTTTGAACTTATAGGTTAGATTACCGACATCATACAATCTTAATTGAAAGTAAAAAATATTAATTTATATGTTTAAACATTTTTTAAAGCAATATTTTTCATAAAATTATTACGTTTATTGACTTATTTAATGAAAATTTGTATTGTTAGACCATGTTAGACATAACCTCAAAACGTCAAAAATTAATTTTGACATTTTGAGGTTAAAAAATTTTAAAGAATATTTTATTAAAAACTCTTGTTTATTATTATTATTAAAACACATTTTAAACATAACTATTCCATACTTTGATTATATATAATATTGATTGAGCTAACTGGATATATCTACTAAAAAAAATTTGGCTCAAGATGAATAGACGCAGATGGAAAGTGATAATGTGAAAGTGCAACAAAGATAGACGTAAAACCGTACTAAACAGACGGGCGCATGCGCATAAAAGTGTGCAAACGCAATAAAAACATAACCTCTTCCATTTGACGTTTATCGTTTTGTATACAAACCTTTGATTATATACATATAATTGGTTTATGTCACAGCTTTATGTTTAAAAATGTATTGTTTCGTGTGCAAAGTTCGCGATAATACAGTTTCACATCACCTGTAAGTATTATAAATTATTTACCGCCAAAATTAACGCATGCCCATTACATCTCAATACGCTTCTATATCTATCTCGATTCGATCACCCTGCGCAAGGTATCTGTCTCCTTGGCTCAATCCATATTATATATAATCAAATAAATTGATTCATCGGGTCATCCTTTCTCCTCTTTTTCGTATAATACGTCTCCATATCCTCTTCGGTAGGTTTCTTAATTTCGTACATACTATTATATGGCCGTTTCCTTTCGTCTATTTTCAATATTCTACAACTTTATCAATAAGTAATCCATTTAAAACTTATAATTTTCAATCAATTTTAATGATTTAACCTTACTTTTCTTTGCCATTCAAATGTTAAACGTCAAAATTTAAATTGTCAAAGGTAAAGAAAACTGTAATGTTGGTAAAAGTCGATAAAGCAGTTAAACGCTATGTATTTTTTCGCATTTTTAAGTCGTTTGAACTTGATTTTAGATTATTGATTTCACTCAATCTTAATTGTAAGTAAAAATATTAATTTATATATTAGTTTTTAAAGCAATATTTTTAATGAAATTATTTCATTTATTGATTTATTTAATGAATCAATTGTATTTTTAATTATAACCTCAAAACGTCAAAAATTAATTTTGACATTTTGAGGTTAAATGATTTTAAAAGAATATTTTATTATAACTCTTATTTATTATTAGTATTATTATTAAAAGACATTTCAAATATAAGTATTCCATATAATCCTAAATAAATTGATTCATCGGATCATCCTCTCTCCTCCTCTTCATATAATACGCCTCCATTTCCTCTTCGGTAGGTTTCTTAACTTCGTACATACTATTATAGGGCCGCTTCCTTTCGTCCATTTTCAATATTTCCCCCGCAAACTTTTGTTGTTCATCTTCTTTCTCCAAAGCTTTCTGCAATTTATCCTCCACCTTCTTCAACTTCTTCTTTTCTTTCAATTTTTTCTTCTTATTTTTCTTCTTTGATTTCTTAGTTTCATTCTCATCATCACTGGAAGAATTTTCAGACGACGCCAACTTTATTTCTTCGTTATTAACTTTATTTTCTTCAATTTTAATTTCATCAAAACCAAAACCATCGGGTTTGTTAACTTCAAAACCTGCCTCTCCAAGACAATAAGAATTTTTAATGAACGAATGACAACATTTATAACCCCAATTTCCATTGGTCCAATAAGAACCCCAAACGGAGGTGTGATTATTAATATAAATATCTTCTTTGTATTTCGAACGAATTATTTCTTTTTCTTGTCCTTTTAGGATTTTTCCCGATCGGGAGTATTCGGTGTAATCTTCGGTTTGGGCGAGTAAAAGTGATTTTGGGGGTGCTTCTAAGTGTTCTTCGCCTCCGTATTTTTCTAAAACACTTTTTTGAACTTTCGTTTTAAATTGTTCTTTTTTGCTGTCGTATTCTTTTTGTAACATCTCCAATTTTGTTGGTTCTGCTAATAAATGGACGTCCACACCTTTCTCGTAAGCTTCCCAAGCGAATAATTGAGCTGTTGCATGTTTTCTTGTATCTCCGGTAAATCGAACAAAATTTTCGCCCGAATACATATCATCTAGCTTTGGATTGGGATTTTCTCTCATCGATCGCGTTTTTGGGTCATAATAAGCTGAATTTGGGTCTAAATTTCTTAAATATTTCGCGGTGTCTTCGCGAATTCTTAAATTTCTAACTGTTATTCTTTGTTTGCTGTCGACTTTCGTTCCGGGCATATCAACTTCATCTACATATTTATCTTCATCTTGGCGTTCGTCTTCGTCGTCTTGACTATCTTGAGCATCTAATTTATCGGCTCGTAATTGTCTTTTGGCCTCTTCGACTTTTTGAAACTCCTCGATAATCGCTTTATGTTCTGATGGGTCATATCCGCTCCATCTATCCCTTTTCCCATCGTACGATAGATTTAAATTAGCCTGGATGAACTCATCATGGGCTATACTGGCCCCAGAAAATTTAGCCCCAACTTTACGGGGGCGTTCCATGCAATCTTTTTTTTTATGGGTCATTGCCCCACAATTCTCACATGCGCCTTTACGATATTTAGTGATGGTTCGCGCGTTATCAACGCCTCTTTTGTACCATTCATCCAATTTTGAGAAATTACCTTCTTTGTCATCTTGAGGTCGTTGATGTTTTAAGGTAGGCCCACTTGTTCCGTAATACCAAGGTGCTATCGCTATGTATTGAGGGTTTATATCTTTACCTTCTTCATCAAGAAGTTACTCGCTTTTCTTACTTCTAATTCTTTCGCTTTACGCCAATCTTCGCGCGATTTTTTCTTCGGTTCGTCGTCTAATTCACTTTTTGTTTTTAATAGTTACGAAACTGTTAAATTAGTTGTAGCATTTGCCATTATTTTTAATAATTAATCATATTCTTAATAATAATTGTTTTTAGGTTAGATTTAGAAACGTCAAATATCAAATAATACATCAATAAACTACAGATTTCTGTAATTTTTTAATAAGTATTCAACCGATAGATGGCTTTTAATAAATTTGAAATTTTTGATATTTTTTAAATTTTTAAACTAATAACTTAATAATTAAAAAAAACAATTGATATAAATTTTAATTAGATGTTTATTTATGATTTAGTTTTAGTTTAAGTGGTAGGTAGCGCTAGTTAGCATAATTATATATTTTTATTAAACTAAAACTAGAACTAACACTAGACCTAGAACTAGAAAGTCTAGTGTTAGTTCTAGTAGCAGTGGTAGGTAGCGCTAGTTAGCATAAGATATTACTATATTGTATATTTTTATTAAACTAAAACTTAATAATAATTTTTTTAAGTTAGATTTACAAACGTCAAATAATAAATCAATAAACTACAGATTTCTGTAATCTTTTAATACATATTCAACCGATAGATGGCTTTTAATAAATTTTACAATTTTTAATATTTTTTAAATTTCCTAACGAATAACTTAATAATTAAAAAAAAAACATTGATATAAATTTAATTAGACGTTTATTTATAATTTTATGATGTGTGGCGCTTTAATCCGATGAGATTGAATAATTAATTTTGACCTTTAAGTGGTGAGACAGTTCTGGGTAATCACCCCTTTTGATCCAATTTTGTGTGTATCCATCGATGAGAACACCTGCTTCTTGTAAAAGATTAAGAAACCAATCAGTTTTGTTATTAATTCGTTTTTTAATACCGGTATATAAAGAAGATGTAATTTCATTTGTAATTTTATCACAAAAATGTTATCATTAACATTTTTGATGATTTTAACGTTTCCATCAACATTTGGAAACAACTTTCCATCTTTATTGACTACAAACGCCACTTTGGGTAAATAATTTAACGCATTTATTTCAAAAGTAACGTTTTATTATTTGATTTAGCGGTTATTTTGGATAAAGAGTATTTAGGAGATGATTATGCGAATATAAAAGATGTGGTTGAGACTTACGTGGGTTTTATTAAACGTGAAAAGCTTAAAAATGGTGGATTAAACGTGATTTTTTACTCTTGGACGAGTATAAAAATCAAAAAAGATTTTTCGGCGATTTTAAGCGTCGCTTCTTGTTCTGATACTTGGAGGTTATTCGACGTTGCAAGAAATGAACACGTTTTGTTTATGGCCATATCAGGTAATTAAAAAGATAACATTTTTGATCCAATTTAATCCGTTTTTAATCCGCAGAAAGCGATTGTCCAAGATTACCTCAAGATTTAGCATTTACAATCCCTTTAATAAAGCAAGGCCAAGAACTACCCCAAATCATTTTAGATTTACGCTCAAATAAAGCGTATAATTGGAATTCCGTTACAGTTCTTTACGATCTCACTTTAAGTACTAAAAACTCCTTTAAATAATTTCATTTAACCCATTTTTCTTGTTATAAAATTTAGGTAGAGATATGATAACAAGAGTTTTAACTTCCTTAACTTTGGATAACGTTGATATCGCCGCCACGGCTTCGACGATTGCTTTAATGGAGCTAACCCAAAATTATTCATCGATTTACAACATTCATTACGTCCGGGAAGTTTTAACCAGCTTGAAATGGAGGAACATCGGCTCGAATTATTTGGTGATGATTTCAATCGAATTGGTTCCTTTAGTTATGGATATTTCGAAAAATTTAAAGCTGGTAAACACCGAAAGTCAATGGTTATATGTTATTTCAAACGCCGATCTGAAAAATGAAACCAATTTGGATGTGATTAAACATTTAAAAGAAGGAGATAACGTTGCTTTCGTTTACAACGTTACTAGTTCAGAAGAAAATTGTAAGGTAAGGTGCTTGATATAACTTTATCGATAATTAATTCATTTAAAAGTTATAACTTATGACTTAACTTCAAATTTCTGTCATTAAACGTCAAAATTGTCAAACGTTAAAGGTAAAGGAAACTGTAATGTTGGTAAAGTCGATAAAGCAGAAATATAATATAAATAATTAATTAATATTTTATAATATTATGACGATGATGCAACTGTTATGCAAGATTTTTAATCGTGTTTTGTCCCCATTTTGATTGTTAAGCACTGTTTTTTTAAAAATCTTCAAAATCAGTTAAGTTATTAATAATCTGACACCTACGTTCAAACGCTTGTTTGTGTTTTTCAGCGACAGAAGTCCGAAATCTTCATTTTATAGATGGACTATTAATATGCTTTAACTCTTTTAAGTGAAATAAATTATCAGAAATGTCTAATATTACGGAGGTTATTCGAATACGGATTTTACATACTGTAATTAAACTACCTCTTTATTAATCTTTTCTGTGTACGGGTTATCTTTAGCTAAAATCTTGAAATGCTTGATACAACTTTATCAACAATTAATCCATTTAAAAGTTATAATGTTAAGTTAACTTCAAATTTGTCTTGAAACGTCAAAATCGTCAAACGTCACAAGTAAAGAAAACTGTAATGTTGGTAAAATCGATAAAGCAGAAATGAAATGACAAATATAATAATTAATTAATATTTTATAATATTATGATGAATTACTGTTATGCAAGATTTTTAATCGTGTTTTGTCCCCATGTTGATTGTTAAGCACTGGTTTTTTAAAAAACTTCAAAATCAATTGAGTTATTAATAATCTGATACCTACATAGTATACCTACGTTCAAACGTGGTGGAAGTTTGATGATGATATGGGAATGTTTTTCAGTAGCAGAAGTTCGAAATCTTCATTTTATGGATGAAATATTGATATCTACCTTTGTTTTAACTCTTTTAAGTGAAATAAATCATCAAAAATATCTGAAATGTCTAATGTTTCGGAGGTTATTCGAATACAGATTTTGCATACTGGAATTAAACTAACTCTTTATTAATCTTTTCTGTGTACGGGTTATCTTTAGCTAAAATCTTAAATGCTTGATACAACTTTATCGATAATTAATCCATTTAAAAGTTATAATTTTAACTTAACTTCAAATTTCTGTCATTAAACGTCAAAATTGTGTAACGTCAAAGGTAAAGAGAACTGTAATGTTGGTAAAAGTCGATAAAGCAGAAATATAAAATTATAAATAAATAATTAATATTTTATAATATTAATTAACCTTATTTTGAAACTAAGAAGATAATTTTAAATTTGTAACAAAAATTTTATTCTTAACCGCATAACTTTTAGATAGTTTTCTTTATTTTTGACACATTTCTCTTTATTAATCTTTTCTGTGTACGGGTTATCTATCTTTAGCTAAAATCTTGAAATGCTTGATACAACTTTATCAATAATTAATCCATTTAAAAGTTATAATTTTAAGTTAACTCCAAATTTGTCTTTAAACGTCAAAATCGTCAAACGTCAGAAGTAAAGAAAACTGTAATGTTGGTAAAAGTCGATAAAGCAAAAATTATAAATAAATAATTAATATTTTATAACATTAATTAACCTTATTTTTAAACTAAGAAGATAATTTTAAATTTGTAACAAAAATTTTATTCTTAACCGCATAACTTTTAGATAATTTTCTTTATTTTTGACACATTTGACAGCGTTTTGAATTTATAATTTTAATTAATATGTTTTATTTGTAGCAAGGAATTCAATGTCACATCGAAGAAGTTTTAGATGCATTTAGTCGAGCTTTAGAAAGTGCGATTTTAGATGAAATCGATTTGGCCGGCCAAGTTTCCGATGAAGAATGGGAAGCGATTAGGCCAACGAAATCGGAGAGGCGAAATTTTTTATTAAAAAGTATGAAAAGTTATTTATCGCAAAATGGGGAGTGCGATAACTGTACAATTTGGCAGATGAAAGCCGGGGATACATGGGGAAGAGAATTTTTAAGAAATTCCTCAGTTCTAAGCGTTGAACTTTTACAAGTCGGTTATTGGAAACCCAGAGAAGGCCCGTTAATGACCGACGTTTTATTTCCCCACGTTAAACATGGATTTCGCGGAAGACGATTATCTTTAGCTGTGGTCCATGTATTAATTAATCACCTTTAATACGTTTCGGATAATTTTAATTGCGATTTTTAGAACCCACCGTGGCAAGTTATTGAAGTGAATAATTCCAGTGTGACGTTTCGTGGAATGGTGGCAGATATCGTTAATGAATTATCGAAAAATCTAAACTTTTCTTACGCTGTAATCCCAATCGGAAACACTTCATCATCAAAATTAAACTCCGATTATGATTTTAATGATATCTCAACGTACGAGATTCCGGATGTTATTATTAATTTAGTACGAACGAGGAAAGTTTTAATGGCAGCTTCCGCTTTTACAATAAGCGAAAAAACTAAAACTTTAGTTAATTTTACTCTTCCAATTAGCACCCAAACTTACACAATTTTAGCTGCACGACCTAAAGAATTAAGTCGAGCTTTGCTATTTATGTCACCATTTACACAAAGTGTGAGATAAATTAATATTAAATAATATTAATAAATTAGTAAATAAATTTTTTTAGACTTGGTTGAGTTTATTAACAGCAATTTTATTAATGGGGCCTATTTTATATTTAATGAATAAATTCACCCCGGTTTATGAATACAATGGAATTAGTGTTAAAGGTTTATCATCAATTTATAATTGTATTTGGTACGTTTATGGCGCTTTACTTCAACAAGGTAATAATATTGAGAATAAAATTCGTTTTAATTAATTAAAAATTTCATTTAAGGGGGAATGTATCTTCCTTATGCTGATAGCGCAAGAATAATCATCGGATCTTGGTGGTTAGTCGTTTTAGTTTTATCTACAACTTATTGTGGAAATTTAGTTGCGTTTTTAACATTCCCTAATAGCGATAAACCCATTTCAACTATTGAAGATGTTTTGAATCATCCTTCTTTAACTTGGACTATTGCCCAAAATAGCTTTTTTGAAGAAGAAGCCAAAGTAATGTCTTACGATTGCTAATACAAATCATTAAATGTTCCTTTTTAGACATCGAACGATCCAAAATATCAAGAATTATTTAAAAAATCAATAAAAGCATCGATTAATAAACAAAATATGGTTCAAAACATCGAAAACGGCCACCATGTGTACATCGATTGGAAAATGCGGTTGCAATATATGATGAAGAAGCAATTTTTATTAAAAAATACCTGCGGGTTAGCGTTGGGGAAAGAAGAATTTTGTGAAGAAAGAATCGGGCTGATTTTGGCTAAAGATAACCCGTACACAGAAAAAATCAATAAAGAGTTAGTTTAATTACAATATGCGAAATCCGTATTCGAATATCCTCCGAAATATTAGAAATTTCAAATATTTTTGATGATTTATTTCACTTAAAAGAGTTATTATCGATTTTTACCAACATTACAGTTTCCTTTACCTTTGACATTTGACAATTTTGACGTTTAATGACAGAAATTTGAAGTTAAGTTAAAATTATAACTTTTAAATGGATTGATAAAGTTGTATCAAGCATTTCAAGATTTTAGCTAAAGATAACTCGTACACAGAAAAGATTAATAAAGAGTTAGTTTAATTACAGTGTGCAAAATCCGTATGCGAATAAGCTCCGAAATATTAGAAATTTCAAATATTTTTGATGATTTATTTCACTTAAAAAAATTAAAGCAAAAGTAGATATCAATAATCCATTTATAAAATGAAGATTTCGGACTTCTGCCACTGAAAAACATCCCCATACAATCAACAAACTTTCACCACGTTTGAACGTAGCTATCAGATTATTAATAATTCAAAGAATGAAGTTTTTTTGAAAGACTAGTGCTTAACAATTAAAATGGGGACAACACGATTAAAAATCTTGCATAACAGTAGTTCATCATCATCATAATATTATAAAATATTAATTAATTATTTATTTATAATTTTATATTTCTGCTTTATCGACGTTACCAACATTACAGTTTTCTTTACCTGTGACGTTTGACAATTTTGACGTTTAATGACAGAAATTTGAAGTTAACTTAAAATTATAACTTTTAAATGGATTAATTATTGATAAAGTTGTAACAAGCATTTCAAGATTTTTGCTAAAGATAACTCGTACACAGAAAAGATTAATAAAGAGTTAGTTTAATTACAGTGTGCAAAATCCGTGTTCGAATAAGCTCCGAAATATTAGAAATTTCAAATATTTTTGATGATTTATTTCACTTACAAAAGTTAAAGCAAAAGTAGATATCAATAGTCCATCTATAAAATGAAGATTTCGGACTTCTGCCACTGAAAAACATTCCCATATCATCACCAAACTTTCACCACGTTTGAACGTAGCTATCAGATTATTAATAATTCAAAGAATGAAGTTTTTTTGAAAAACTAGTGCTTAACAATCAAAATGGGGACAACACGATTAATAATCTTGCATAACAGTAGTTCATCATCATCATAATATAAAATATGAATTAATTATTTATTTATAATTTTATATTTCTGCTTTATCGACTTTTATCAACATTACAGTTTTCTTTACCTGTGACGTTTGACAATTTTGACGTTTAATCACAGAAATTTGAAGTTAAGTTAAAATTATAACTTTTAAATGGATTAATTATTGATAAAGTTGTATCAAGCATTTACAGTATGGAAAATCCATATCATTGAATAATTCGATTTTGCATACTGTATTTTGTTTTATGTATTTTAATCTTTTAATTTTTAGGATAAAACGTTTACACCAAGTCGGTTTGATTCAAAAGTGGTTGAGAGATTATCTTCCGAAACGAGATAGATGTTACAAATCAAGATCGACTTCTGCGGCAAATAATCACACCGTAAATTTGGACGATATGCAAGGAAGTTTTTTCGTGTTATTTTTCGGATTTCTAATTGGTTTATTCATTATTTTCGTTGAAAAACTTCTTTATAAGTATCAAAAGAAAAGGAGCAAATCAAAATCCGTCCAACCATTTATTACATAATAATTTTTTTTATGATTTATGAATAAGTTATCCACATGTCTGTTATTGGAGGTAGATTCCTTTCACGAATTTATTTTATTTCTCGTTTTAATTATTGCCGTTATAAACAAATTTTGGGATTAATAAATGGATAAAGGATTTTATAATAGATTAAACGCTTACCACGGGGCAGTTGTATCATCAGTTAGGAACAAAATTAATAAATTCACAATGCGATGTCAAAGTGACACGACCACTTTGAGGTTAAAATTTTAAGCTGTCAATTTAACAACGTGAAGTTAGTTAAAAATGAAGGGGTTTTCGGTTATTACTTAAAAAATGTAAATTTTTTTTAAAGTTTATTATTTCAATGTTTTTTTTTAATAACAAATAATTAAAAATTATTTTTTTTTATATGAAACTCAAAATATTGTGAATATGGCAACTAAATAATTTGACATAATGATATTTTTTAGGTTAGTTTTTGAATTTTTAACTGTCAATTCAATAATAAGCTAATTTTTTTTGATTAATTGGTGTTTTTATTGATTTTAGATACAAAAATAAATCAAAATCCGTCCAAGCGTATATTACATATTAATTTATTATGATTACAAATGTTAACAATGGTTAATAATAATAATAATAAAGAAATAATTGTTGTTAGCAGTGATGTAAGCTGCTGAAATGATTTTTATCCTTGAAAACCGGGCCCCATGCGTCCTTTTTCGCGGTCGCCTCCTTTTTATCTTGTTGATACTTTTGTATGGCCTCGTAACCTGACTTTTTCGACGTTTTATCGAAAAAGTTGTTACCTTGATTTGCGGGTAATTTCCCGCTGTAGTAGTCGTGCGATGTTCCCTGAACCATTTTTGAAATTGGCGATAAGAAAGCTAATTTAAGCAGAAATGTGCAAAACTTTAAAAGTGATGTCTCCCAATTTGGAGTAGCTACGGAACGTGGTGTATTTGAGTTAATACTTGAAGTTCTAAGCGGTTTCCAGCGTTTCCTCTCCGACTACCTTTACGAGTACGTAAATTTTTATCCAATCTAAATAAAAAGCAAAAAAATTTATATTAATAAATATAACAAGATTAAAGATTTGGGGGAATTCTCACCTTACGATTGGAAATTGATCAAAAATTAAACTGTTACACGATGTTCTACAATTCATTGACACATGAAGTGATTCTAAGAAGTTTTTGGGATTATCTTTTCAAGACTTTACTCGACGAAATACAGCACAAGAATGAGTCTTCGCAGTTGAATTCTGAATATATAATCGAGAAGTTGGTGACGTCGTCGGTCACGAAGTGAACAGGTGGGTAATTTGCATCAAAGACGCAGACAACATCACGTACACAATGAAAAAAAAATGATTAGGATTTCCCGATTTTCCAGAAGCTCACTTAAATTAGATTATAAACGATCCTAAAAGAAAATAAAACGCAATTTCATTAATTAATTATTAAAATATTAAGGTAAAAGTAATCACAAGAAAAGCGATTTAAATAAAAATGCATTACGATTTTAGACTTTGACCCGACATAGTCCGAGGAACTATTTATAAAAGTTATTAAAAATGCCAGACGTTTAAAAATGTCGGAATAAATTTTTTTCGCAGTGGAATATTACCAATGCAAAAAAGGGTTTCCAGATGATGTACAAGAAACCAGATATTGCATCAGACTTCCACTATGTTGTTTATTGTTGTCTTATTTACACGAAATGTTCGTTTTATTACATTTTTATGCATTAAGAAATCGAATTTGCTTCAACGAAAATAAAACTGGTTTACCATCTATTTTTAGCAACATTTTAATTTATAATAAATCATAATATTTGGTTTAGACAAGTTTTGATTAAGTCAGTAACTTTATTTTTACATCTCTTGTAACTAAAATGAATTAAGTGTGTTAATTTTAACATTTTGGAACAATGGTTTGTATGATTTTAACGTATTTCATACATTTTATGCAATTAACAAAGCAATTTCTTTACCACGTGTCATCAATATATATTGCAACATCAAGAAGTTTATAAAATACTTCTTTAAATGTATTGGGGAATACGGAATACTGTTAATAAAGCTTTTTATTGTTTTAAATATAAATTGAACTTTACAATACTCTTCTTGACAACTTGTTTATTGTTGTCATGCGGTAGCGCCATCTCTCGTAGGAGCTTAGTATCAGTAAATACAGTTCTCTACAAATTGACAGGCATCATATTATTATTTATAGAGTATTCTCTATAAACAAGGATCATACTAAACCTACTGTATCACAATGTAGAGATATTTTTGTTGTGAGATTATTGGCTGCATAACCTATTGGGTATGCGGAGCATGCAGAGGATTGAACTGCGATTCATTTCCTTGTTAAAGCAAAAAGACCCTCAAATATACAGAACAGAAGACCAAGAAGTGATATTTTCTTAGAAGAAAAGTTATATCTTTTCATGAAGGAAAGTGTCATATCAAAAAAATTTGTCAGATCGTCAAGAGCTACGGTACAGAATGCTAAGGCAACAGTTTCTGTGGATAGAAGCTGTGGCAGAGAGTTCATATGAATGTAGTGGGATAATTTATCTATAGGTCCAAGATGATCCTTGATGATCTAACTCTGGGAAACTTACAATGAGCTGTAAAAGGAGGCCAAAAGGTTAGACTGGGGTTAAATGTAGAAAAAACAAAATACTTAAACCTGTTACTAAAAGAACGAGGATGAAATAGATACGACATTGAAAATTTCGTATATCTGGGAGCCGAACTAAACAACACAAACCGGATTGGCTCTGATATACAAAGAAGAATGCTGCCAATAGGCTACTACGCTAACAAAAAGTTGATCAAGTCTAGAATCATCTCCAGAACAACCAAAATCAGGATATATAAAACTCTTATTAGGCCGATTGCCACATATGGATCATAAACATGAAGCCTGACAGCTGGTGATACAAAGTAACTTCTTGTTTTTGAAAGAAACATAATCAGACGAATATTCGGACCAATATGTGAGGCAGGGAAATGGCAAATACGAACGAATACAGGGATTGAAGGTATCGTCTCAGGTGGATTGGACATGTCATGAGAATGGCAAATCATCGGCTACCAAGAAGAATGTTCGAATTAGGGTTCGCAAAAAACCGGAATATTTTAAAAATCAGTTTTTCTGGTTAATTAATAATGGCAAACCGGTTAATCGGTTAACCGCTTCACTAAAAAAATTGCGTAAAGTACAAAAAAGTGTTTATAGGATGACAAAATAATTATCATATTAAAACTATACAAAGCAGATATTACATTACATTACATTACATTGCATCGACTACATATCGGGTAGGCGGACTAACCCACCTTGCACCGCGACCCTAAGGATCTATTGTACCCCGATAGATATCGTTATTAAATTTCACCGTGCAGTCCAATGCTCTTAACGAACATTAATACCTTGCTCGGCGAAAGGTCATTCAGATCCCTTGAGGAGATAAACTGCGACCTAAATATCGAGAATCTGATACGGTTAACGGCAGGGCAGTGGCATAAAACATGCTCAACCGTCTCAGCTAAACCCAACAAGTTGAGGAGTGCTTTTAATCGGCAGTGCCTAAAATATTCCCGGGTTTGACAGTGGCGATGTTAATAAACACCTTAGCATGTCTCATTCCAGGAGAATTGGTCCACAGTAGGCGAAGTCTCTCTTCAGCCCACAGTCCAATCCTATATTTGGCCATCGTAAATGATACACCAACTGCTGGTTCCGGCCCCACAAACGCTTCAGCGCTGCCATCTCGTGCTAGTTTATCTGCCGCTTCATTGCCAGCAACCCCAGAGTGAGCCGGGACCCAGATCAGAGAGACTCTGTTAACACAACTCAGTGTGTTTAATGTTGTCTTACAATCATTAACTAAAGCCGACACCGTTTTCACGGGTTGCAGCGTCTGGAGGGCGGCTTGACTGCCTGAGAAAATTCGTACTGTCATGTTCTTCACCCCTCTTTCAAGAAGGATTTTAGCACCCATGTCAATAGCAAATACTTCCGCCTGGAATACAGTACAGTACGTACCCAGACTGTAAGCTTGCTTAATTCGAGGTGTCTTGCAGTATACTCCCGCTCCTACCCCTTCAGGCGTTTTTGATCCATCTGTGTACAAGCAAATATCTGCCTGAACCAGAGAATTTTCATTTTCGACCCAGGACTGCCGCTCAGGCAGTACAATCTGGTATCGAGCATTAATCACTGATAGTGATACCGGTAAATCTGACGGCATTGATAGCACAGTATCAGTATTCAGACATGGCGGAACAGTTTTGAGCATATTGCTTAAATCTGTAAATGGTTGTTCTAGCCACTTTCTCTATATGCAAATGCAGTGGAGGTAGGCCAAGCAGATATTATGTGTATTGAAAATATAAAATATACAAAAGAAAAGGTATAGTTTTCCACAAAAACAAAACTAAATTTAATTTATAAACTTGATGTTTTTATAAAATAATATTTTAAGAAAACTAACTCGTCTAATAGGTCGAATTTCATTTTTGACCTTAATTTTGTACAAAAGTTACCCGCAACGGAAAAACTCTTTCACTTTCAGTAGATGTCGGTTGTATAGTTCCCAAAGCTTTGTATAAATTTTCAATTGTTGATATCTTAATTTTTGTGGCTTCAAACTGTAACAATTCTGAGCTCGTTTCTTGCATCTCTGCCGTTAATAAACATGAGGATGATTTAAATTTAGGATAATCAGTTCTACAGTACGTCCACGAAAAAGGTGTTGAATAGGAAAAACTTTTTTATTTTTAATTTTATCGAAAAAAGTTAATCTTGATAAAAAATTTTGCTAGTTCTTAGAGTAAGATTAGGATAGAAACATGTTCAGAAAATTGAAAAAACTTTAAATGGTACAAGAGTAAAGTGCATTTATTTGAAAAGATATGGAAATAAGTTACTAGGAAAAATTGTTCAAAAGTAAAAAGTAGTCTCTAATACCAATTTTCGAAAAAATCGGCCTACTTTTATTTATTTGTGATCATTTTTGTACTAGTAGGCGTTGATAGTGACAAGCTTTATTGACGCTTTTATACTTTATTAGCCGTAGTATTGTCAGCTTAAAATGTTTACTTTACAGCAAAAAATGTACTTGGTGCAATGTTATGGGAAAGGCGAAAATTGCCGTAAAATAATTTTAAAGTTTTTAAGCACTGGGTCATTGTTGCCAATACCTAGAGAAAAGAAGAGATACGATGAAAATGATGCAAGCACTTTGTTGGTATTACATTCAGTAGAGGTACACCCGAAATTATCATTAAAAAGAAGAGCTGAAAATCTCCAATTTGTTAAAAAGTCGCAAATTCAGAAGATATTAAAACACAACAAGATACATCCATACAAGCCAGTTTTTAATCGTGTTTTGGAAGTCGACGATGAAGCAAAACACATATGTGGAAGAGTTTTGCACTCTTTAAGAACGTTTTGAAGTCTAACCAGAGCAATTCCAGACTTTTGTTTATAGCATGGCATCATTTTAGTGCTATTTCTGATATTTTCTTGAAATTTAGACTCGTCCAGAATAGTTCCCGACATTTGGTAATAGATTTATGTTTTTCCAGTATCATAACTAAAGATAAATATAATGGAAATGTTGCTTACATGCAGTCGGGATCTTCAAATATCAAGTACCACATCATTTTATGGGGAAGAGTTTTGTACTCTTCAAGAACGTTTTGAAGTCTAACCAGAGCAATTCCAGACTTTTGAAATCACGAAAATTTGACTTTTTGGCTATAACTTAAAAACAAAAGAAGATAGAGGTTTGGTGTTTGCGGGATTGGCACCTGCTTTTTTCGTATCTTTTATAGTTTCTGAGATGGTCTATAATAACACCCAAATTTGCCCACCCTGTACATTCGGAAACTGCACCTACCCCTAAAGACAAGCAGCATTTCATCTAAACTTACATCCTCGCCCACAGCATAAGTTTTCTGACAATTGTCATTGAACTTGTCAACAATAGTACGAACTGCTGCTAGTTTATCCATTTCTTTTCTTTGACCTCGAGTTGTGGTACCATCTAAGCGGATGCATTTCAATAAGAATACGAGCCTACGATTTGCCATTGTAGCAGGAAATATCTCATATCCAATACCGTCTGATCGCCGATACTCTTCTAGATGTGTTCTTGATCCATGATCCAGTCCATACATCTTGGTATTTAACAGAAATTTTATCAATATATAAATTTGTGTTTTCAACCAGCATCTATCACGAATCCCGATGCATAGTTTCTGCATCTTCATTTATGTTTTTCTGCTCGGTTTCTGTATCATGATCACTGATACTTACAAAATCTGAATCTGATATCGAAATATCGTTAGACTCTTCTATTTCATTGCTTCATACAGTTTCAGTAATTTATCTCTTTCTTTTTCATCAGGATCCATATCACAATGCTATCAAATAATAAATCATTTCTTATCATTTTGTCAAATCTTATCAGAAAATTGTGTGATACTATTTACCTATTTGTAAGAATGCTAGATTGCTAACCAGATATTTGATTTTAATTAAAAATAATTTTTTATGCACCTTTCTATTCTCTCTATTTGTAAAGTAAATAACACATACGACGTATATGGTAATTATTAGGGGAATTACCGAACTATATCGCAATCACTCCGAGCTATAGTTTTATAGGTCTGTAATTAAACCAAAAAGCGCAACAGGAATACCAATATGAAAAAATCAACTAAACGTAGTAATTCAACCCAACCCTCTAAAATTTAAATATCGTTTTAAAAAAGTGCTTTGAAACATGACGGATAGACGGCGCCAATAACTTTTTAAAACCGTTCATTAACATTAAAACATAATTTTGTTAAACAAATTCCTTTTACTAAAAATTTTGATTAGAAATTATTGAAACGATTCAAATACCATGAATTGATTAACAAAATAAATTGTTTATTTTATGAATAACATATCTGTTTTGGAATCTTTAATAACGAACATGTTTTTAATCAACAGCGAAACTAAAGGGAAAATCGTACAAACTTTAATATTATTATTTAAAAAAAAACATTGAGAAGAAATCTTACCTAGAAAATTTGATAATTACTTTAGAAACATTAACACTATTCGATTATATATTTATCACTAATCGACACACTGGAATTAATAATTAACAAAGTAATAATTACAAAGAAATAGGGGATGTTTTAAAAGAATAAGTGGGGTCATGTATAACCTAATTTAACTGTCAGTTTAAAAACTGAACCTCTACTGATTGACATTGACATTTATTGACAAAGTATTAAAACATATCAATGAATAAAATGTAATTAACAAAACAACAACAAATTTCTGATTTAAACATTTGTGTTTATTTATAAATTGCAAATCTTATATTTAAACATTAATGTTTCAAAAAAGAAGTACTTTGGAATATGACGGATAGATGGCGCTAATTTCATAAATAATTATTTTATTTTAAAACATTTCTGGTTTACGATATCTTATAATGAACATGTTTATTTATCAACAACGAAACTCAAGCAAAAATCATACAAACATTTACAACGATTATTGGTTTGAGTACAATCTAATTGAACTGTCAGTCAAAAAGGTGATCTATGTTATGTAATAGTATTAAAACATATCAAAGAGGTAATTAATCTGAAAGAATCCAATTTAAACATTTGCATTGATTCTAAATTGTACATTATTGATGTTATATTAATTAAAAAGAAAATTTAAATATTGTTTCAAAAAAAGTACTTTGAAATATGACGCATAGATGGCGTTAATAACTCTTTAAAACAGTTCATTAATATTAAATAAGTTCAACAACGAAACTAAACCAACAATTATACAAACATTTACTATGATTATTGGTTCGAGCTGTATATGTGGCATGGAATAATAAGTGGGGTTACGTACATTCCAGGTATATTCTAATTGAACTGTCAGTCAAAAAGGTAATTACTACTAATTAGTCATTTAAAAGTTTTAAACCTATCAACGGGGTAATTAATCCATAAGAACCCTATTTAAACATTTGTGCTGTTTATAAATTGTATATTATTGATATCAAATCAATTAAAACTAAAATTTAAATAATGTTTAAAAAAGAATACTTTGAAATATGACGTATAGATGGCGTTAATTTCATAAATAATTATTTTATTTTAAAACATTTCTGGTTTACGATATCTTATAATGAACATGTTTATTTATCAACAATGAAACTAAAGCAAAAATCATACAAACATTTACAACGATTATTGGTTTGAATACAATCTAATTGAAATGTCAGTCAAAAAGGTGATCTATGTCATGTAATAGTATTAAAACATATCAAAGGGGTAATTAATCTGAAAGAATCCAATTTAAACATTTGCATTGATTCTAAATTGTACATTATTAATGTTATATTAATTATAAAGAAAATTTAAATATTGTTTCAAAAAAAGTACTTTGAAATATGACGCATAGATGGCGTTAATAACTCTGTAAAACAGTTCATTAATATTAAATAAGTTCAACAACGAAACTAAACCAACAATTATACAAACATTTACTATGATTATTGGTTCGAGCTGTATATGTGGCATGGAATAATAAGTGGGGTTACGTACATTCCAGGTATATTCTAATTGAACTGTCATTTAAAAAGGTAATTACTACTAATTAGTCATTTAAAAGTTTCAAACATATCAACGGGGTAATTAATCCATAAGAACCCTATTTAAACATTTGTGCTGTTTATAAATTGTATATTATTGATATCAAATCAATTAAAACTAAAGTTTAAATAATGTTTAAAAAAGAATATTTTGAAATATGACGTATAGATGGCGTTAATTTCATAAATAATTATTTTATTTTAAAACATTTCTGGTTTACGATATCTTATAATGAACATGTTTATTTATCAACAACGAAACTCAAGCAAAAATCATACAAACATTTACAACGATTATTGGTTTGAGTACAATCTAATTGAACTGTCAGTCAAAAAGGTGATCTATGTTATGTAATAGTATTAAAACATATCAAAGGGGTAATTAATCTGAAAGAATCCAATTTAAACATTTGCATTGATTCTAAATTGTACATTATTGATGTTATATTAATTAAAAAGAAAATTTAAATATTGTTTCAAAAAAAGTGCTTTGAAACATGACGGATAGACGGCGCCAATAACTTTTTAAAACCGTTCATTAACATTAAAACATAATTTTGTTAAACAAATTCCTTTTACTAAAAATTTTGATTAGAAATTGTTGAAACGATTCAAATACCATGAATTGATTAACAAAATAAATTGTTTATTTTATGAATAACATATCTGTTTTGGAATCTTTAATAACGAACATGTTTTTATTCAACAGCGAAATTAAAGGGAAAATCGTACAAGCATTTACAACGATTATTGGTAAGATATTTTTTAATTAAATTAATTAATAACAATTTATTGTATTTTAGTTAATTTATTAATGATTAGTGATGGAATGCATTATTCTTGGTCATCATCCGTAACTCCACAACTACAATTAAATTCGACCGACTTAAATCATCCATTAACCAACAGCGATGTAACATTACTAGAAACAATTTATTTAATCGGCGGATTAACAGCTTTACCTTTCATGATGTATTTTCCGGATAAATTCGGCCGAAAAAACACGATTTTCGGCGCGATTTTATCAAGTTTTATTTCTTGGAGTTTAATAGCGATTTATCCGGACATAAAAACTTTTTGTGTTTCCCGATTTTTGGCGGGAATGAGTGCGGATACTGGTTATGTTTCAATTCCAATGTATATATCAGAAATTTCTGATAAAAATATAAGAGGGGCTTTAAATGGACTAACTTATATCCAACTTACGATTGGTGTTTTAATAATAATGACAATCGGGCCGTTTATATCGGTTAATAAATCAGCTTTAATCGGCGTTTTTATAAATTTATTCGCATTAATTTCTTTTATTTTTATACGCGAATCTCCGTATTTTTATTTAAAAAGACAACAAAGAAATAAAGCGGAAGAATCGTTGAAAATATTGAGATGTAGCGAAAATGTTAAAATTGAACTTGATGAATTAGAAGAAGCCGTTCGAAGACAAGAAAAAGAAAAGGGGAGATTTATGGATTTAATAAGTTCAAGAAGTAATCGAAAAGCTTTAATTTTGGTTGTAATCGTTTTTTGTTTAGTTAACATTTCCGGTGTGCCGATTATTTTTATGAACGTTAATACAATTCTGAAAGAAACTTCGGATCATTTCTTTCCATCGGAATACGGTGCTATTTTATTCTCATCCACTCTTTTAATCGTTGGAATTATTGCGACTCTCTTCGTTGATAAAATTGGAAGGAAAAAATTATTAATTTTTTCAGGAATTTCAACATCAGCTACTTTAATTGTTTTAGCCACGTATTCTTTGTTGCAATACCTAGAATCTGATTGGGCGAAAACACACAATTGGATACCGTTTATTTGTATTATATTGTATGCAGTTGGAATGAGGTCGGGACTCGGAATAGTTCCTTTTATATTAAACGGAGAATTATTTCCGATGAGTGTAAAATCAAAGGGGATGACCGTCGCTGATTGTTTTTATTTAATTTCCGGGATAATTTGCGTAGTTTTCTATCGGGAATTAAAGGAATCTTATGGAATGTATATCCCTATATATTTTTTAGGTTGTTTTACCTTGATAATTACATTGATTGTATCGGTTAAATTACCTGAAACTAAAGGAAAAACTTTAGAGGAGATCCAAATCATGTTATTGAAATAAAAATTAAATAATTAAAACGATTTTTAAACAATTTAATCTTTCAATACCACTAAAAAAAAGTTGGGTTATGTTTGCATTGCTAACTTCATTTACTATTCAGAGACGCAAGCACAAACTGTCATTCCGCGTAATTTAAATTTCTAATTTCGCACTAGCGCCATCTTTTGTCTGCTAGCTGTTTCAAATAATGTTTAAATGAATATAATAAATAATATAATTTGTAGTACTAAAACTAGAACCAACACTAACCATTTTAGTTTCAATTGATTTGACATTAATAATGTACTATTTATAAACAACGCAAATGTCTCTATCAAACTTTTTTAAATTACTTACCCCATTGATGTTTTAATACTTCACCTTTTTGACTGACAGTTCAATTAGAATGTACATAACCTCACTTATTATTCCATGCCACATATACAGCTCAAACCAATAATCGTAGTAAAGGTTTGTATGATTTTTTTCTTTAGTTTCGTTGTTGACAAAAAACATGTTCGTTATTAGATTATTAATGTTATTTAATTATTGAACGTATTTAATGTTAATGAACTGTTTTAAATAAAAGAGTTATTAACGCCATCTATACGTCATATTTCAAAGTATTTTTTAAAACATTTAAATTTTAGTTTTAATTGATTTGATATCAATAATATACAATTTATGTATTTATGTATTTATGTACAATTTAGAATCAATGCAAATGTTTAAATTGGATTCTTTCAGATTAATTACCCCTTTGATATGTTTTAATACTATTACATAACATAGATCACCTTGTTGACTGACATTTCAATTAGATTGTACTCAAACCAATAATCGTTGTAAATGTTTGTATGATTTTTGCTTGAGTTTCGTTGTTGATAAATAAACATGTTCATTATAAGATATCGTAAACCAGAAATGTTTTAAAATAAAATAATTATTTATGAAATTAACGCCATCTATACGTCATATTTCAAAATATTCTTTTTTAAACATTATTTAAACTTTAGTTTTAATTGATTTGATATCAATAATATACAATTTATAAACAGCACAAATGTTTAAATAGGGTTCTTATGGATTAATTACCCCGTTGATATGTTTGAAACTTTTAAATGACTAATTAGTAGTAATTACCTTTTTAAATGACAGTTCAATTAGAATATACCTGGAATGTACGTAACCCCACTTATTATTCCATGCCACTTATACAGCTCGAACCAATAATCATAGTAAATGTTTGTATGATTTTTGGTTTAATTTCGTTGTTGAACTTATTTAATATTAATGAACTGTTTTAAAGAGTTATCAACGCCATCTATGCGTCATATTTCAAAGTACTTTGTTTAAAACATTATTTAAATTTTAGTTTTAATTGATTTGATATCAATAATATACAATTTATAAACAGCACAAATGTTTAAATAGGGTTCTTATGGATTAATTACCCCGTTGATATGTTTAAAACTTTTAAATGACTAATAGTAGTAATTACCTTTTTGACTGACAGTTCAATTAGAATATACCTGGAATGTACGTAACCCCACTTATTATTCCATGCCACATATACAGCTCGAACCAATAATCATAGCAAATGTTTGTATAATTGTTGGTTTAGTTTCGTTGTTGAACTTATTTAATATTAATGAACTGTTTTAAAGAGTTATTAACGCCATCTATGCGTCATATTTCAAAGTACTTTTTTTGAAACAATATTTAAATTTTCTTTTTAATTAATATAACATCAATAATGTACAATTTAGAATCAATGCAAATGTTTAAATTGGATTCTTTCAGATTAATTACCCCTTTAATACGTTTTAATATTATTACATGACATAGATCACCTTTTTGACTGACATTTTAATTAGATTGTACTCAAACCAATAATCGTTGTAAATGTTTGTATGATTTTTGCTTGAGTTTCGTTGTTGATAAATAAACATGTTCATTATAAGATATCGTAAACCAGAAATGTTTTAAAATAAAATAATTATTTATGAAATTAGCGCCATCTATCCGTCATATTCCAAAGTACTTCTTTTTTGAAATATTAATGTTTAAATATAAGATTTACAATTTATAAATAAACACAAATGTTTAAATTAGAAATTTGTTGTTGTTTTGTTAATTACATTTTATTCATTGATGTTTTAATACTTTTAAATGTCAATGTCAATCAGTAGAGGTTCAGTTTTTAAACTGACAGTTTAATTAGATTATACATAACCCCACTTATTCTTTTAAAACATCCCCTATTTCTTTGTAATTATTACTTTGTTAATTATTAATTCCAGTGTGTCGATTAGTGTTAAATATATAATCGAATAGTGTTAATGTTTCTAAAGTAATTATCAAATTTTTTAGGTAAGATTTCTTCTCAATGTTAATTTTTTTTAAATAATAATATTAAAGTTTGTGATAAACTTCTTTCTAAACTTCCTAATTAATAAAAATGAGCGAAGAAAAAGATACAATAAATTCAAATCATGTTATTAAAATAAAAAAAAAAGTTTTTTTAGAAAAAAATAAAAATAAAATTCCAAAAAAAATTAATAAATAAATAAATAAACAATTCTTAAGTCAAAAAAACTTCACTTAACCCTTCTTGGTATCATCGATTTTCTAGGGATACTTTTATCCCTCGGTTTAACATTAACATTTTCAACGAATCTTTTCCCGACGAAATCGCCAGTTTTCGAAACTGGCGAAGAACTCCTCCCGGACGCCCCACTTTTAGCATCGAAAGAGCTTATCGAGCCCATATCGCCTTCTCTTCTAACACTCGGCGATCTCGATCGGCTCGTTTTCAACTTTTCTAATAACTCAGGATCAACTTTTATACTAGTACTAATTGTGTATTTATTTTTTTCTTCTTTAAATGGATTCCTCTGTCTTGTTTCAACCCGAAACACCTCCGCTGGTTTATTCTCAACTTGAACCGGCTCTTGTTTCTCCTCCTTTTTGGCGTCTTTCTTCTTTTCTTGCTTTCTTTCTTCTTTTTTTATCGGTAATAACGTTGAGTACAAAGAAAACGATGGGTTCGCGTGAAAAACGGTTCTTTTTAACCCAGGGATTTCTTGGACGATTCGAAAGTTGCAATCTAACGGCTGATCATCCATGTTTAATAAAGTACGGAATTGTTCTGTTTGATCGATTGAAATTCCAATTGGTTCTCGGCATAATAACCATAAAAGACAATGTACGCATTCGCTAGTTGTTACAGTTCCCCAATACATGAAGTAATCTTTTATAAACGGGATTGTTAGGAAGCTTAAGGGGACGTTGTCTAATCTTGCTGAACTATGGGGGGTTTGTATGTAAGAAATTGCTTGGGTTATGAGTTCCATCGATACGTTGTGAGCTTCTTGGAGCTAAAATGTTTAATTGTTGTGAAAAAATTGCGATGGGTGTTTATATTTACCCGGAAAAAATAAACTAAAACGACGATTCCATCTTTTTTCTTTAACGCAGCTTCTTGGGTGAGATAACAACTTTTAAAAAGTACGACGTGCATCTCTAAGGGTTGTTGGGACCCATCGACGGTGTGCTCACTTCCTTCCATATCATTTCGGCCCCAATGAAAATGTAATTGGGAGAATACGTAATTCCCGAAGAGGGGGCCACCGGAGATGTGGGGACGCTCTTGGTGCCATTTAGCACTCATTATTACTACAAGAAAAAAATAAAAATGAAATGGTTCCTGAAAACATGCGTTAATACATCCATTCAAAAATTGACTGAAAAACTGATGAGAAAAGAAATTAAAAAGCATTGATGATAGAACAAAAAAGAGAAAAAACTAAGAACAGTTATAAATAACAAAAATTGAAGAAAGACCACTTTTCATGTCAAATTTACCAACTGGATACAAGCACAATTTAACGAAGAAGAAATAAAACTTCTTGAAAAAGGAGCAAAATATGCCATTCATAATAAACCAACTTTGACAAGAACTGCTATCGAACTAGAAGCTGCAACCAAAGGATTACCCAAAATCCTCATCAAAAAAGAAACAAAGAAAAAGACAACAGAAGGAAAAATACACGAAGAAAACAAGAAATGAAGACCTGATCAAATTATAGTTACTAAGGGAGATAAAAATGCAGGTTTGATATTTATTAAGAAAATAGATTACATTCAAAGAACAGAAAAGAGAATATTTTGAATATACGTAGAGTAAAATTTGCTCTAATCTCTGAAGTATGGTATAAATTCATCGAGAATAGCCAAAATTGTTACAAGCCTGGGGAACATGTAATCGATGAACAGCTTTTCCCAACCAAAGTGAGGTGTAGATTTACCCAATATATGCCGGATAAGTTTGGTATACAATTCTGGCTAGCATCTGACGATAGTACCAAATACACTATAAATAGATTTCCATATTTGGGGAAAGATGAAAATAGAGGAACTTCATCTCCGCTTGGAGAATTCGTAATTCTCAAATTACTGGAACCGTTCACAGGATGCGGAAGAAGTGTCACTACAGATAATTTCTTTACGAGCGCATCACTAGCTGCAAAATTACTAGAAAAAATAACCACTCTTGTTGAATCTATCCGAATAAAAGAGAATTACCATAATTCACCAAGCAGCCGAAAGATGGTATGTCACGCTTCTCAACAAAATTATATAAACCGAGACATTGTTCATTTACCATTTACAAAAGTAAGCCAAACAAAAAGGTGCTTCTACTAAGCTCAAAGCATAAATCTATAAGCATCAATACAATCACATTTTACAATAGCATTAAATACGGTGTGGACATGACAGATCAGATGGCAAGAAAATACTCCATGAAATCGAAATCGCAGCTTGACGAAAAGCCAGCTTGACCTGGCTGGAATCAACTCATAGATTTTATACAGAGAAACAACCGGCGAAAAAATTTAGGCAAACCTACAAAAGTCAATTAAACGATAGTATATATAGGTCTATTTCTTATTGTTTTAGAATAAAGCTAAAAATAAACTTTGTTTTAGTGTCGTCAAAGAAATTACAGTTTCCTGTAAATTACGGTACTATAACTAAAAATTATTCTACTAAAAATTTATATAAAATTTACTTTATTTTGTAACATGTAACATTCTAACTTTTCGTAATCCATCTTAAAAAACAGGATTTTTAATTTGACACTTCAGAAAATTATTGAATACAAACAAATGTTGCTGTTTATTTGAATTAAAAAAAAAATATATGAGCGCCATCTATCAATAATTTATTAAGTCATTTCATAATAATATTAAATATTAATAAAAAATGTGAAATAATGCAATCTATTCCAACTTTTGTGTAAAACAAATATAAATTAAATAGTTGAATAAATGTATTTGTTTCAAATATCAGAAATATGTTTTTTTAATTTTTAATTATAATTTACAGGAAACTGTAAATTTAATTTCTTTGACGACACTAAAAAAAGTTTATTTTTGGCTTTATTCTAAAACAATAAGAAATAGACCAGTCGAACCCTATATTTTTGTAATCAGAAAAAAATAACGAATTTAATAAGCGAATAATCAGTGGTTGTTTCCATTTAAAAAAACAAAAATTCTCATGATATCTCAAAATATAAAACCGAAAAATTTTTTTTGACTATGTCATGAAATTCTCTGTAAAAAAATGTCCATATAATGTCTTAGGTATAATACTCCACCTATAATAATAACCAAGATAATTGCATTTGTTGGTTTTACGATATTTTCAATTTTGGCCTCTAGGAGAAAAACAAAAGACGATAGCGCTTTGAGGTTTTCGGCATTTACAGTTTCTCGAAAAACGAGATCATGACATGTAAGCTACTTTTTTTCTAACTCTTATAGTTTCCGAGTTAGCCTATTTGGACATCGAATTTGAACCACCCTGTAAATAACAGTTTTATTGTTGATTTTCCGTATATTTTTGTCTATTGTTTAAGTATACAGGATGTTTCAGGTTTTTGTAGCAGGACTTTAACAGTCGATAGATCTTTTAAAATTAACACAAATACTTCATATAAACATAGGTCGACAAACGTTTTGTTTTGGAGATACAGGGTGTTCAAATTAAATTTTTATTTAATATTACACGTGTATTTCAACTGATTCTTTTCAAATTTGATATACGCAGGTTTTTTGGCATGAGAAAGACGATTATGGAGTCCGTTTTACTATAGCCGGTAGAGGGTCGCAGTGGGGGCCGCTCTGTAACGTATTCTTTACTGATTAAAATAACAATAACATTTCTGACAGTATACTTTTTCACTTTTTAAATAAGAATTCTTATTCTCGGTACATTTTTAAGCAAAAACGGTACTCTTATCAAAATGCGCTAAAGTTGATCGTTTTCAAGATAATTCGCTTTTTATTATTCGATGTAGACCAATTTGTTTAGAGGATTTTTAAAGATAGGTATAATAATGTTTGCCATTGAAACAAAGTAGGTAAGTTCACTAATGTTTTAGTTTATTAATGTTTTTTTAATCTAAATAATAACAGAAAAAAATTAAAGAAATTGTTGAAAAGGTAAACATTTTGCTTGCATAATTCTGACTGACGAATTACTGATCGAGTAATGGTATTTAAGAACAGCCTTATATCATTACAAGCATTCCTAATCCTCTGAATACGAAGGCTTTCACGGTAGAGCCCTCTACCGGCTATAGTAAAACGGACTCCATAATCGTCTTTCTCATGACAAAAAACCTCTGTATATCAAATTTGAAAAGAATCGGTTGAATACACGTATAATATTAAATAAAAATCAATTTAAAAATTTAATTTGAACACCCTGTATCTCCAAAACAAAGCGTTTGTCGACCTATGTTTATATGAAGTTTTTGTGCTAACTTTAAAAGATCTATCGACTGTTAAAGTCCTACCACAAAAACCTGAAACACCTGTATAAAAAATAAAGTAAATCGTATGTAATGAATGAACCTAGTTTTAATTTCAAAATATCTATATTTTACCATATCGATATTTTAAACACAATTTTTTAAAGCGGCACGCAGCATAACTCGAACAATTTTCGATTTAAACTTGTTACCACATATTTAAAATTAGATTCTATAAAGAAATACGTAGGGAATTTTCGATAAGTTGATTTCTGAATGTTTTATTAACAAATTATTGTCTACTTTTGTTATAAAAAAATTTACTTTTTTTTCAAATGCTCACAAATCGATCAAAAACTAATAAGTAACTAACTCATGTAGATTAAGACATTTTTTTTCGTTTTATTCAGATTTAATTTGGACCTCCTACACTGCGTGCCGCAGAACTTTATCCTCTATTAGTAACTAGATCGCAAAGAAGCGCTTTATTTTAGATTTCTAGTGGCCGAATATCCAGTATCCTGCTTTTCGCAAAATTACTATACGTTCCATCACTATAATCTGTTTTTTATTTAAATCAATTGTCATTGCCAAATTTTTATAAAAAAACGGTCTGTACCACCCTAGATACCATGTTCTATGACCACGCTTTATAATATTTTCCACTAAATAATAAGTAAGGTTGTGTATATTCTAAACGAAGTTGTCACTGATTGTCACTTTAAAGACGAAGCCACTAATCTCTCGTCACTTGGCTAATATCTACGTTTTGAAATTAAAACTCGTGAGCAATATATTAAGATAACATAATTAAGTGCTATAATTAAAATTTGAATATTGTTTAAAAATCAGAATTACTGGAAGAATCTGAGTCTTCCGCTAGTTGGATGATGACAGGAGGTAAATCAGTTATTAATGAATTTCCCATTAATGTTGTCCAATCTTTTTTAATTAGTTCTTCACAGTGGCGAACACTATTTGCCCACATCTCCGGAGTGTAATGACCAAGAGCTTTTTGCCAAGTCTCCTTGACACGACAGATCTTTTTCTCCGAGCTGGACTGAACATGTTTATTGTAATAAGTTTTTAAGAACGCCCAACATAGTTCAATGGGATTATATTGGCAATTGTATGGAGGAAGGCGAAGAACAGTATGGCCATGGTCTCTTATTAATTTGTCAATTTCAAAGGATTTTTCAATTTGAGGCTTGTAATAACGGATTATTTCCCATAACGATTTTTTATTTAAGGTTGGTTCAAACTGTATATTATGTTCAGTTAACCATTTTTTCATATCATTTTTTTTTGTGCAGAAACTTGGAGCTTTCTCGATTTGTTTTGAGTGATATGGAGCATTATCCATTACTACCGCACACTTCGCACCCAAATTATTTAATGCTGGAAGTAATTGATTTTTCACCCATTCCATAAAAATAATTGACGTCATATTTTTATGATAATCTCTGTGCTCCGTGTTGTCACTGAGCAAGAGATCGCAATTTGGCAAAAACCCTGACGAAGTGCCTGCGTGCAAGATTGTAAATCTTTTTCCTTCGCCTTCTGCTCTTTGCGGAATACCGAATCTTTCATTTTCATTTACCCATTGATAAACTTGGGTGCCATTTTCGTAAATCCAAGTTTCGTCAAGAAAAACAAAAGTATACTCTCCGGATTCTAGGTATTGCAAGTATGTCTTTAAAAATGTAATTCTTTTTGAAACTATATGTGGTTGTTCAATTAACACTTTTCTATTGCTAATCTTTTTATATCTATATCCCATAGATTTTATAATTTTATGTAATTTTGATCTACCATTAGTAAAATCACATTCATTTCTTGCAAAATTAAGTAAATCATTAAGATTAAAATACTGTTTCTTTTCATGCAATTTTTGTATTTGTCTTCCTAACTCTTCTTTAATAAAATATAAATTATTATCCGTTTTGTAGTTCATTTTACAACGCCCTTGTGTTTTTGGTTTTTTTACAGTTTGATATTTTTTGTAGGTTTGAATAATTTTAAAAACCGTCGTGCTGTGAACCTAATACAATTATGTTGAATATAAATTTAATTTTAAAACTCAAGTGCAATACACATACATCAAAAATACGTGAAGCTTTATCACATATATATTTTAAATTCGTATTTGGTGTCTCCGTCTGTACTTCTTCACAATACCTAATTATAGAGTTTTTTTCGCGTTTAGACAGTTGACATCCCGTTCCACCCTTTCTTAACATTTTTATGGTAGATTTAGCAGCAAAAAAATTATATGAAAATTGTTTTTTAATCAATCTTAACAAATTTGATAGACAGTGGTGGCACACAATTAAAGTAAAAGTCACGATATGCGCTTTTACTTTCAATACCAACTTGACAACACTTTGACAATTGATTTAAATAATTTTATAGTTGATACTATCAATAAAGAATAAACTACACGTTAAAACAGTGACTTTGATCCACAATGTTGAAAAAAGCTATTTAATGGAATTGCTGGAAGGATATGAGATTAATAAGGTTAATCATGACCCCTATAAATACTCATAAATGAACGAGATAATAGGAACGAGTTCGTCAGGACAAGATAGCACCTTGACGATGCAATTTCTCTAGTTCCTTGGCTATCCATCAATCCTCAAAACTCACCTGTTTGTTTAATTTACCCAACGTCATCATTGTAAGTATGCAACCCATATCACAGTACGCGTATTGCAATACGCAATTTGTGTATTTGGTTGCATACTTACAATTATGACGTCGGGTACGATAATTAATTAACACAGTGTATGGTACATGTTGTGATGATGTTTAATTAATGTTTTTCCTGAAGATGAGGATTAGTCCCCGAAACTAGTAGAAAATAATAACGTTTAATTACATCGTTAAAGTGTTTTAATTAATTTTGTGTTTAAATTAATAAATTTTTTGCTTACGAGTATGTCCGGTGTTGGTACATTTCATTTTCTTCGGCGGTAACTCGTGATGGTGCCATTGCAAAGGTGGTAAGCTTATCGGGATTGTCCTCGATAGGTTTATATCGATTGGAGATTCGCCAATTTCCGCTTTAAGCATGTATTCTTGTATCACTTTAATGCCATCGTATTCTAAGTCTGAATCGAGTTCGTCGCGTTGTTCGATTCTCCTTTGGGGCTCGACCTGCGTGGACATTATTCTAAACACTAAAAATTTTGCACTCACAAAAAATTAACAGAAAAAGGAATAATGCTGGCGTGACAGATGTAAATTGCCTTTTTTAGTTTTGTCAAATTAAAAAAAAAGTGACAATTAGTAACCAAACAATTTTTTAAATAAATTCTCTATTTAAAATTACTTTATCTATAATACAATTTATACACTTACTTACTTATTAAGACGGATAAAGCTTATTTTATTTTATTTTCATCCTATGGAGAAAAGCTAAACTAATATAAAGCTTAGAAATGCATTTTTTTTTTTAATGGAATTACAAAAAGAAAGAAATGGAATGAATAAGAATACTACGGACATATCACAACGTTATTACTTAAATATTTTTTGTTAAAAATAAATCAATAAACACGCTTTGTATAAATTTCTTTCTTAAAAAGTAGATAATAATTAAAATTAAAACGTTTTTAAACTTATTTACCCGACCATTCCGATATCTTACCATCATCAAAAACCAAATTGTGTCGTGGAAGCGGAACTAAACGCCCTCGTTTTAAAATACCCATATTTTCACCCGGATAGTACTAAAACAAACTTAATCAATTAATTGATCAAAAAATGATTAAAATTTACTTGGCATTGAGAAATAAACTCTAAAAGAGACGTCCCCAATTTCCGACTTGACTCAATCAATCCATCCAAACTAAAACATACCTTAATTAATACATCAAATTAAAAAAAAAAAAATTTAATTAACCTATCTTGTTGAGTTAACCCCCCATAAATAATAGTATCACAGATTTTCGTGTTTGCATCAACATCAAAAAGTGGCACACCAAATTGGCAATCCAACAAAGTCCAAATAACCCCTTTTGATGACTCATCCTCCTCAATGTTTTTAATTTTTTCTTCATTTTCGATATTTTCAATCTTTTCAACATCGTTTTCTTTATTTAATTGCACAATAGACTCTTGGAACGAAAACATGCTTATATTTCCATCAATTGGACTCAAAAGTGAATCATTTTTAGTTCTTTTCAGTTCATCCTCGTCTTCTTGAAGTTCTAATTGATCCAATTCATGTTTTAGAATATCCGTACAATCTTTACTCAAAAATCCGTTCGCTGGGGAATTCGCCCCACTCGCATTTTTCGTTGGGGTTAACGCAAAATGGGATTCAACCGGGCTTTGTAATCGATCTTCATTAGAAATATCTTTAGAACTCGTTTCTTGACAAAAATCATTTTTTAATTTATCATTATTATTATTATTAAAAGAAAAATTTTCGTTTGAAATCGATGTTGGTTCGTTTTCATTGATTCTTTTCGCTTTTCCCAGATGATGTTTACCCAATTTAACGGATTCGTCTCGTTTTGGGCACCCAAAATCCAACACACCGATATTGGCGAAAGTTAAATAACCGCAATTATGGTCTAAATCCAACGTTTTTGATAATAATTTCACCGAAGGGTGATCCTTCCAATTTAATTTTGATATATTTTCGTCTAAAACACAACAATTTAACAAAAATTAATCCTTTTTTTGTTAATTCACCTAATATATTATGTTTTGATGGAGTTTCCGGTCTAAACGGAAATGGTACCACCGCTATAGTGGCCGGTCTATGTACCCCATAAGCTTGAATCATCACCGGTGAATATTGCAGGGCTGCGTTTACGTGTAAAACATTCTCAATTGGAATTACAGCCGGTTCGTGAAGCCACGCTGTGACGAGAAGGCGGGAAAATCCCAAAAACATTCTTGGAAGTTGTTTTAAAACGGTCCCTTTTGTTAGGAACAAAGTCGGAGGGCCATAACCCGTTTTGTGATAAACAAACATTTTGAACCATAATGAATTTACCTCCGGCACGGCGGGGCCTAAATGCGGCGGGTTTAAACTTGAAATCGTCTTTACGTCTTTGCTTAAAGGAGCCATTGATACTAATAATCTAAAAATAAAGAATTAATTTAATTTCAATTTCGAATTTTGTATTTCAACATAACCTATTTTCTATAAAACCTGTCAAATTATTTAGAAGTTGGCAATAAAAATAGGGAATTTTGTTTTATAAAGTTTTTAAATGAAGTTGTGTCATTTTAACGTAAATTTTGACATTGACAGGTGTACAAAAATTTTATTTATGAAATTAATAAGAATATGTTTTGAAATGATGTGAAATTGAGAATATGTTAACTTTGAGTTTTAGTTGTATGTTAAAAGCGAAGTGGGTTGGTTGAATGACAATGTAAATAAGAAAAAACTTGCTTCAAATGTAAAACACCAAGATATATGGGAAGATTTTGTAAAATTAAAGAAGATAAAAAGAAGGAAATAAATAGTGTGCTTCAACTGCAATAAAAAAGGTCATATTGCATCACAAGTGTGGAATTTACAAGAAGAACAATCACGCTGAAAAGCATTGTTACTTTAGAAAGAAAGAAACGGAAATAAAAACAGCTTTTTTTACAGAAGAAATAAAAATGGAAATAAAAGCATTCGTAATTGACTCAGGCGCAACCATAAAAAATAGCTTCGTAAAAATGCAACTCTCTAAAAAACATCTCGTACTAAAAATTGAACGTATGTGGCGCCATCTGTTGGGAATATTTTGAAATTGTTCAGCTAAGAACCGAACCACTAGAATACAGGTTGGATTGGTTTTATACATAAAAACTAAAACCACAGAATAACTGCATTTGGAAACTGTTGGGAGCCACTATGTGGCTTCAAGTAACGTTCCGACTGGTTGGGAATTCCTCAGATGCAATTAATCTGTCAAATAATGCCACCTCATTTGAATTTCACAGCATCATATACATCTGAGGAGCTTCCAACCAGTTATAACGTTAGCTGAAACAAAGCTATAATGTCACTTATAAAATCTACCGAAAAATCACTTTAAAGTGACGTTTTCAAATGTCATTCTGAACAAACTTAAATTTTTAAAATTCTTAGCAGTAAATTTAAAAATATAACACGAATTGGAATTTATACTTTTTAAATTAAAAAAATGATGCTGGTTATAATTGTTATTGCTATCTCTTATCATTCCTACTATTAATAACAAAATTGTTAGTTTAATTATATTATTTCAGTATAGACGCTAATGCCCTCTTACGGGGGGATTTCGACATACAATCAATTCCAAGTTATATGTCATATGTCAGCAACAAAGAAGGATTATTTAATAATTTTGAAAATAAATTGACAGAAATTGGAGTAGCAAAAAAGAACGAAATAATAATAATAATAATGGCAGAGAAAGAAGGAATAATAGAAGGTGAAAATTGTGTTCTAACAAAGGTATTCTTTGTGCCAAAACTAACAAAAAACTTGATATTGGTTAATATAATAAATGAAAATGGAGGTGAAGTTGCTTTTAAAGAGAATAAGGTATCCATATCAAAGAATTCCAAAATAGGATACAATAAACATAAATAGTGCAGAAGAAAATATAGAAAGTTTACTAACAACTCAACCCATGGCAAAATTACAAGAGTGGCACGAGAAAATGAGACACATTAATATTAACAGTTTAAAGAAATTACTCAATGAGATCATGGTTACAGAAATAAACATAACCAAGAAAGATTTTATAAGTGAAACATTTTGTAAAGTGTGTTTGAAAGCTAAACAGACGAAATTTGAGAATTGAACTAACAACATGGGAATAATTCAAGATTAGGAGTCTCTCTTAAAAATCGATGATTTTTTTTTTAATCGATAGGATATCAGTCAAAAGAGAGTAATATATGAAAAATGAAACTTTGGATTATTTAAAAAAATATGTAGAAGAAATGGAAACAAGTAAAAACGTAAAATCCATCGAGTGGAATAAAAAGAAGGGTACTATAATGGATAATACAGTAATATACACACCACAATTAAATGGAAAAGCTGAACGTTTAAATCGAACAATTATAGATAAAGCCAGATCATTAATTTTTGACTGTGGATTAAAAAGAAATAATCTGAGGAGAAGCAGTAAGAAAACTTCTTATGAAATCTGGAATAATAAGAAACCTGATTTATCTGGATTACCAATATTTGGATGTGAAGCATATATTATGCAAAAGTATTAGGATACTTAAAGAAATTAGACGAAAGAAGCAGAAAGTATAACTTTGTAGGCTATGCGTTAAATGGTTATAGATTGTGGGATAATTAATAACAAAAAGTTATTATACATCGTGATGTTGTTTTCAAAAAACCAGAAGATTTACCTGAGCAAATTGAGGTAAAATTAAACCAAGAGGTTAATCAAATGAGGAAGGAAATTGATGAACAAATTAAACAAAAAAAACGAAACAACTCAGGAAAAGCAAGATGAAGAAGACAGAGAGAAGGAAAACGAAGAAAATCATAATAGAAGGGGACGAAGAACGAGAAAACCACCTGTAAAGTTATTACTTGACATTTGATGAAGCAATAAATGGCGAAGACAATAAAAAATGGTTAGATGCAATAGAAGAAGTCATTGAAGTTGAATCAAGTATGGGAATTAATAAAAAGCGAAATTAAGGCACAAAAGATAATGAGCTATAAATAGGTATTCAAGATCAAGGATAAAGCCAGATCAGTGGTAAGAGGTTTTGAACAACCACAAAAACACATAGAAGAGTATACTACAGGGATATAGCAATTTAAAAGGACAAGTCTGTAAATAGAAAAACGTTAAAACTGTATCAAAAGGACAATGTAAACCAAATGCTCGAAAAGGAGGCAGTTTACTATACTCAACTAATAAAACCAAACCAAACATAAGTTTCGCTGTAAACTTTGCTAATAGATATGTTAAAAATACAAAAAAAAAATGTGACGTAACTAATGTAAAAAGAATATTAAAATATCTACATACAAACAAGGATTTTCGAATCGAATATACGCTTGGAACTGGAATAAGAAATTTAAAACTGCAAGCATTTACAGATGCTGACTATGCAAATTGTACAGATACACACAAAAGCGTTAGTACTTTAAAAATCATCGAAAATCATCATAGAGTATTCTCTATAAACAAAGATTATACACAGGGTGATTCTCAACCTATACGCATAAACTTGGGAATTTACTCCTCATGACGAATAATGACTAAAAGGCGAAAAAAATTGTAATAAAATATTTTCTGTTTCATAGATATCCGTGATATTTACTTTCAAATCAAGAATACATCAACATTTTAAAATAACATCACACCAAGCTCCCCGAATCCACGATCACCCACTAAACCAGGGTGTTGGCGGATTGTCTGGGCCGCAGCATGTCTCTGATTTTGCAACATTTGGTCAGTATTAACTTCCGTGGCGTACACTATGCTTTTTAAGTGACCCGAAAAGTAAAAAAACAAGAAGATTGAGGCTGGGCAATCACTATGGCCAGGCCATTGGGCCATCTCGACATATCTATCTTCCAGGAAACACATTATCTAGATGTTGCCGATTATATCGTATATTTACTAAAAGTAAACTAAAAAACTTTTACTATATTTTTTTTCATCTATTAGTCATTATTTGTCTAGAGGAATAAATCCCTCAGTTTGTGCGTATAGGTGTAGAATCACCTGTATGTGACATTGAATAATAAGTAAGGTTATGTAGTCAGTCAAAAAGGTGATGTATGTCATTTAAAAGCATTAAAATATATCAACGGGGTAATTAATGCAAAAGAATCCGATTTAAACATTTGCGTTGTTTACAAATTGTACATTATTGATGTGAAATTAATTAAAAAGAAAATTTAAATATCGTTAAACAAAAGTACTTTAAAACATGACGGATAGATGGCGTTAGTAACTATTTAAAACAGTTCATTAGCATTAACTAAGTTCATTAATTAAATAATTTAATAAAGAACATGTTTTATATCAATAACGAAACTAAAGGAAAAATTATACAAACATTTACAACGATTATATTCGTTCGAGCTGTATATGTTGCATGGAATAATAAGTGAGGTTAAGTACATTCTAATTGAACTGTCAGTCAAAAAGGTGATGTATGTCATTTAAAAGCATTAAAATATATCAACGGGGTAATGCACGTGTTATGTTGCCTTTGGAGTTGCAAAAATAGCAGTAAAAAGGGATTTTGACTCTTTAAAGTACCATGAGAAAAAAAAAGGATATTTGGTGTGTAATGTTATGACATAATTTTAAATTTCCCGCTTGACTTTCGAGCAAAATGGCGGCAAATCACGGTACTTTGACTTTATTTAAAAGTTTCAAACATATCAACGGGGTAATTAGTCCATAAGAAATCAATTTAAACATTTGCGTTGTTTATAAATTGTACATTATTGATGTAATTGACATCAATTTAAATTAACATTTAAATAGTTTTAAAAAAAGTACTTTGAAATATGACGAATAGATGGCGCGAATAACTCTTTTAACATTAAATAAGTTCGGTAATTAAATAATCTAATAACAAACATGCTTTATATCAACAACGAAACTAAAGGAAAAATCATATAAACATTTACAACGATTATTGGTTCGATGTTTATAGAGTATTCTCTATAAACAAAGGTTATATATGTCACATGGAATAATAATAAGTGAGGTTATGTATGCTCTAATTGAACTGTCAGTCAAAAAGGTGATGTATGTCATTTAAAAATATATTAAGGAGGTAATTAATCCAAAATAATTGATGTCAAATCAATTAAAACTAAAATAGTTCTAGCTTTAGTGTTAGTTCTAGTTTTAGTTCAACAAATTATATTATTATATTCATTTAAATATTATTTAATTCAGGTCAAAAAGAATTAAATTGGTCGATTGTAATAGTGAAGATAATTTAACAGACTTTTTTACATCCCATTGAAAGCTTAATAAAAAATATAACCCAACAAATATAATAAAACTGGATACTTACTTGTACTTTTTTTGTAATAACCTTTGGCACGTCGCCTCATCCAATGAATTTAAACTTTCCAATCGAATTAAATCCAAACCGTGCGAATCCATTTTTCTCAAAGCCAAAACGGTCGATCTTAAAAGAACCGCGTGCTCGAAATACCGGCGAGCTTCGCCTTCACCCTCCGCGTCTAAAACGGAAACTTTTTGGAGTTCCGTCAAAAAGCTATCCAAACTTTCATCGCATAATTTTCCAACTTCAAACATTGTAACGGCATGTTTTTTCAAGCCCTATCACAAAAAAAATGTAGTAAATAATTAATTTTGAGTTATATTAATAAATTTGATCTTACAGGTGATAAATTTCCCATCATAAGAAACGCGGTTAACGTTGAATCGAATAAAAACGCAACCCTTTTTCCTGATTTTAAGGTGTTTGTTGTCACTGGGCTATCTGGAACGTCGGTATGTGGTGATTGGATCTCGATGGGTGGGGAATTTGATTCAGTTTGGGTTAAATTTAAAGTTAATGGAGTGATATCGACGTTACTATAAAATAAAAATTAAATTATAACGAATTTGAATTGATTAATAATTATACTTAATTATAGGTATTGGTTGATTATTCCACGATGGGTCTCGCTTTAATTTACTTTGTTCTTGCTCAAAATCGAGTTTATTCGCAAATTTTAAACGACAATAAAGCGAAACTGCTTGTTTAACCAATTCCGTTTCAACATCCAAGACATTCGCTAACTATGAAAATGATAAAAATGATTTTATTAAAATAAAAATTGAATTAAATTTGTTTACTTCTCCAACTGTGGTATGTTCGTCAATAGAAACGAATATTTTATATAATAAAGTCTCGAAATAATCCCCTAAAATGCGATTCATCACGAAACCTTGCAATGGAGGAACTTGAACCCTATCCGCAGCTGTTATAGGAACGTCCAAGTACACCAAACCTTTCCTAAAATTCAATTTTGTTCCAAAAATAAAAAAAAATTGTTTTATTAATTATTTACGAACTTATATAAGCTAAGAACTACGTGATAATTTAAATCTCCCGCGGTTTGTGACCCAAAATCAATTAAATGGTCAATTACTTTTAATTCTTCTTCATTAACCATCTAAAAAAAATTAAATTAATTTAATAATTAATAATTTATAGTTAAATTTACCCTAATATCATCCTCCAAAACCATTCCAACTTCAACTCTCCACCACGGTTCGATGTTAATATCCCCAGGAACCGCTGGTAATAACCCACGAACATTTCTTTTACCAAATAAACGCGCCCGATTCGTCCTGGAGCGGTTCATTAATTCAATGTATTCATTTCGACCAATTCCGAGCAAACGTAAACCTTAATTTTATCACCATAAATGAATTAAGTTTAATATGAAGACGAGATACTTACAATCTGCAGCTGTAAAATTGGGTAAAGTATCGTAGCTTTTTTCGGCTTGCATTAAACGTTCCACGACTGAGACGTAATAATTGAATGGGGTGATTCGTAACCCTTTAACAACCATGTCTGCTAAATGATATGGAAACAGCATTAAGCGTTCCCTACTAAATGCGATAACCCGTTCGTAATAACGCTTTTCATCTTTTAAAACTTGACGAACTAAATAAATTAAAAAATATTATTTTGATTAGATTAAATTAAAAAGTACTAATTAAAGTTAAATTCGTAATCTATTTTACCAACAATGTCGGTAATAAAGGTTTGATATTAAAAATATGTGAAATTTATATTAAAATTTATTTATTTTTTATCACAAAAATTATTAGCTATTGGTGGAAATGGTATTAATAAAAGTTATTTATGATATATCACTAAAACATAATCCATAAACGATTTCATTCCAATTATTTCATATTTTTTGTTAACAGGCATAAAAGATCGAAATTTTGAAATTTAGTTTTTCGGGCAGTTTTATTAAAACTCGAAAACTAAAAATATTAGAAGAAAGTATTCTTGATGAGAATTGTTTGTAATCAACCAGCAAAACGTTATGTGCAAGTGATTGTAATCCAACTACGTTTATTACCAACCTAACGGACTTAACATCCCATACATTTAAAAGCTTATTTAACTAGTATTTAATGAGTTAAGTATCATTTCTTTAATTCTATACATTTTGGTGTTATGATTTTTCTTCACATTCTTTATGACAAGTTAATACGATTGTTTTAGTTCAACTCTACGAGTATTGAGGTTAAATTGATAAAAATGAAATTTACAACATCGTATCTCAAGAACGGATTGAGATATTATCATGAAATAAGAAGCATTTTGAAGCTTATTTAACTAGTATTTAGTGCGTTAAGTATCATTTCTTTAATCCTATACATTTTGATGTTATGATTTTTTTAATACATCTCTAAACATTTTTTATGAGAAGTTTATAAACACCAATTTAAAAACAATCATATCTCAAGAAATAATTGAGATATAAAGCTGATTTAATAACCATTTTATAGCAAATTTAATCTAGTTTCAATCCCCAAAAAATATTTCCTTCGACTCTATAAATCCCGATGATACGATTGTTTTAGTTCAACTCTACGAGTATTGAGGTTACATTGATAAAAATGAAATTTGCAACATTGTATCTCAAGAACGGATTGAGATATTATCATGGAATAAGAAGCATTTTGAAGCTTATTTAACTAGTATTTAGTGAGTTAAGTATCATTTTTTTAATCCTATACACTTTGATGTTATGATTTTTTTAATACATCTCTCCACATCCTTTATGACAAGTTTATAAACACCAATTTAAAAACAATCATATCTCAGGAAATAATTGAGATATCAAGGTGATTTAATAACCATTTTATAGCAAATTTAATCTAGTTTCAATCCCCAAAAAATATTTCCTTCGATTCTATAAATCCCGATGATACGATTGTTTTAGTTCAACTCTGCGAGTATTGAGGTTAAATTGATAAAAATGAAATTTACAACATCATATCTCAAGAACGGATTGAGATATTATCATGGAATAAAAAGCATTTTGAAGCTTATTTAACTAGTATTTAATGAGTTAAGTATCATTTCTTTAATCCTATGCATTTTGGTGTTATGATTTTTCTTCACATTCTTTATGACAAGTTAAGTACAAAACTAAAAATAACTCAAAAGTTTTTAACCATGTACTGGAAACAGGACATAGTATTAATTTTGAAGGTGTGACACTCTTACATAGATGTAATAAAGGTCTGAAACTCAATTTCCTTGAAATGCTCAAAAATAAGTGTTTTAATAGGTATTTTATAGAATTAAAATTCCAAATTTAGAATTAAATATTTTTGGAGTTAAATTTATCAAATATTATAACGTTATTTTCTTAAATTATTAGATTGTAAATACTTTTAAGATTTAACATTTTTTACCTTTTAAGACTTTCATTACTTTTTGACTGTTCAAATGTAGTTAACATTAATTATAATGACTTGTAACTTGAACTTATTGTTCNCTTATTTAACTAGTATTTAATGAGTTAAGTATCATTTCTTTAATCCTATACACTTTGATGTTATGATTTTTTTAATACATCTCTCCACATTCTTTATGACAAGTTTATAAACACCAATTTAAAAACAATCATATCTCAAGAAATAATTGAGATATAAAGCTGATTTAATAACCATTTTATAGCAAATTTAATCTAGTTTCAATCCTCAAAAAATATTTCCTTCGACTCTATAAATCCCGATGACACGATTGTTTTAGTTTAACTCTGCAAGTATTGAGGTTAAATTGCTATAATTTGCAACATCGTATTTCAAGAACGGATTGAGATATTATCATGGAATAAGAAGCATTTTGAAGCGTATTTAACTAGTATTTAATGAGTTAAGTATCATTTCTTTAATCCTATACATTTTGGTGTTATGATCTTTTTAACACATCTCTCCTCATTCTTTATGACAAGTTTATAAACACCAATTTAAAAACAATCATATCTCAAGAAATAATTGAGATATAAAGATGATTTAATAACCATTTTATAGCAAATTTAATCTAGTTTCAATCCTCAAAAAATATTTCCTTCGATTCTATAAATCCCGATGATACGATTGTTTTAGTTCAACTCTGCGGGTATTGAGGTTAAATTGATAAAAATGAAATTTGCAACATCATATCTCAAGAACGGATTGAGATATTATCATGGAATAGGAAGCATTTTGAAGCTTATTTCACTAGTATTTAATGAGTTAAGTATCATTTCTTTAATCCTATACATTTTGGTATTATGATCTTTTTAACACATCTCTCCACATTCTTTATGACAAGTTAAGCTTACAAACACCAATTTAAAAATAATCATATCTCAATAAATAATTGTGATATCAAGGTGATTTAATAACCATTTTATAGCAAATTTAATCTAGTTTCAATCCCCAAAAAATATTTCCTTCGACTCTATAAATCCCGATGATACGATTGTGTTAGGTCAACTCTATGAGTATTGAGGTTAAATTGATAAAAATGAAATTTGCAACATCATATCTCAAGAATGGATTGAGATATTATAATGGAATAGGAAGCATTTTGAAGCTTATTTAACTAGTATTTAATGAGTTAAGTATCATTACTTTAATCCTATACATTTTGGTGTTATGATTTTTTTAATACATCTCTAAACATTCTTTATGAGAAGTTTATAAACACCAATTTAAAAACAATCATATCTCAAGAAATAATTGAGATATCAAGATGATTTAATAACCATTTTATAGCAAATTTAATCTAGTTTCAATCCCCAAAAAATATTTCTTTCGATTCTATAAATCCCGATGATACGATTGTTTTAGTTCAACTCTACGAGTATTGAGGTTAAATTGATAAAAATGAAATTTACAACATCATATCTCAAGAACGGATTGAGATATTATCATGGAATAAGAAGCATTTTGAAGCTTATTTAACTAGTATTTAATGAGTTAAGTATCATTTCTTTAATCCTATGCATTTTGGTGTTATGATTTTTCTTCACATTCTTTATGACAAGTTAAGCACAAAACTAAAAATAACTCAAAAGTTTTTAACCATGGACTGGAAACAGGACATAGTATTAATTTTGAAGGTGTGACACTCTTACATAGATGTAATAAAGGTCTGAAACTCAATTTCCTTGAAATGCTCAAAAATAAGTGTTTTAATAGGTATTTTATAGAATTAAAATTCCAAATTTAGAATTAAATATTTTTGGAGTTAAATTTATCAAATATTATAACGTTATTTTCTTAAATTATTAGATTGTAAATACTTTTAAGATTTAACATTTTTTACCTTTTAAGACTTTCATTACTTTTTGACTGTTCAAATGTAGTTAACATTAATTATAATGACTTGTAACTTGTACTTATTGTTCTGAAGATGGCTTTTAAGTTGAAACTAGTCAGATAAACATATTTTAATAAACGACCAGTTGAAAGTATAGAAATTTTACATATTTTTAATATCAAACCTTTATTAAAAAATACTAACCTAAATTTCCTCGATATCTCAATTGATTCTTAATACTGAAAGTGATAACATGTCTATCGTATAATTTAGGATTGTTTTCAAGTAACTGTAACAATAAATCAACGTTAAATAAGAAACCTTATCTAATGTAAATAAAAATGAGAATAAAAATTCATGATTACCGACCTGTTTTACGTGTGATGGTAATTGCGCCCACGGCACATTCTTTCTTATGTTATCTTCGATTTCCGCGTTCATTTTTCGTTTATTTCCGATACTCACATCGTTTTCATCATCACATTTTCCGAAATACACAAACACAATCGGGAATGCGTTAAAAGTCAAAACTGTCAATGTCAAAATTTTATGTTTACCCACTGGTGTGAAGTCAAACGCCAACAACTAAATAAAAATTAAATTCTCTAAAAAAACATTAAAAACATAACCTCAATGTTTGTTTATAATCAATTTTAAGATTTAACAACAAAATATTTTGAGGAAGAATTTAATAAGAAGAATTATTGAAATAAAAAGAATTTTTATCAAAATGGACTGTTTGGTAGCTTTAAGAAAAATAGATGCAATCAAGGATCCAGAAAAGGCGAAATTATGCTTTCAAATGGCATTAGAGGTTATAGAAAAGCAAAGGAAATTAATTCGTTGTTTGCAATTGAAGCACAGAAGAGTTCGGAGACGAGCGGAACAACTTAAAGGCGTTGTGGAAATATTACGAGAACACGATATTGATAGCGAGGAAGGTCAACATGCTATAGAAAAATATAAAATGATTACCAAAGTATGTAGTAATTCCGTGTAAATTTTAAATTGATTTAATTAGTTATTAATTAATATAGATTGTAATATAATGAATAAATTTATCGCAATATTTGTTTTGTTATTAATTAGTTAGGCATCCCAACACACACTAAATGTTAATTAGCGTCATCTATGTAAATTTTAAAGAAATAATTTTTGACTTTTTTGACAATTAAATGACGTTTTAATTTTGATTAATTAATTATTTAGTGATTTATTTTAATTAATTTATAATAAATTCTACGATGATTTAATTTAATTTAGATCGTAATATATTTATTGAATAATATAAAGATGTAAGTTTTATTGATGGCAATAAATCAGATTGTACACCAAGGAAGTAGTAAAAGTGTATAAAGGACGTTTATTGACTTTTTGAAGAGATGCGCAACCAACAAAAATTCGAAATTAAGGCGGTTAGGCGTACGACATGCGTCGTATAGCGCATGTCCCCTTTACGCTTCTCACAGAAGTTTTGTGTATATAGCTATTTCCCTCTAAACATCTTTATCCGCCATTGCATAAGGTTCTTGTGTGGCGTTCGAAGCGATTTTTCGATTAAGATCCATTTAGGAACGATGGACCCGGGGATAGAGCCCTAACGACTGCTCCCCAATTTCACGTCTTCCACGTTTTTAGGTAAATTTAAACGTTTGCGGACAACGTTAAAGTGAACACCAACTGCTTCACAACTTTTTGTTAAGGTTATTTCGTTTTCGTATTTCATCTCGTGCCTATTTACATCAATTTTGAATAATTAACGATTAAATGGTGATTTAAAAACGTAAATTAATGTGAGTTTATAGTTTTAAGTGAAGAGTTTTCGTTTGCACCGAAGACTCGGTGTGTGTCTGAGGATGAGCAAACGGAAGCGAGCCAGTTCTGTCGCTAGCAGAGGCCAGGAAGAGGATTCTTTGGATGGTATTGAAGCTTCTTCCAGTGGGGGACCACCCAGAAAAAGGAGTAGGAAGCAAGATCCGGTAAAAAGATGGTTTTAATTTCGAACATAACCTAACTTTTTTTTTGTTATTAGGCTGAACAAATTCAACAACTTTATGAGTCAATAAGGAATCACAAAAAAGAGGATGGGACGCTTCTTTGTGACTCTTTCATTCGAGTTCCAAAGCGGAGACAAGAACCAGCTTATTATGATGTTGTTTCAAACCCAATTGATCTCTTAAAAGTCCAACAAAAATTAAAAACTGATGAATATGATGATGTTGAAGACCTTCAAAGTGATATTGAGTTAATTGTATCGAATGCTAAAGCTTTTTATAAAAGAAACTCGCAAGAATATAAGGATGCTAATGAGCTTTGGGATCTTTTTTTAACCAATAAAATGAGGTAATATAACCTTACTTTTCAGTCAGAGTTGGAATGTGTGTGAGTTAGGTGGTGTTCTAGCGAATAAATAGTAAATTTAATTTGCCCTGTGGTAAGATATAGAGTTGTATATAGCTTAGAGACATTTACTCTGAAACAAGTATTATTGAATTAGTAAATATAATAGAAAATAATTACAATCAGTTAGATACTAATAATTTTACTGATATAGAGTTCTCTCAGGAATATTTAAACAAATTGGGATTTAATATTAAAAGTTACAGAGTGGAAATTATTGAACCTGATGAAGAAATTGATGAACTGGAATGACAAAAGTCTTAATAAAAACAAGCCTAGTCTATTGGCACTTTTAAATAAAAGCTCACAAGATATTATAATAATAAGTAAACCAAATAAACTGAAATTTTAACATAGAAGACTGGAGAGAGATATTAAGTAACACTCATTTGGAATATATTATTCTAGGTGATTATTTTACGAGCAACTTGTTCATTTTTGATACTTTGAGGTTATTTTGAATAAGAAGAAATTTCATTTTTTTCCTTAATATCCTCATCGATTATGATATATAGCATAAAATAGAACGTTTTATCTTTAATTTGGTGCAAAAATAACATCTTAATCAATAAAAATAAAGTTGAAATGATTTCTTTGAGATTAACAATCATTTTGAAGTTAATGAAATGTTAAAAAAATCGTAAAATCTGCATTTGTTGGAATTGATTGGTGATTAATATCGCAAATTGAAGCTAATACTACCTATTTTATGGTAATCCATAAAAATATTATAGTTAATAATCAAATTGTTTTGAAAAATAGCTTTAAAACAACTGGTTCATTTTTGATACTTTGAGGTTGGTTTAAAAAAGAAGAAATCTAATTTTTTCCTTACTAACCTCATCGATTATGATATATAGCATAAAATAGAACGTTTTATCTTTACTTTGGTGCAAAAATAACACCTTAATCCCTAAAAATAAAGTTGAAATGATTTCTTTGAGATTAACAATCATTTTGAGATGAATGAAATGTTTAAAAAATCGTACAATCCGTATTAGTTGGAATTGATTGGTGATTAATATCGCAAATTGAAGCTAATACTGCCTATTTTATGGTAATCCATAAAAATATTATAGTTAATAATTAAATTGCGTTGACAAACAGCTTTAAAGCAACTTGTTCATTATTGATACTTTGAGGTTGGTTTAAATAAGAAGAAATCTCATTTTTTCCTTACTAACCTCATCGATTATGATATATAGCATAAAATAGAACATTTTATCGTTAATTTGGTGCAAAAATAACATCTTAATCCCTAAAAATAAAGTTGAACTGATTTTTCTGAGATTAACAATCATTTTGAGATTAATGAAATGTTTAAAAAGTCGTACAATCCGTATTTGTTGGAATTGATTGGTGATTAATACCGCAAATTGAAGCTAATACTGCCTATTTTATGGTAATCCATAAAAATATTATAGTTTTTAATCAAATTGTTTTGAAAAATAGCTTTAAAACAACTGGTTCATTTTTGATACTTTGAGGTTTGTTTAAATAAGAAGAAATCTCATTTTTTTCCTTAATAACCTCATCGATTATGATATGTAGCATAAAATAGAACGTTTTATCTTTAATTTGGTGCAAAAATAACATCTTAATCCCTAAAAATAAAGTTGAAATGATTTCTTTGAGATTAACAATCATTTTGAGATTAATAAAATGTTTAAAAAATCGTACAATCCGTATTAGTTGGAATTGATTGGTGATTAATATCGCAAATTGAAGCTAATACTGCCTATTTTATGGTAATCCATAAAAATATTATAGTTAATAATCAAATTGTTTTGAAAAATAGCTTTAAAGCAACTTGTTCATTTTTGATACTTTGAGGTTGCCTTAAATAAGAAGAAATCTAATTTTTTTCCTTAATAACCTCATCGATTATGATATGTAGCATAAAATAGAACGTTTTATCTTTAATTTGGTGCAAAAATAACATCTTAATCCTTAAAAATAGAGTTATTAATATTATTATTATTAATATTACTGACTATCAATAATATACAACTCTATATATTTATAAAAAACAAAAAAAAAATAATGATAAGAATTAAATCCATATTCATGACTTATCTATAATCACTCCAATCATTTATTCATGGGTTTTCTGTGTTCGTTTGTGAAGTTTTGTTGATCCAACTTCATCACCACAGGGCAAAATAATAATAAAATAGCAACAAATAGTGAATTACTGGAATAATAGTGTTAACAAAGAGACTGGAGAAGAAGAGCTAATGCTCATACTCCAACATGTAGCACCTTTAACACTAAAGTGACACAATTCAAATAATAGTGTTTCTAAGAAAACAAGCAGTAATTGATATTATTGGCTAAAAATATTCAATTTTTGAGTTGTCACTTTATTTCTAAAGGTGCAATGTGTTCCTTATAATATCTATCAATCAATAACCACTTTTTTATTCACTTAATAAATTTATAATTTTAGGATTATCGACGAACTTGATACAAAAACCAAGGCGATTTACAGGGTTACCAAATACACAAGACGACACGACACAAAAGAACACCCCTCAGACCACTCCGAAGATACATCAGAAAGTTCCACGAACCAAGACGACGACTCAAACCTTTACGAAGAATTTTTCGCGGCGATTATGGGAGCGACCGATTCGGATAATCGGCCGATTCACGCCGAATTTCAACTTTTACCTTCGAAAAAGAAATATCCCGAATATTATGAGATTATTGAGAATCCGATCGATTTGAAAACGGTCGCGACGAAAATACAACACGGTGAATATGGAAGTTTATTAGAAATGGAACGAGATTTATTGGTTATGACGAAAAATGCCTGTTTATTTAACGAGCCGGGATCTGTAATTTATAAGAATGCTAAAGCGCTTAAAAAGGTTGTTACGAGTAAACGAATCGAAATCGAACATTCAAAATCCTCGGGTGGTAAAAGTAGCGATCGAATTCGCAGTAAACGATTGCGAAGTAGCACTTCGTTGTCTGCTGTTAATATTACGGCTGCTTTACAAGATGATGATTCAGATGAGAATGATATGGATATGGAGGAGTCGATGGAAGAGGAGGTAATTAAAACAAATTTTTTTAATTTTTGATTTAAACCATTCCTTGCTATGGTCCTCAAATGAGGATTGGGATTTAATTTCTAATTAATTAGAAAGTAAAATAAAATATTAAATAAATAAAACCCTAGCAAAACACTAGTCATTACAAAATTATACAAGTATTAGTTTAAGGCCACTTTACAGTAAGCAATTTTCGACAATTTTTTCGAATTTTTCAGTTTTCGCCCATTAAGTTTTAAAAATTCGTATAAAATCCATTTCTTAGAATATGAGTTTGAAAATTTCCCAAAATGTTAATAAAAGTGTCTGCTTTCCAATGAACCAACCCGTTTTGAAAAATAACTTTTAGTTTTTGAGAAAACAATAGTTGAAGTTTTGATCAAATTTTCGATGTTGCAATTTTTATCGATGACTTTCAAAATTCGCTATAAAATTCACTTCTTGAAGGATCCTTGTGGAAATATCACCAATTATTAATTAAAGTATCCTCTTTTTAATGCAAAAAGCCGTTTTGAAAAATCACTTTTAGTTTTTGAGAAATAAATTTTTGAAATGATCAACAATTTTTTTCGAATTTTGCAATTTTTGCTGATTAAGTTTTAAAAATTCGTATAAAATCCAGTTCTTGGAATATAAGTATGAAAATTTCCCAAAGTGTTAATAAAAGCGTCCTATTTCCAATGAACCAACCCGTTTTGAAAAATAGTTTTTAGTTTTTGAGAAAACAGTAATTGAAGTTTCATAAACTTGCGAACTGTAAAGTGGCTTTAAATATTTTGCGATTTTAAATCAACCGATTTATCTCGAGGATGGATTTGAAGTTCTAAAACTTTTAAGCACTTTTCTGAAGCGTCGATCGTCGCTTTTATTCTGTTTTAATAAAGATTTTAACTTTAAAATGATTTTGTAAAAAAAATAAGGTGGGTTTTAAAATGAGGTTATGTTTATGTGTCAAATTTTGACATTGAGCTGGTTTTTAATTTATAAATAATAACGTTTAATTTAATTTTTTTTAATAAACATCATTTTTTATGATAAATTAATTAGTTAAATAAAATTATTTTACTTTGATTTAAAAATAAAAAAGGAGTAAATAATTTTTTCAGTAAAGCGCCATCTATTTTCTTTGTTAAGACTTAAATCAATATTTGAGGTTACGTTAGTAAACTTTTAAACAATTAAATCGTTTTTTAGTGCATTATTTATTATTTACGGTATGTTATTTATTAGTTACATCACATTTAGTTCTATTTATTATTGTATTAATCTTCATCACTCGATTGAGAAGCGTAATTTAATTGTTCATTCCAACAATTAAGACAACAATTAAGTGTTTTGCAACAATCTCATTTATTGTACATTTGTAAGACACGTATTTTTATAACTTATATTTCTTTAAAGCACATCTAACTACAAAAAACTTAATTTTAATTAATTCTTAATTTAATTTTATTTTAGAGTGATGGAGTTGAAGGTGATGATCCTCAATGGCAATTATTCCAAGCTGTTACATCAATGACGGGTCATGTAGGGCAATTATTATGCGATCCCTTTTGGCGTTTACCCTCAAAAAAATTTTACCCAGATTATTATAAAGAAATTAAAAATCCCGTTTCAATGAGTCAAATTAAAAGAAAATTGGTTAATAAATTGTATGGAACTGTTAGTGAAGTTGCAGGAGATATGACGATTATGTTCGAAAATGCTAAAAAATATAACGTTCCAGCCTCTAAATTGTATAAGGTGGTTTATATTTAAACAAATAAGTATATTTTTTTATTGATAGATTTTTTAGGATGCGGTCAAATTACAAAAACTTATGCAGGCGAAGGTCCAAGAACTGCTTGAGGTTGATCAGGTAACGCAACATAAACAGACTAACAGACACAAAAAGGTACGAGGCTTTGCACCCCGCTTTTTTAATTAATTAAAGTTAATTTTAAGTTATCGCAAACTCTAACATCGATATTTTTCTTCAAATCGTTTATTTCAATATTTAATAATTATCGTTTTTGAAAACTATCGATATAGAGTTGTCCTTATTATCTTTTTTTATAAAGAGATTTCAATAAATTAAAGCTACAAGCCGATCATTCAAACAGGTACACTTTGACGTTTTGTTGTTTTTATTTATTTATTTATTTTTTGTTTCATTAACATTTTAATTAATTCAAAGTTATCGTTGGTTTGGTTCGCTTTTTGCTTGCAATGCGCTTTTAATGAATTAAAATTTACATCAACATTTTAATTAAAAAAAATTTTGAGGTTATGTCACTTAACCTTCAAATTCGAAACGTCAATATTTTTATTATAAATTATTATCGTAATAACTTAATAATGAACTTAATTATGATTAATTTGTGTATAATAAGTTAAAAATTATTATTAAAATTTTAAGGAAAGTTAATTATTTTTAATTTATAACGAAAAAAAAAAATTGAGGTTAAGTTTACTTAATAACCTTAAATTGTCATAAAATTCCATTAAGTGTATATAAATCTCTAAAAATCATCATTAACTTGAATGTTTTATGTGTTTATTATGCTTTTTACGTTTTTTTTTTGCATAAATTAACCAAATTTTAATTTTTTTATCCAAAATGATTCTTTTTTATTCAAGGACACGGATAGTGATGCTGAAGAACATTTAATTCGACGGAGACCGTTATTAAAACCAAAAACTCCAATGGGATATAGTCCTGGGCGTGTTGGGAGGCCCCCAAAAGACTCAATTCCACTCAAAAGGAAATTACATGCTATAGCCAAATATTTATTAGATTATACTGTAAGTAAATGCTTAAAAAATTGAAATTATTATTATTATTTTGTTTTGTAGTGTGAAGATAGTAGGAAATTAATGTTGGGTTTTATGGAAAAACCATCAAAAAAACTTTACTCAGAGTATTACGAAATTATAGGTGAACCAATAGATTTTCTCGACATTGAAAATAAAATTCGTGGTGAACAATACAAAAATGAGCAAGAGTTGATTAATGATTTTAAATTAATGTTTTCGAATTGCCGGCATTTTAACGAAGAGAATTCAACAATTTATGAAGACGCGAATTTATTAGAAAAAGCTCTTTTAGATAAATTTGGTTATCTATTACACACACCAGAAAAAGAAAAAAAGATTTATATACGAACGTAAATTATTTTAGTGATTAAGTTAATTTATTAATAAAACCAAATTTTTTTTAGTCCAAAACCAAGAAAAATAATCACCCCCACCGAAAGAAACTGTAAAACTTTATACGATACAATCCGAGATTACCGAGAACCAAAAGCCAACCGACAATTAGCATCGATTTTTATGAAACTACCCTCAAAAAACGAATACCCCGATTATTTCGAGGTAATCAAAGATCCAATTGACATGGAAAAGATTTTCCACAAACTCAAAAGTGGCATTTACGAAACGTTGGATGATTTGGTGCTTGATTTCGATTTAATGTTCGATAATGCGTGTAAATATAACGAGCCCGATTCGCAAATTTACAAAGACGCCCTAGTTTTACAAAGAATTTGTCGCCAAACGAAACTACAACTCAAAGAAGATGACGATACCGTTCCGGATGTTTCGGCCGCCGTTCAAGATCTTTTATTAAGCTTATTTACCACGTTTTATAATCATCAAGACGACGATGAACGGTGTTATTCGGATTCAATGGCTGATTTACCTGAACATGACGAAATTGATGGAAAAAAGTAACTATGAATAATAATAAAAAAATTATTTTGTCCACGACTATTTTAAAAGAAAAGGGTAGTCATTTTTTCACAGAGTGAATTATAGCGGTGAATAATCATTATTCAGTGGTAATCAACTTGACAGATTAATAATGAAACGTCAAAATTTCAAAAAACGTCAATTTAGTTTAATTTTTTAGGACTTTCTAAAGGTTTGATATTAAAAAAGCGTAAACAAATTCGTTTTTTCGTATGATTTAAGTATAAATTCATTAATTTTCGTAAAAAAAACGACGTTTCATAAAATTGACATTTAATTTTGACAAATTGTTGTGAAGTTGGTTACAGTTGGTGACATTGAATTTGTGTCACATTGAGGTTTAAACTTTATTTAAAAATTTATTTAAAAAAATGAGTTTTAAAGGGTAGTCATTTTTCACAGAGTGAATAATAACAGTGAATAATCATTATTTATGGGTAATCAACTTGACAGACTAATAATAATTATTTGAAACGTCAAAATTTCAAAAAACATCAACTTAATTTAATTTTTTAGGACTTTCTTGTGAAAAATAATACGTGATAGCTTTTAAACGTGTCGTAATTTTTTATTTAAACACAAAAACAGTATAAAAGCGTAACTAAAGTACCTTTTTTATATTGACTACTTGATTAGTATTGATTACACCTAATGTTTTATGAATGTATATAATCTAACAGGCCTCCTTACATTTATAAAACATTCACTATAAAATAAACACAACTTGAAATAATAAACAATAAATCTTATACTACTAAACTCAACATTTCTCTTAGTTTCACAAATTTATCTTTACTCATTGAATTTGTAAAAATATCTGCTAGGTTTCTATTTGAATCTACTTTAATTATATCTATGACTCCTTCCATATAACATTCATTTACAACATGATAATGCACTTCAACATACTTAGAATTTTTAGTAAAATTTCCATATTTAGCAATACTCAAAGTTCCTGAATTATCTTTGTATATCTTAATAAGTACCTTAAAGTCAATGTTAAAAGAATCCGCTTCTGATAAGGCTACATATTCGGCACTAGACTTGGTTACACTACCTTGTTTTTTAGATTTCCAATGTACAACATTTCCAAACAATCTCATAACATAGCCTGATGTAGATTTTCTATCTAAATTGTCTCCTGCCCAATCTGCGTCTACATAGCAATCAAGGATTTCACAAGTATCGTTCCTATTGTAAGTTAATTTTATCTTCTTTGTCAAATATAAATACTTCAAAACTCTCAAGGCATATTTAAAATGAGTTTCATTATAATAATTAACGCTATAGCTTATATCTGGTCTATACATAATATTATTAGATATCTCCTGTTCAAGTTCCAATTTTAAATTTACTTATATTGGTGTTTTAAACAATTTTGAGCTTTTAATTTTATATTTATCAGCTAAAGATTTAATGTATTCTTCCTGACTAAGAGTCAACATTTTTCGTGTAATCATAATCAATATTAATTCCAAGATAATTTTTCACTTCTCCCATATCTTTTATTTTAAATTTACTGTCAACAAACACTACTAAGTAAATCATATCGTCTTAATCTCTTTTGTTATATAAACAATAGTCACATTTACTCCTTATAAATTTCATAGAAATAATCATACCACGCACGAGGACTTTCTCTCAAACTGTATAATGCTTTTTCTAGTTTATACACTCTGTCAGTCCCATCCTCAAATCCTCTCGCTTGATTTACATAGTTTTCTGAAAAAATCTTACTATTCAAGAAAGCAGTTTCTACATCCTTTGTTCTATAATCAGTTTTTCTTGGGAGCAATATGATAATATTTTTAAAGTTTACATTTTAGTGACTGGTGAATAAATGTCATCTACAATTTCAGATTGTTGAAAACCTTTTACAACTAATCTGGCTTTATAAATGTTATTTGCCTAAACTATTTTTATTCTTTGGGTTTTTGATCAATTTCCATATTTTATTTTTCTTTAAACTTTCCATTTCCTTATTCATAGCTACTGTCCACTGTTTTGCCTGATTACTATTAATTGCCTCCTCAAAATTATCTATATTGCAAACGTTACAATAAACGTAACTATCATCATATCTTGCTGGCATTTTCTTTTCTCTCTTCGATCTTCTCAATTCTTGAGGCGTTCTTTGTTGTTGTTTTATTTTCGAATTTAATTTCTGTACTCTCATCTTGTATTTCAGAATCAGTTTCAATCTCATCAATAGAAGAATCAGTTTCAATTTCATTGTCAATTCTGTTTGTATCTAAATCTATGCATTTAAGATTCTCCTCCACAACATCAACATGTCTAGCTACAATGATTCTGTTATTTACTAAAACTTTATACCCAAGTTCAGTATAACCCAGCAAAGTTTCCAAATCAGCCTTTTTATCCCATTTAGACCTTTTATTACTTATATATTACTTCCATATAGACGTAAATATTTAATAGTAGGCTTTCTTCCAAACATTATTTCGTAAGTCGTTTTCTTTTCTATAGTATTTGCTAATGTTGTATTCTTAAGATATTTAAGATTTGGCCAAAATTTTCAATCTATTTTTGCTTCTTCTAATAAACATCTAGACATATCCATAATTGATCTATTATATTTTTTTCAGATTTTCTATTTCATTTATGTATTCTACAAAGCAATTATAAACCTGATCTTTTTATTTATGTAAAAAATATGACGTTTCATAAAATTGACATTTAATTTTGACAAATTGTTGTGAAGTTGGTTACAGTTGGTGACATTGAATTTGTGTCATATTGACGTTTAAACTTTATTCAAGAATTTATTTAAAAAACTTAATTTAAAGGGTAATCATTTTTCACAGAGTGAATAATAGCGGTGAATAATCATTATTCATGGATAATCAACTTGACAGACTAATAATTATTTGAAATGTCAAAATTTCAAAAGACGTCATTTTAATTTAATTTTTTTCGGACTCTCTAAAGGTTTGACATTTTTTTTTCATATAATTTAAGCATCATAAATTAATTAATTTTCGTAAAAAACATGACGTTTTATAAAATTAACATTTAATTTTGACAAATTGTTGTGAAGTTGGTTACAGTTAGTGACCAACTTCACAACATACGACATTTGTGTCACATTGACGTTTAAACTTTATTAAAAAATTTATTTAAAACAAAATAAATTTATGGAATCAATTTCAATAGTAGTCGTGGACAAAGTATAATATTCTAATATTCTACAATTAAATAATCTTTTTTTTAATTTGTAGAGTTCGAGCTGTTTCATTAGATTTAATAAAACGTCGTTTAGATAAAGGAATGTATAAACGTTTAGATACATTTCAAGAAGATATTTTTGCATGTCTCGATCGAGCAAGGCGTTTATCGCGGTCGGATTCGCAAGTTTTCGAAGATTCAATCGAATTACAATCGTTTTTTATAAAACACCGCGACGAATTATGTAAATGTGGCGAGCTTTTACAATCACCCGCTCTTAGTTACACCTTAATGCACTTAACGGCCGCCGTTGAATCGCTACGGCAAAGCAAAATGTTACAAGAATCGCTCGAAGATGAGAACGAAACGAGAAGTTCCGATGATTCTGTGATAAAAGAATCAAACGCAAATTTAGGTGAAACGATGGTTTGTAATCAACAAACGTTTAAAGTGGGCGAATTTGTTTATTTGGATGCGAAAGAGAAAGGTTGCGAGCCGCATATTTTATTGATAGAGAGGTTATGGACGAATAACGGTCAACAAATGTTGTATGGAAATTATTATTTAAGACCGATTGAAACGTATCACGTTCAAACTAGGAAATTTTTGGAAAAGGAAGTTTTTAAATCCGACACTCACGTTGCGGCCCCACTTGAAGAGGTGAGAGAGCGTTGTTGTGTGATGAGTATTAAACAGTATTTTACGATGAAACCCGAAGTTTTTGATGATAAAGATGTTTACGTTTGCGAGTCGAGGTATAGCACGAGAAGTAGAAGCTTTAAAAAAATTAAACTTCATCCAGATATGCAAAGTTATAAATTAATTCCAAGAGATGTTCCAATTGAACCAAAAAGGGTTATGTCAGTGTTTAGAGAGCGCGTTGAGAAACATAAAGATGAGTTGGCTGAGTTACAAGAACAGGAGAAATTAATTGAAAAGGAAAAACCGAATGTTGTGGCTTTTGCTAATATGAATATCGATGATGGAAATACTTATTATGAACAATACAATACAATATGTAGTGGGGTTGTGAAAACAGGCGATTTTGTATATGTTGCTGCTGATGGTGGACGACAAATGATTGCTCAAATCGACAGTATATGGGATACAAAAGAGTAAAATAATGATTTAATAATTTGATTATTTATTAATTTTATTTTGTTATAGCGGAAAATGTTATTTTCGTGGTCCTTGGTTTATAACCCCAGTGGAAGTACCTCAACTTCAAAATAAACCTTACAAAAACGAATTGTTTCTGTCAACTTTAGACGACACACATCCGCTTGTTGGGATTGTGGGGAAATGTTCTGTTTTGGATTATAACGATTTTATATCCTGTAACTAAAAATGATTCATCTTAGATTTTATTCATTAATTTTTATTTTTTAAGCTCGCCCGACGGAAATTCCCGAACAAGACGTCTACATCTGCATTTCTCTCTATGATGAGATCAACCGACAGATTAAAAAGCTCCCCATTGAAGGATTAAAGAAGTTTAGCCATAGCAATGCAGTCACGGAGGACGAAATTTACTACTTTCCTAAGCTGATTAATCCAATGAAGGTAAGTGACAAATTTAGATTTTTTCCACAGCTTTGAAATATATATGAATGAAAAATTAAAAAGAAAATCTTGATTTATATAAGCGCTGCACATATTCTTTGATAAAATCCTTTATTTGATGATACATTTCTCCTTTTATGTAGAACGAAAAAGAAACACTTTGGAATAATAATAATTTTATAATTAATTTATAAATATTTCGCTTCTTGTACAAAATAATATTTAGCTTAAAAAAAATGGATAAGGATTTATTAACATTAATTTCTTTAATAAATCAAAATGGGGTCTAAACACTGTGTAGTGTTAATGATATAATATAAAAAAGCGGGAAAAGAAAACGTTGGATTGCATGCTCCACGTTTACTTTTTTAAGCTTTGTGAGCTTGTTTATTGTCGCTGCTAATTTGTGTGTCGCATGTGTCGTTGTTGTCTTTTACAGAGGGACAATATCATCGTCTGCGGATCGAAGGCATCCAAAAGTAACATTATTATGGATAATGTAAGTAAAAAAATAATCATGCTGCATGATTTTTGCGCGTGCGCGCATGATTTTTATTAATTAATATGATTAACTAAATATATTAATTCGTAAAGTATAGGTTTTCCAAGAATGTGTAAGTAGTGCTAAAGATTCATGATTAATCCTGCAGTTGATGGGTGGTTTAAAAATACACTATTCGATGGGCTTTGTCCCTCAGACCCTAAACTGTTAGTCCGTCTTATTTTGTACTGATGAAAGTAGAAATTGTTATCAAAAAACAATACCACCATTAATTTCAATACAACTTCTAACTCGTCTAATTAGGGACCATCTGACTTTCCAAAAAACACCCTGTTTGTTACGAATGGTGTCACATTCATTCTTTATGCGTAATTCTAGCTCCTCAATTGTATTACCTGGCGTGTGGCGTATAGTAACGAAAAAAATCTATTGGATTCAAGTCCTACGAACGAGGAGGCCAACCTCGAAGTCTTCCTCGACTTCTCCACTTTTCTGGAAAATCCAAAATATTCATCAAAATATTGCCGAACTTGAACGCTGAAATGAGGAGAAGCCCCATATACGACATTCTTCTCCGTGTTTGGTGTGACACATTTTCTAGTTGCACCATTAAATATGTGCGGTCCGATCAAATGGTCTCCAGTGATTCCAACCCATACATTTATAGAAAACTTTTCTTGGTGGTTTCTGTGTTGTGGAAATTTATGACGCCATCCCGAGTAAACCCAGCTTCATCTGCAAATAAAATCCTATCCTGAAAGTTTCGGTCTTGCCCCCATTGCTCCAATCCACTCACAAACATTTACTCGTGGTTCTATATCCATAGGTTTTAAGGCGTATACCAGCTGTTCCTGCAGTGTTTCCCAAACGACACTTTTCGGTACGTTTTCTTAGGCAGACGACCTTCTGGTTTTAGCCAAAGGATTTTCGTCTACTGCATCCAATATTCTTCCTTCAATATCTGCGATTAGGTTTAAAAGATCCTGTCTCAAACAATTTTCTATGAACTGACGAGAAAGTTTGTTCACAAGGAAGCTTCCCGAGAATTTCCATCGGTCTTACCATACATAAAATGGATATTGGTATACTCTTCGAATGAATATTCGACCATTTTGAGACTTTTAATAGCAATTTGAATTCAATTGAAAAATTGTAATGTGAAAGAACTTGAGGATAAACTTTTTTTCATGATTTTTGATGTAGAATCACCTCTTTAAATATATAGACGTGATTTCCGGACACCTGTATATACAGTCTAACGCACAAAATGTAGATGGTCAAACATATTAAACACAATTCTCTGCGCAGTCGATGCAGCATGGACTTGTATGCTCCAAATAGATGCAAGTACTACAAAACTTGCAAACATATTTCGATTTTCGGTCCTTGCAGTACCTTAACTAACTACACTTTTTACTCTTGACAATAAAATAATATATACTTTTGTAAATGTCAAAATTTTTGGTGCTTAATATGTCCCTGATATCTGTGGATTCCTACAAATTGTATTGCAGAGGTTGTGTCTTAATTCTGATCTTATATATTCATATAGTGAACATTCAAGTACATAGTGATTAATGTCCCTCCGAGTTCCACAGTCGCAGTCCGGCCTATGTCTCTGTCCAATCTTGTACAGATATGATTCAGGCTTGTCCGGTTCTCAGCCTATTCATCAAAGTGTAAAAATATCTTGAAACATGGAATTCTCTCAAACCAGGCAGGTTTTCCAATGCTTAGCTCTATCTCAGTATACCATCCCTTGTAAATGTTATATATGTGTCCATGACATCAATACTCATTCGCAGCGCAGTTAGCTTAATACCCTCACGGGCCAAACGATCTGCTGTGTCATTACCATGTATTCCACAATGGGATGGTACCCAACATAACTTAACCTCTAGTCCCTTATTATCAATTAGACTCAGTTTCTTCATAATGGAGACAAGTGAGTAATGAACCGTCCTTCTAGGTTTAAAATTTTTAAGTGCTTGTAGAGCCAACAGCTAGTATTACTGACTATTTTACTAACCAGTAAAAATTCAACCCTTACAAAAACTTTTGTTACCTCTAAAATTAAAAAACTGGTTAAAAAATGGATTACAATATTAACTTCGACTACATTAACAGTAGCTAGGTACTTCAGCTGCAAAGATGGACATGTGAGGTGGTAGTCCTATTGATAATTATGCATCGTGTGTGGAGAGAAAACCCCACATCCAACCACTCTGGGTTCGTGTTTAAGAGAGCCGTGCGTAGAGATGAATATTTTATAAACATGTTATTAACTCCAGCCTTTATCGGCGGGGTATCCTTTAAATATAGTAGTAGGGGTAAATAGGAATATTGAAGATCAGTCATATGGAACTGTAAAACTGATATGCCTTACGTCTTGCTTAAGGTTGAAACTGTCTTTCCCGATTTCTCTAAGGATTTCTATCGTAAGTGGAGTACGCCGCGCCGGAATTTGTGGTGTTTCCATTTCCAAATTGAGCCTTTTAAACAGCGTTATTATGGGACTATTTATCTGTTGTAAATTTTTAATTATAAATTTTCTTGTTCTTAATTTTACTGTTAGCTTGAGTGGACGTTCATAAGCTTCTGCTTCCAACACATTTGTAGGAGTAGTCATCGTTAAGCCCAGAATGTATGGTATGTCATTTTCATCATCATGCTATGTAGACGAGCGATACAGTACTTTCAAAGTTACGGGATCACCATCCCAATTAGTCGATGAAATTGTCTTCAAAATATCCATTGCCTTTGCAACAGCACCAACCGATACTCGGATCTGTTCTTTCCAGCTACGTTTAGTATTAAATCGTACCCTAAGATACCTTATTGAGTTGGTATATGTTATCGCTTCACCTCCTATGCATATATTTGGGTTGTTATGTTTCTCTTTCTGCTAAAAATCATGGCCTTCGCTTTTGTGACTGATCCATCCTTTCCAGAAATGTAAATAAGCTCTCCATATCTTCATTGAGCGCATTCGCGCATCTCTCTATACTGCAATCCGACCTGAATACAACGATATCATCTGCATACGACAACCCAGTTCCCATTATTTCGTTATTTAGTCCATTAATATATAAATTGAATAGTAATGGGCTTAATGGGCTGCCTTAGGGAAGCCCCGGAAGATCTTAATGGTTTAAGATCACCTTTGAGTTTCACCTTCTTCCATTGAAATAGTGAAAATATGACAGTTATGATTTTAGAGGGCACTCCATGTTACGACGATACTTCCACTAGTACAGGAATCGAAACGTTATTTTATGCTGCCTTGAGATCAACAAATACAGCTATTAAAGGTCATTTCATTTCCATCTGCACCGAGGCTGTCAAATATGCGATACAATGAGCGATTCTCTTTCCCTTCTCTTAAGCCAAACTAGAGATAGTCAAATAATAAACCTTTCTCGATAAACCAATCCACTCTGTTCGCAATGATTTTTTCAAAAATCTTTTCTGAGTTTTTAACATTTATATAAAATTTTTTGACACATTGAAATTTTTGACAGATTAATGGATACGTTCAGATAATATTTGACTATTTCATAATCAAATTTACTACTAAATATATCAAATTTTATTTAAAAAATTATAATTTAATTCATTTTTAAACATTAAATTTGATTCGAACAAAAATTAATAATTAATTTGAATTTTAACAAATATTTAGTTGCAAACGTTCTGATATTGTTGAATTTTTGATATAATTAAATAATTAAATCAATCAATACAAAACACCAATTAAAAACGAAAACCTAACACACATGCGTAATTCCATTATAGCGATAATACATCGATCGAAAAAAAAAATTAATTAAAATAATTAATTCCGCCATTTTGTCGTTTTTCCCTTCACGTTTTGTCGTAGCTTAATTCGGCGCGAAATTTTAAATTTAGACCACCGTCGTCGCCAACTCCCTTTTAATTTCTTTTTTTGTCATTGTTGTATTTCGTTTTCTATCTTTTTCTCGTTTGTTGGAAAATCAGCGATCGAGAGAGAGATGGAAGCGTTCAAAAAACGGCAGCAAACAGTGACAGGTGCACGATTATTTATTTTTTTTTTTTTTCGGTGGGTTCTCGAGGCGTGTCTAAGAATTAAGAAAACGCGTACGTTTTTCGATAACTCGGTGCTAAATACGCAGGGGCGTTGTTGCCGGTTCTTTTTCGCCTAATTCGAGTTACGCGAGGGGGAGAGAGATAGCGTTCGAAATTCCATTGAATATTATAACATACTTCTTTTTATAAATAGACCTTGTTTAGGTTTTGATAATTTTATCTTTTCAAGACGGTTTTTGTGCTGATGTAACGTAATCAAGTGACTGTGAAAAACTGGCTTTTTAAGTTGATTTGTTTGATATAATTTATTAAGGGGGGCAACCTTCGTAACCTTCGTTGTTGGTCGTTTGGTGGCCTTCTATTTGCCGACGACGAGTACGACGACAACGGAAACGTTGGAGTTAGGTTATGTTGTAGTTTCGCGATTAAAAATAACAATTAATGTTAAAAAAATATCAACAAATAAGGCGAAAGATAAAGTAGGCGTTGGTGGTAACTTTTTTGTTTACATAATTTCGGTTGGTATTTGTTGAAATTAATAAAAAAATAACTATTATAACGGAAAGTGAGTGAGATTTTGCAGTTCCCTATTTGCAGTTCTCTCGTCGACGAGTTTCTTGTGAACGTACCATGTAAAAGTTACATTTTACTCCGGCCGTTACGTACTTAAATATGGAATACATCAATCTGGTATGTTTAGAATCACCTATTTAGTAATTTAGCGTGTATTTTCACCTCCATGTTTATGGAAAAACGTTGTGCGTTCTCGTTTCGCCCACAAAAACGAATCATTTTGGTTTTAATTAATTTTAGAATTGGTTTTAGCTCTAATCGGGTTATTTTAACCTTCTTAATCCACCATAACCTGTATTACACATCGTAAAAACATACCTTCCAACTAAAAGAATTTGGGTTATTTTTGGCTTCATTATGGGGCTTTTATTTTAGATTTATTGTATTGGTTATCAATACTTCGTTATTTGCGTGACTTTCCCGTATTAACGAAACCAAAAAATACATTCTACGTTTTTTAAAACGTTAATACTTTTATGCGGAGACCTCTAAGAGGTCAATAACTTCGCCTCTTACTTGTGAGAATTATAATTTCGTTATAAATTGCATATGTAAATCATTTTATGGTAAGAAACTTCATTAATTATTGTTTAATGAGAACAATTTTTGAGGTGGCCATTTTTGTTGTTTGGAATAACCTCAAAAAAAATTAATACAGATGTGATATAACAACGTTTAAAGTTTTAAGTACATGATATGGTTAAAATAAAGTAAAAAGTTAACATATTTAACGGATTGGCGATAACATTGTGTTAATTAATACAATATTGTTGTACCAGACTTTAATTTGAAATTTCCTGCGATTTGTATTAATTACAATGCTTGTGTATTCAAATGGTGAAATTAGTGATATAAAGCGTATGTATGATAATGCAAATAAATAGATTATAGATGTTAAACACTTTCCAGAGGTACAAGAATATATTTTGAAGGTTATTGATGATAATTTTGGTTCAAGAGGAGTATTCTTCTAGAACTTACACACCCTTATCACAACCAATGGTTACAAATCCTTATTGCTTCCAATTGTCACCTGTAGAAGACTTTTTAATTGTATTGGAGCAATTTTACTAGCGCTATGGACCACAAACTACAAAGAAAAGCCCAACAGTTAACGAGTTTATCCAAGGCAAGATAGTATCAAAAGAAGAATGGCAGAAATATTTTAAACAACTATATTCCTTAGAAGGACTTATACACATTGATGAACCAGTAAATACCAACACCCCTGTTCAAGTAGAAGATGTTAAAGAAAAGCTTGGTAAACTCAAAAATAGAAAATCCTCTGGAACAAATAAAATACCCAACAAATTGCTCAAAGATGGTGGGAAAGTCTTACCAGAAAAATTAACCTATCTATTTAAGAGAGTGCTACAAGACTCTGAAGTATTCATTCCCATATTCAAAAAAGGAGCAAAAACTAACCCTGAAAACTATTTACAGCTAATTAAAGCTATTTACAAACATACTAAAAAATTATAGCTAGAAAATATCAGAACAACAAGGCTTTAGGAAAGGCAGATCAATAACTGATGCCTAATTTGTCCTGAAACAAATAAAAGAGAAGTCAATTGAGTTCAACAAACCCACATACATGTGCTTTGTGGACTTGATTAAATCTTTTGATAGAGTATGGTTGGGTGATATATTAAATCTATTAAAACTAAGAGGAGCACCAGTTGATATTATAAACATAATACATAAATTAAATATTGATAACACAATAAAAGTGAAAGCTAGAGATGAATTGACTGAGGATATTTTTGCACCAGGAGGAGTCAGGCAGGGTGACAGTCTTATTTAATCTGCCTACCTTGGTTACACAATGGAAACCTCAGAAGACGACCTACAAAAACAACTTTACTTAAGTTCTATCAAATGAGCAAAGAACTAATCATGCTGGTCTTTACTGATAAAACCAAATGCGTAATGATAGCAAAGGAGTCAATAAGGTGCAAATTGGTTGTTGAAAAAACAACCTGGGCGTATAAATTTCTAGCTACAATGATCCTGTTAAAGACCTAAGATCATAAATTTATTTATTAGCACCACAACATATAAAGAATACAATAACACAAAAATAATAACAGAATTGCCAATAACAGGACCAATTCAAGGTACAATTCAAGTACCTTGTTTCTCATTGTAAATTAATAAGGCAGCAGCAATATCAGGCGCCTTATGAGACATTGTTTAGTCTAACAAATACATGAGAATCGACAGCAAAGTTAGGATAGATAAGACAAAAGCCTACTAAGAACAGCTGAGATGAAATTTTTTTAAAAAGTCACCATATCTAGTTACTTTTTCAATACCAACCTAAATCTAGTAAATTTTTAGCCCCCCAGATTTAAATTGGTCACTTTCCCTGTACTTACAACATTGGAACGTGACGTCACCAGGAGCCGCTCCTGGTCAAGAACCAGCATTAATACACTGCTTATATAATCAAGAACGACGACATCAGGGAAAAGTGCGAGATACAGGATATCGTCAGATGAGGCAGACAACGGAAAAGAGCGTGGCATGATCATGTAAACAGAATGCCAAATAACAGGTTGTTCAAGCCTGTCTTGATATACAACCCACCAGACCACCAAAAAGATGGCGGAACAGTTGGCAATAGATTATATGGTCTAACAACAAAAAGAAGAAGAAGACAGTAAAAGCTGTATTCGAACGGTCGCAAGATTGTATTTTTGTTGATTGTAAAGGTGTGTTTTACACAGTTTTAACCTTCAATGGTGTGAAATTATATTAAAAACTTGGTTTTAAAAGTCGGTATGCTGTTAGAAAATCATTCATAACTATGATTAATAAACGAAAACAGTTTGCATTTACAGAAAATGCCAAAATAAGGATTTTAACTTCTGGAAAGTGGTAATTTTCACAGATGAGATTTAACTCAATATAAAAATATCGACTGGACTAGTAAGAATTCGGCGAGAGAGAAACAACAGCCTATATCCACATAATCTGATACCTACGTTGAAACGTGGTAGAAGTTTGGTGACGATATGGGGTTGTTTTTCAGTGGCAAGAGTCCAAAATCTTCATTTTAAGCGCCTTTCACATGATCAATATATATGGCCAATAAACATTGACAAACTGTAATTGCCTCAGATTATCAATATTTATTGACGATTTACTTAGTTTTGCGCTGGCAGTCAAAGATGTCATACCGTCAAAAAGCTTGTGTAGCTATTATTTTAGCTTTAGCAATAAAACGGCGGAAGAAAAAGAGAATATGGGCTAGTAGGGAATGGCTTCTAAAGAGAGACAAGTTTTTTTCACATGACTTTGTTGAATGAGGTTCGCGTATCTGCTCCAAAAGATTTTCAAAACTTCTTTCGCGTGACTAACACTTGTTACGAAGACTTATTGAACCTACTGGGACCAATTATTATTAAAAAAGACACAAAGATGAGAAAGGCAGTTTCAGTTGAAGCGACATTGTCAACTCTCCGATTTTTAGCAACTGATACGAAGTTTTCTGCTATAGTAGCTCCTAACACTATTAGTGGGATTGTAAGATTGTCAATCTTTCCCTCAGACTGTCAATATATCAAACATTTTCGTTTTTGTCAAACTATCCGATCAATATTTTCAATATTGGCAATCTGTCAATCTTTCTATTCACACGTCCAATAATATTGTCAATACACAGATATTGACAATATATATTGATCATGTGAATGCCGCTTTGTAGATGGACTATTGACTGCAAAGGGGTGTATAACATTGTAAAAAAAAAATTGCAATGTGCTGAAAAATAGTGATTTTTACCAGATTTTATCTTCAAACAAGATAATGATTCGAAGCGCTGGATTCTAGATTTTGGATCGTGTACAACTGTTCAGAGCAACTCAAAACACCATCACAAAGCCTAAATCTTAATCCTATTGTCAATATTCAAGAAGAAATTGAAATATTACGATATTAGAAACATAATCGACCTAAAAATAGCGTTGAAAACAGAATGGACTAAAATACCACCTGATTATGCTTTTTTGGTTCAAAATGAACAATTTTGGTCCAAAACATTTTTCTTTGTCGCTTATAGTTTCTGACTTATGCCAAATTTATTAATGTGTAATCGATTTTTACATTTAGAAGATCATAGGTTGGTTTGCAGGAAATGTAGCCATCTAGAAGAAATTTTTGTTGTGGATTATGCTTTTTCGATTAAAGTGAACAATTTTGGTGCACAATATTTTTCTCTATCGGTTATAGCTTCTGAGTTATGACAGATTTATGAACATAAGTGCCGGAATTTGACATTTAGAAGATTATGAATTAGTTTGCAGAAAATGTAGATATCTAGAAGAAATCTTTGTTATGGATTATGCTTTTTGGGTTCAAAATGAACAATTTTGGTGCACAACATTTTATTCTGTTGGTTATAGTTTCTGACTTATGGCATATTTATGCATGTAAGTGATCGATTTTGACATTTATTTTCATACTGTATCGAACTGCAGAGGTAACCAACATATTTACTTTTGTTTTTACTCTTCTAAGTGAAATAAATCATCAAAAATATTTGAAATTTCTACTACCATTCTAGAGCAATTCCTGATATTCTAATATTTCGAAGGGTGTTCAAATACGGATTTTGCATACCGTGTCTCCATGACAATCAATAGTGTCGTCTGTCTCGGAATTATAACTTAAGGCTTGTATGTATGGAGACAATTACTTCGTCTAAAGCTACGTGCTCACTTGAGAGAAACTTCTGAGAGTAACTCTCGATAATTACTTTCAACTGTGTGGCCACTTGAGACTGTTTTAGCTCTCCGAGAGCTATAAAACTTCCGAGAGCTTTCTTTCAGAACCGTGTCCACTAGTGAAATGTGTCCGTGCTATGGAAAGTAAAATTTATTTTCTTTCAGCGTTTATCAAATTGTTAGTTATTTGGCATACTGGATTCACAGAAAGTGAACTCGATTGCTTTAATGGCACTTATAAATGCAAACTATAAGTTTATTGTCGTGCACGTGATAGCTTAATAGTGGCTTGGCAGTATTTTGGAAAATTATTAGAAAATATAAACTTAAACGCTTAAATTGCTGAAAGAGACTAGATATTGCTGGCAGAAGACTAAGTATTACTAATGAAAGACTAGATGTTGCAAATGAAGCAGATTCCTCTTACAGAAGACTTCACACCACTATCAGAAGACGAAATACTGTTGGCAGAAGACTAGATATTGCTGCAAAAGACTAGATGTTGCTGGTAGAAGACTAAGTATTGCTAGTGAAGGACTAGATATTGCAAATGAAGCACATCCTTCTTACAGAAGACTACACACTACTACTAAAAACCCAAATACTGTTAGCAGAAGACTTAATTTTACTGTTAGAAGACCAAATTATGTTGTCAGAAGACTAGATATTACCAATGGTACAAATCCCGTTTAAATTTCTGTCCAATACTTGTTAAAATTGCAACCTTCGCTTCCCGATTTTTATGTTCTTTAGATTTAGTATTCTGAATTTTCTTCATACACTTCAATTAATTCAAATATTTCTTCTTGGTACCATTTTCTTTTAGGCGTCATCTTTAAATGTGTTATATTGAGAAAACTCGCAGCAAAATTGAAACCGTGTTCGTTTTTTGACAGTTACTCTTACGAAAGATAAATTGTGCGTGTCCACTTGAGTACAAGTCTCAACCTGTTCACTCTCCGAAAGTTGGTGGAGACTCTCTGATAATTAATCTCAGATGCGTGTCCACCAGAAAAAAGCAACATCATCTTTGTATCATGTCTTCATCACGTTTGAGGATAATCTTGTTATTAGATAACAGGTTGAATCTATTTTCGAAGATATATTAGCAATTGGATGACAAAAAGTTATCACAAAACCAAGGAGCATTCTTTACGAACAAAATGAACTCTCCAACAATTCGCATGGTGACATCTACAATGTTTTTGGTGTTCATTTATGACAATGCTCCATGATGAATAAGAATCTATTTATTCAAAACCACCTCTCATTGGCTGCCAAGACTTTGAATAATCTAGTTTTTGATATTAATATCATTTTAATCTGGAAATATTAATATTAATTATCTAGGACTTTAGATAAATTAAGTATTAAGTACGAATTATTTTTGTTTCCTTTTAAAGTGATTTAAATATTTATCCAACATTAAATAAATAACATTTCTAATTTGAATTTAACCTTCGTATATAAAATTTATTAACAACAAAAATTAAAGATTCTAATAAATAATAATAATCTAGAGAGAAACCATTTTTTTTCAGGAACCATCCCCTGTCCTAACAAAAATGACGGATGTCGATATCCTCATGGAGGACTCGTTGGATGGTGGTCCCCCTTCCGTTGGTTCTGGTGAGATACCGGTAGTGATTCCGAGTACTTCCGCTACAACGGGAACTGCAACCACGACTCCAGCTACAGTAAAAAAGGTAACTTTGTAAATATTTCCCCTTTCTAAACAAAGCTTCTAATTTAAGATAAAAAAAAAGGTTATGAATGGTATAAGTGTTTTTTGCTTCTTGATTTTTTTTAATTATGTGTGTGTCTCTAAAAAAAAGAAACATATTATTCCAAGGTGAAACGAATCTTAATTCATTTGAAAATTTGTTCCTGTGATATGGAATATGTGCCAAAAATCGGTTTAAATTTAGAATTAGCCGAAATGGTTCATTTACGATTTAAAAAGTAAGAGTATGGATTTTTGTTTGTTTTTTTTCTAGAAGTTAAACAAAAACAAGGTGGTGACCGGTTACATTTTGTATTCGAGGGAAGTGCGAAAATCGATCGTTCAGAATAATCCGGAATCGAATTTCGGCGAAATCAGTCGAATCGTCGGTAACGAATGGCGCTCTTTGGCCACCAGCGAAAAACAAGCTTGGGAGGAACGCGCCACGAAACTTAACGAAGAATCTAAAGCGGCGTTCGTTGAAGATCAATGTTCAAGTCCTATTGTAAATAATCCGGATCATGTAAGAGGAAAAAATAATAATTAATAATTTTTAATAACTTTTTTTTAAATAATAGATTTATGAATGTTTATGGGATAATTGCGATTTCCAATTTGAAGAGATTGCCGATTGTTTGGAACATTGCGTTAAGGATAAAGATAGCCAAGGGCACGTTCATTCGTATTTTCAAGTTAATCCTGATGCAGAATTGCATTGCCAGTGGAAGAATTGTTTGAGAAATAACAAGAAAAATGTCCAACCATTTCCAAATTTGGCTAGGTTGGCTCGTCACGTTCGCGATATGCATATAAATAAGGGCAATGGGAGGATTGTCCCATCTCATGAACGCAGCAAGTAAGTTTTGGGTAAAAACAAAAAGTTTTTTATAAGTACAAAGGCTTGTTTTAAAATAAACTAAAACTTGAACTAAAATTAGACCTAGAATTAGAAACATTTGGGTTTAATTGTGTCTCTTGAGTCTTGAGAAGTTTTGGTTTAATCAAAATATACAATAAACCTGGCGCTGAATAACAATTAAAACTAGAATTAACATTAGTACTGGCACTAGAACTATATAGAAGGTCTAGGTCTAGGGTTAGTTCTAATTTCTAGTTCCAATGTTATCTCTAGTTTTAGTTGTTATTCAACACCAGGTTGTAGTGTATATTTATTGAACTAAAACTAGAACTAATACTAGACCTAGAACTAGAAAGTTCCTGGTTTAGCCATGCGTCTGAAGAATATCTATTGTCCAAAAACGTCAATTTCGAAACTTGGGGATTTTTCATTTAGAACTAAAAATGCGCAATTGTTGGAACGAATTCGTTTATGGATTATGTCTTAGCAACGTATCACGAGCAATTTTTATTAAAATCATTCGCATCAACACTTTTTAATTTTCGAGATAAACATTATTTTGTTCTTAAAGGTGTCAAATTTGGAATATTTCGCATTTTAAATCCGCCAGGTTGACAATAATCATAGTTGGATAATAACCGCTTATGGATAACATTAATTTCGTTCATTAGCAACAATTTTCATCAACAAGATTTTTTCCTATCATTTTTAGTTCTTGAGTTATAATCAAATTTATTATCCAAAAACGTCAATTTCGAAACTTGGGGATTTTTCATTAAGAACTAAAAATACGAAATAGTTGGAACGAATTCGTTTATGGATTAAGTCTTAGCAATGTATCACGAGCAATTTTTATTAAAATCATTCGCATCAACACTTTTTAATTTTCGAGGTAAACATTATTTTGTTCTTAAAAGTGTCAAATTTTGAATTTTCGCATTTTAAATCCTCTAGGTTGGTAATAATTATAGTTGGATAATAACCGCTTATGGATAACATTAATTTCGTTCATTAGCAACAATTTTCATCAACCAGATTTTTTCCTATCATTTTTAGTTTTTGAATTATAATCAAATTTATTATCCAAAAACGTCAATTTCGAAATTTGGGGATTTTTCATTTAGAACTAAAAATGCGAAATAGTTGGAACGAAATCGTTTATGGATTAACTCTTAGCAACGTATCACGAGCAATTTTTATTAAAATTATTCGCATCAACATTTTTTAATTTTCGAGGTGAACATTATTTTGTTCTTAAAAGTGTCAAATTTTGAATTTTCGCATTTTAAATCCTCCAGGTTGGTAATAATTATAGTTGGATAATAACCGCTTATGGATAACATTAATTTCGTTCATTAGCAACAATTCTCATCAACCAGATTTTTTCCTATCATTTTTAGTTTTTGAGTTATAATCAAATTTATTATCCAAAAACGTCAATTTCGAAATTTGGGGATTTTTCGTTTATAATTAAAAATGCGAAATAGTTGGAACGAAATCGTTTATGGATTAAGCCTTAGCAATGTATCATAGCAATTTTTATTAAAATCATTCCCATCAATACTATTTAATTTTCGAGATAAATATTATTTTGTTGTTAAAAGTGCCAAATTTGAAATACTTCGCATTTTCTTTCTACGTCTTTTAAGACGACTATACCCGAATGTTTCTAATTCTATATTAGGTGTTAGTTCTAGTTTTAATTTAAGATAATTTTAATTCAATCAAAAAACAAACAATTTTCTTCTTTGTTACAAACAGAAATTTTATTGGAAACAGAATGCCTGTTTTACAACCTTGTGTAACGACCGCAGCGGAAATAGTAGCGGGTTCGTTGTATTTTTTCGAAAGAATTGTTGTTTATGTAGAATAAAAAAGAAATTAGAACGCATGTCGTTCGTTGAACTTTAAAAAGTACATTAATTAGGTTAAAAAAATCTATTTTTGTGTATTTTTTTTTCTTAAATGGATTTATTAGTAGATTTGTGCTTGGTTTTTTTATATTATTTTTTTGTTTTTCTTTTTCTTGTCGTGGTAGGAATTACAAGAGTTCAAGTAAGGCATCTTCCTCGATTGCTCGGCCACCCCAAACCGCAACCCCAACCCCTCGTGAGTTTTCCATTATTTTTTTATTTTATTAATTAAATTCATTTTGTGTGCTTTTTAAGTTGGATGAATGTTTTGTGGCGATTTCTTGTGCACGTAAAGCTTTATGAATGAGTTTTGAAGTGTTTTTGTGGTTTGTTGTGTTTAACATTTTTTTATTTTTTAATCATTTTGTGTCTAATTGTCATCGTTTTGTCGATTCTTCTTCGGACTTACAGCCGCTAGTAACACATTTAATGCGACCAATGCTGGGAATATTGCGACGTCAACTAGTTCAGGTAATGTTGAAGTTAAAAAGGACGTACTTAATCAAATTTTATTTTATCTAAAAATTATTTTTTTTTGGAAATTGTTGAACTAGTTGATTTATTTAAAAAAAAATATTTTTGTACTCATTTTATGTTTATTTGAATATCTAAAATTAACAAAATATGCTTTTTTATCATCATCTATCATCCTTTTTTTATTTATTGCTTCCAAGCTGCTTAATTATTTTTAAACCAACATCAAAATCCATTTAATTATTAACATATTTAAATACAACATCCAGGTTCACAAGCAAGTGCCCCTACATCACAAAAACAACAAGAACCGATTTTTATTTCGGTTCCACCTCGACCTCAACGAGTTCTCCATTCAGAAGCTTATATTAAGTAAGTTTTATATTGAATGATTCTTCTTTAATAATAATTTTTAATATTTATTCAGGTATATTGAGGGTTTAAACGCTGAAAATCGTTACATAAGCCCATGGGAGAAAACTTTAAATGCTACACAAGAAAACGTACCTCCACCCGATCCGGAAAAGTTACATTCCGTTGCCACGTGGTTAGGAAATAAAGCGAATCAACAAGAAAACGTTTTAAACGCTTTGTGGGCGTTAAGAAATCAATTGTTGAGGGATACATTGTGTCTTCAGAAGACTTTATAAACAAAAACAAAAACGTTTTTCCATTTTAATTATTTTATTTTAATTTTTAATGGTTATAATTAATTTACAGATCTTTATAAACTTAGAAATTACAATTTTGTGACTATTTATATACAAATATGGGGCGCACCCGATGCGCGTTAAGTAGTTAAGAGTTAAGAATAATGTTTTAAACTGAAAGTATTACGTATGTTTTCTGTGAAAAATGAGAAAAAGTAGGAGGGTAAGTAACTTCTTTTGTTTAATAGTAATAAATGAAAAATAAAAGGAACATAAATTTTAATTTTTTTTTAGCTCTTATCAACTTTATTCCAAAAGTATGAATTTCCGATCCAAAAAATCCTATCATTAATCTTCCTCAAAACTAATATGAAAGAAAATTAAAGAAATTAGAGACAAGAATTTTATGTTTAAATATGGATATATTAGGTGAGATATTCAATTTCTTTGTTTTTTATTTTTTATATTGTAACAAATTGCAAGGTAATAATATTTAATTACGAGGTCGCTTGCAAGCGAGGCAGTGGAGTTTTAACTTTGATTGTGGGCAACTGAGCCTTTGCAACCTAAAGATTGTTGTTAAAGCCGAGCTAATTGATTTTTAACTTCGACAGTTTGAGGTTAGGGATACTTCCAGCTGAGCTTCTGTAACCTCAAGATTGTTGTTAGAGCGGAAATCGCTTGCAACCGGGGCAGGAGAATCTTTATGACAGTTCAATCTTGATTGTTGGGAATACTTTCAGTTAAATACGTACAATTTCCAAGTCTATGTTAATACTGAGGTTGCTTGCGGCCGAGGCAGTTGATTTTTATCTTCTACAGTTTAACCTTGAGTGTAGAGAATAATTCCAACTAAGCTTCTGTAAACCCAATGGTCATTGTTAAGGCCGAGGTTGCTTGCGGCCGAGGCAGTAGATTTTTTAACTTCGACAGTTAAACCTTGATTGTTAGGAACACTTCCAGCTGAGCCTCTATAACCTCAGGATTGTTGATAAGGCCGACGCCGCTTGCGGCCGAGGCAAGAGAATCTTTATGACAGTTAAACTTAATTGTTGGGGATACTTACAGCTGAATATCTACAATTTCCAGGTTTTTATTAATGCCGAGGTTGTTTGCGGCCGAAGCAGTTAATTTTTAACTTCGACAGTTCAACCTTGATTGTTGGGAATACTTCTAGATCAGCCGCTATAAGCTCATGTTTGTTGTTAAGACCGAGATCGCTTGTGATTGGGGCAGCAGAATCCTTATGACAGTTTTCTTTATTTCCATGTCATTATTAATACCGAGATAGCTTGCAGCCGAGGTAGTTGATATTTATCTTCGACAATTTAACCTTGATTGTAGGGAATAATTCCAACTGAGCCTCTGCAACGTCAAGGTCGTTATTAAGGCCGAGGCAGTAGATTTTTAAACTTCGACAATTTAACCTTGATTGTTAGGAATACTTCCAGCTGAGCCTCTATAACCTCAAGATTGTTGTTAAGGCCGAGGTCGCTTGCGACCAAGGCAAGGGAATCTTTATGACAGTTAAACCTAATTGTTGGAAATACATACAGCTGAATCGCTACAATTTCCAGGTTTTTATTAACACCGAGGTCGTTTGCGGCCGAGGCAGTTATTTTTTAACTCCGACAGTTCAACCTTGATAGTTGGGTATTTTTCCAGTTGCGCCTCTGTAACCGCAAGATTGTTGTTAAGGCCGAGGTTGCTTGCGGTCGAGGCAGTGGTTTTATAACTTCTACAGTTCACCTTTGATTGTTGGGACCAAGGTAGATGAATATACAGTAAGACCTCCATAATATATAACAAAATTGAAAGTTCTAAAGAAAAAATTCGTTATATAGAAACTTCGTTATAAAGAATCTGTCTTTTTCTATGTTTAAAAACCTATAAAATAGTGGGTGTCTCAGCGAGACCGGTCATTAGACGTTTCCGGGGTTCTTGGCAAAATAAAAATTTAAGAATTCAGATTTAAGTATTATCAAATGCGTTCTCTTCGACTAAAATATTTTCAGATTTGTAGCACTTTCGGCTATATTGGAAGTCGCCACCTACTTTATTTTTTTTTAAATAGAACACTCAATATATTTTTACATATTTGGATTTGTCTATTTTCAAGGTTTATGAATAACTTTACTTTTTGCAATTTGGTTCGGCCGTTCTCGAGTTAATCGATTTTTTCTAAAAAAAATCTACTCTAGCAGACATTTGTTCAAAAGATCAGAAAACACTCGATTTTTGGGATATCAATTTAGGATTCAGAACATGCTTAAGCAACACGATGGAGTGTTTTTTGGTGCTGAGAACGGCTGTCTAGATCGTTTGGTCACTTCTTTGGCGTCTCATTTTATAACTTTTATACTCGATATGTCCTATACCTAACGTTAATAGTTTGGGAAATAATTAGGGTTTTCTCTAATTAGGGCAATTTCTCTTATTTTGGGAGGTGTACATAAAACATTTTTTTCAGGTGAATACATTTTGTGTTTTGACAGTTTCTAATTGTCAAATCAAATTTCTATTTTCAAGTGTTACGGTGTTACCAACTGCTACATACCTATTTCCCTACATTGTCAACATTTATTTCATTTAAAAAAAAAAAAAGGATAAAAACGCGAATTACAAAAAATAGCATAAAAAACACATTTCCTAAGATTTAAAGAACTCATTAATTATTATTATTTGAATTCGTGCATTTCAAGCGTATCTTACGAAACTTGTTTTTTAATATACTATTTCGTTATTGTTATCGATTTTAACTCATTTTAATACTAATATAGTAGAAACCACGAGAGCTGGCAGTGACAGATCGCTTAAAAATGATATGAATCAAGATATGGACGTACGACTTAGATTATTTCACCACGTACATTTAAATGTAGGTTGTTAGTAATGGAGGTTATATGTCAAACATTGTCAAAGATATTATTTAATGATTTTCCTTTCAAAGAAAACATTTTCGGCTTGTGAAATCCCTTAGAAGAACAGACGTACTTTTTCGACGTGGCCATTTGAATTGTACAGCAGACATATTAAACTAATGCTATCTCTTTCTAACACACATTACTCTCTAACTGTTTGAGAACTACGTATGGCATTTGTAAGAGCGGAAAACGATGATTTACTGCCCGCTCTCGTGGCGTCTACTATATTAAGGGAGCTAACAGGTAATTATTAGCTCACATGCATCAAATGACGTAAACAAGTGAGTCTTTGACAAGAACTCATTGAGAAGGCTTGTTTTCCATGGCACATTAGACTAAATATCCATATGATATATGTGCATTTTTCAAAAAACCTTAATTATCTCCAAAACTATTAATGTTAGGTATGGTACATATAGGATATAAAAGATGTAGAATGAGACACCGAAGACAACAAAGTAATAAAATATGGGGGTTGCCATTTAAAAAATTATGTTATGGTACTTCCAAATTTCGAAAAGTTAACATAGTAACGTGACCAAACGTTCTAGACAGCCGTTCTCGGCTCCAAAACATACTCCATCTTGTTGCTTAACTATCTTCTGAATTCTATAGTGATATCCCAAAAATCGAGTGTTTTCTGATTTTTTGAACAAATGTCTGCTGGAGCAGATTTTTCTAGAAAAATTCGAATAACTCGAGAACGGCCGAATCAAATTGCAAAAAGTAAAGTTATTCATAAACCTTGAAAACAGATTAATCCAAATATGTATAAATATACAGGATGTCCCATTTAGGCCCACTTTTACCACCTCTTGATAAATTTAAACGATAGATAAATTGGCGCTCTTAACCAATGAGAGCGCTTAAAACCGCTGTAACCATGGTAATTATCTATCAGATAAATTTATCAAGAGGTGGTAAAAGTGGGCCTTAAAAAAATAAGGAAATCTGAAAATATTTTAGTCGAAGAGAACGCAATTGATAATACTTAAGTTTGAATTCTCAAATTTTTATTTTGGCCAGAACCCGAGAAACGTCTAATGACTGGTTTCGCTGAGACACCTGCATAAGATTTGACACCGTTTTGCGCTAGAAGATTAATAACGGTGGTCTATGGAAACAACTTATTGAAGCTTTTATAGTACCAGATAAAATAATGTTCAATCTCATAATTGTTAAGTTGTCAACTGAGTGGAAATCAACCTCACACTTTAAGTTACGTTTAACGTAAGCAATAACTCCATCGTTTTGATTAAATCTACTATTTGAGTAATAAAGGTTGTAATTTGGTAGAAAGTAGTAGCCTGTGCACTCCACACTCCAAGTCTCAGTAAGAACTATAAATCAAAGACGCCGTCATATTGCGAGAGAAGTACTAAGTTGCTTATATTAATGTGCAAGACATTTAATTTAATTGGCAATTGAGAAAACTTTGCGTAAAAACTCTCTGCACAATCGACAACGCCTGTACCTACAATTTGATTGTCTAAATATTCGAACAGTTCAAAACTCATTATTAACAATCTAAAGATCGACTTCTAATTAATTAACAAACGATACTAAATCGGGACCGGTATTTAGCTATTTAAATCTATCTCACTTAAAATTCTTACTGCATTGATTCAGATTCCTGCCTGGCCATGATTTTCCCGTTCTTTACCCATACAAACTTATATCCTGCTACTCATGCCCTGGCCTTGGTAAGATTAAGTAGTTTTTTATTTAGTGATGTTAGATGCTCATTCAGTAAATCTCGCTTCTCTCGGGTTTTGAATTGGGCCACAAGCGATCAATTACCCCTATCTGCTGTGATATGAGTGATACCAAATTTTTGCAGTTTTCGCCCGGAACTATTTGTAATACATTTATTTCAAAGTTCTATTGGCCCTTTCTTCCTTTCCTCATCTAAACCTGACTACCAATCTCTTCCCATTCTCATCCCCTCTATCATCAGGTACTTTGGTAGTCCTTCTGCTACATATTTTGGGTTATACCTACTTTTGCTTATCTCCATCACTTTCTCTTGCATTTCCACATCTGTCCCTGCTCACCAGTTGTTTCCACATCTCAATCCCCTCTTTTCTTTTCCTGCTTACTTCTGTATACTTCCTGTACAATTCCTCCTTTTCTTGCTGCCCATAACGACCTTTTCCTCACCTGGTCTGCATATCCTCTAAGAGCCATTGCTCCTTCCATCCCCATATCCCCACCCCATACATCTCATAACGCTTTTTATCAATCTCACTTTCCAAATCCTTCCGCCTAAAATACCTTTCAAGGCAGTTGATTTTTAACTTTGACAATGTAACTTTTATTGTTGGGGATGCTTCCAGTTAAGCCTTTGCAACCTCAAGATTGTAATTAAAGGTGACAGTTAGGTGACAGATTTTATGACAGTTAAACCTAATTGTTTGATATGAAGACTCTTTTAGGTGGATCATTACAACTGATTGAATTTACAATTAAGTAAAAAAAGGTAAAATTAATTTGAGAATAAAATTTATTTGAACACTAAAAAAAAATATAAATAATATCTCACTTCAATGATTTTAATTTAACATCTATTTAACAAAATAAAACGCAAAATGGAAGACTATTCAACATAACAGATTTCCTCAACTTGTTCTTCTTGTCTTTTTATTTTGTTTGTATATTTCCTTTAATTATAATTGAGTAAAAATGCTATTTAATTGCTTCTTTTTTGAGGGAGCACTTGTAAATAAACTTCCTACAAAATAAAATTAATTTTAGTATTATAATTACAATAATTTCCTCAATACTTTACCAACAAATGCTTTCCCAGTATTATTTTGTTCATTAGATACTATTTTACAATTTTCTATTTCGTATATTTGAAATCCTAAGCACCGGAATTTCTCGTCAGTTTGATAAAGTTCATTTGAACCTGAAGCGAAATAAGGACGCCCAGAAAATGGGTTTACAAAGTCTGCCCAAAATCCAGCTTTGCGTAATTTATGACAAACATTTTTAGCTGCTAAAACAAACGTTTGCGCTAATTTCTCAGTTTCCAATTCGTTATTTTTCTTAACAATCGTCAAATCTGGTTTTAAAGATATAGTAATAACGGATAATTCAGAATTTTCTAAATTTCTATGTGGGAAAAGTTCACAAACAGTTTGTCGTAACACTTTCGGACATTCCTGTGCTCTACAAATAATACCAGCGTCAGATTCATCCTCAATTTCTTCCATTAAAAACGATCCTTCGTTATTAATCGTCGTGTACAGATCATACCAAGCGGGGCCTACATTCCCAGGCATAAAAAACGGGAAACTCGCTGAGGCTAATAATTCAAAATTAGGGTCCCTCCATGCTAAATGCGTGTTATCTACGTTTTTGGAAAGTTACATCATTAAAAATTGTCGTCATAAAGTGTGTATTTTTTTATCGTACCTTGAGATTTCCTAGATTTATTGACAACTTTAAAGGGCCCCTCTGCGTTAACGCTTTTTCTTGAAAATTCTCGCCTCAAAATCGACGTTAATTGACCGTGATTTTTTAGTACGGTATTTTTAATCGCTGCTAAACTGTGGATTGACATATTACAAGTGTAACAAACATCGCAGAATTTTGTAATGTTGATTCGGAAAACAGAAACAACGAGAATGACGGTTTTTGGAAAATCAATGACAGATGTCACTTTTTTTTTTAATTTTTGATTCGTAACTAATAACTAATAAAAGATAAATAAAATAACAATTAATTTGTAAATTGTTACGATATTATTGATTTATTTAATTATTTAATTTTTCGTTTTATTAAATTATTAAACGTTTAAAATTGTTGTTTTAATTTTTTTAAGGTTGGTACGGCAGTGTTGACAGTATGGAGTTGCGCAAGTGACCCAACGGCCACAATCCACTACAAACTTTTATCAGAATGTAAGTATTTTGGGTGGTTTACGTTAATTCGAAATAAAAATTGCCGTGGTGTATTCAAAAATCGTTCGAAATCGAACGATTACGCTCAACATCTGCTCATAATTATGTGGATCGTAGAGGCATTAAGGAAGCCATCTTGCTTTTTAACACCGTCCAACGGATGTAAACAGAAAAACTGTAACGGATTGAAGTTTAAAAAAGTGAGTTGCCGTAAAACCGCGTATTCAAATTACCTTTTTGAACGTTAATCTTTGTGAATGTTTCGTGGAAACGCGGTAACCGTTTAATCCGAGTCCCATTAAAAACGTTATTGGCGCCAAAATTAAATTAATTTCTTCAACCGTCGTTTTAAAACTAAGCAATTTCTTTTAAAATCCAGGTAAATAATCATGGCTGGAACAGAAGCGGTTGGAGACTTACTTTCTCGTTGGTCTTATGTTGTACATACACCCAGCGAGGAACCCGAACCATCAGAGTTACCCAGCACCGTGGACATGGCTGCTTTCAGCTCTGAATTAAACACAACACCTCCAAATAGCACCCAAGTTGAGGAATCATCAGATTCTGAAAGTGATTCAGACTCAGACACAAATGTAAGAAGATAAATTAATTTATTAATTTAGATTTTTAAAGGGAAATTTTAAATAATTTAATTTAATCAATGTGAAATGACCCAAGAAACACATTAAAAATGAAGAAAAAGTGTAGAATATACCAAAAAATCACATTAAAGTTTCAAGCAATGTTAACCTAACCTACAAATTGTTTATTTTATAGCCAAGCACAAAATTAATCTGATAAACTTAAAGTAAAGTTATTTTCACTAAACTAGGTGAGATTACAGATGAAACACCCTTTTTTTCTTAAGTTTTTGATGCATAAAGACTGACCACCTGTCATTAGATAGAGTGTGTGTCAATAGATTCTGTGTTAATACCAGAAACATTCAAGGTTCATGTTCTTTATTCTCTTTTCTTGTTTTTTGAGATAAATCCATCATGTTTGGACTCATTTTAACGTTTTTTTAATAAAGAACACATCATAAAAGAACACCATGAAGTTGTCCATTATATGATAACTAACTTCAGGTGTAAAATGTCAACCTCAATTTTGACATATAGTACCTTTTTTTTTTTCTATAATACTTGTCAATGTAAATTTTTTAGGGTTTCTGTTGGTATTATCTAGGACCCTTATAAAATTTATGTTGTTTTCCTAATTTTTAGTAACATTTTCAGTAACTAAATAGTTGAGGTTAACTAATAAATTTTTAGATAAATACAATTTTAACGAAGTACATATTTGTTGTAAAAACGTGCTACAAAGAAGTACATAAATAAACAACGTAAATAAATGACAAATAAACACCCTACAACATTTTTTATAAAGCTCAAACGTCAGTGTGGCATATTTATTTCAAAACATGATAAAACACAACTCCCTGTTAATTTTGCCAACTTTACAGGTATTATAGAAAAAAATAAACTATATTTGTAATCTTCATTAAAAATCCTTTAATGTGAGTACAAACACGACATATTTATCTTCAATATTAATGAAGTTATGGTAACTTCCGGTTAGAAATGTCAACCTTAATTTTGACATATTTGTGATCGTCGTCAAAAATCCTTTAAAATGAGCCCAAACATGATACGTTTAATTCCAATATTTATTTCAAAACATGATAAAACAAAACTCCCTGTTAATTTTGCCAACTTTACAACAATTTGACAGGTATTATAGAAAAAAAAAAGAACTATATTTGTAATCTTCATTAAAAATCCTTTAATGTGAGTACAAACACGACATATTTATCTTCAATATTAATGAAGTTATGGTCAACTTCCGGTTAGAAATGTCAACCTCAATTTTAACATATTTGTGATCGTCGTGAAAAATCGTTTAAAATAAGCCCAAACGTTTAATTTCAATATTACTCGAGATATAAGCAACTTCCGGTTTGAAATGTCAATGTCATTTTGATATATTCTTAATTTTATAAAATGTCTTAAAATTTGTCACAAAAACAAAAATATATTAAAAAAATTCAGAAATTAAGGTTGGTATTAATATTTAAAAATTAAGTTTCTATCTTCTTTGTTGCTAACTTCCGGTTTAATGTTTTTTTATTCTAACTTTTTTGTTTTTTGAGATAAGTGCATCATGTTTGGACTCATTTTAAAGGTTATTTTATAAAGATTACGAATATAATAATAAAATTAAAGTTGACATTAACACTTGAAAGTTTTTCTTAGTTGCGCGTCGAAACTCTTTCAAAAAACATCAAAATAATTTTTAGACGTGCGGCTAAACACGAATATTTCTAGGTTTAGTGTTAGTTCTGCTAACTAGCGCTACCTACCACTGTCACTAGAATTAGCACAAGAGCTAGAACTAGAAACATTTGGGTTTAGCCATCTTGAGAGACGTGAGGCTAAATCCGAATGTTTCTGGTTCTCAGTCTAGTGTTAGTTCTAGTGATAGTGCTAGTGTAGTAAAACTAGAAACATTCAGGTTTAAGGTGGGATTTCCTAAGCGCGTCTTACGCATGCCTTCGACGCTTAATCATCGATGCAAGCTAGTCAAATGTAATAGATTTGATGCGTTTTGAGTATTTGCGGGGACTTGCCGTATTTTATAGTATACGATTTATGTTTCAAAATGAGTTCAAAGTTTCATTTTACTTCTGAAGAAGATGAAAAATCAGTAGAATGTGTATCTAGATAGTGTTTAAACTGATCTATAACTTGGAAGCCTGCGACATTGGCAAATCCTCCTGCCCTAGCAATAAGGAACATGTTATTCAATTTCATGGTTATATATTTGATTTCTTTTCTGCAGATATAGTAGCATATTGTTTAAGCAGCATGTTACAATAATTATTGCATTAGTAGTTTCAAGTTTAGCTGTTATTGGAGCATTAAATATTCTGAATGTTTGCGAAAGTAAAGCAAATACATTTTCAGATACTCTTATCGCGTGGCATAATCGGTAATTAAAAATTGCTTTACAATGGTAGAAGGGTTTAGCTGCACGTCTCTCAAGACGACTAAACCAGAATATTTCTAGTTCTAGGTTTAGGTCTAGTTCTTTCCAATCAGTTTGTAGTTATTTGTTAGCACTATCTAGTCTTTTCCAAAGAGATTGTAATTTTTCCACCACTATCTAGCATTTTGGAAGCAGTAGGTACATTTTTTGGTGAACATATCTCTTTTTTCCAAGTAGTTATTAGCCTTTTCCAGCAGTACCAAACATTGTGGATGCAGTAGGTAGCTTGTTGGAAAGCATATCTCTTTTCCAAACAATTATTAAAGTCTTTGAAAGCAATAAGTACTCTTGGAAGCAGTATTCCGCCTGTCCAAGTAGGTCAAAACCTTTAGCAGCAGTGTTTAGCGTTCTGGAAGCAATAGGTATTATTTTGAAAACAGTATCTAGTCTCTTCCAAGTAAGCTGTGGTCTTTTTCTGCAATATCTAGCATTTTAGAGGCAGTAGGTAACTTTTTGAAATTGTATTTCCTCTTTCTAAGCAATTTGTAGTCTTTTACTAGCAGTATTTAATCTTCTGATAGCAGTAATTAGTCTTTTGCCAACAGTATCTCGCATTCAGGTATTTTTAGTTTATAGATAACGACATTTTAGTGTTTCACCCGAAAATATGCGTTTTAACCAAATGCGACTCACAAAAAGTAACGTCACGACGATACTTTAAAGTGATTTTTTGATAAATTTTATACTTATCTGTACCTTTTTTTTTAATTTGTAATGGGTCGATTTTTAAGCGACATGATGATTCTTGAATTAAACTTTATTTTTTTTTATTTTAATTTAGAACTCTGGTAGTGATGAATCGGAATCGTCGTCACACTCCGACTCGTCAAATTCAGACACTTCAACATCAAGTCAAGACTCAAATTCGAGACCACCATCCCCGGAATTCTCGGTGACGAGTACCCAAGCAAACAGCCTGCGCTTAACCATCAGTAAAGCTTGTACGAGTCCTACCGAGAAACCAAAACCATCCGAAACAAAGATTTTGTCGGCGAAGTGTCGTTCGTTATCGAGTAGTAGTGATTCCGATAGTGACTCGGATAAAAGTGACGCTTCACCAGCCGTTTGTAATAAAGAAACGGTTCCAAAACGGCCCCAACCAGTGCGGAAGTTACGGTCGCGACCCCCCGAACCTCCTCCTCCTCCGAGTAATGTAAAAAAAGTTGGTGTTAAAAAGGATCTTGGGACTGTAAATAATAAAAAGGAGAATGTTGCTGCTAAGAAAGTTAAGGGAAAAGGTGGAAATAAGGTAAGAATTATTTTATTTGATTTATTTTTATTGACTCATAGACATCACGACGCCTTTTAAAAGACTTTTCTATTTGAGTAATTATTTATTGGGGGGCGTTTGCGCCACAAGGGGTCGCTCGCGCTTACTCATTCATAGCGCGACACCAGACACCCAAGTCGCGCGACGCTTACTTGTGTCTGCTGCTGTGTAACTTGTGTAAGAGACTTCAGTAGGAAGCCGCGCTCCGTCCACTTCGGACGTAAAATAACACGTGTTGGATTTACTTACGTAAATAGTCGGAAATTCATAACAATAAATAAAGCGCAAAATTTTTTTTTTGTTCGCAATGGTGCGTCACGAAGTGTCCCCGGCCACAGTTTGTGACAGTGGGGCAATTGCCGAAGGGGTTTGGGAATATGTTAATCAGCTGGTTAAAACTTATTATAATCAGGATTCACAATTTCAGGTTAGAAATACTTCTTGATTTTAATGGTTTTTAATAGTTTTTTAAAGTCGTTTTGTGTGTAAGATGATTCCAATAAGATTATGAAGTTTCAAGATTATTCTAGAAACTTCTTGGTAACTTAAGATATTTTTAAACTTCTTTGAAGTTGTATTGATTGATTTATATCATGTTATTTTAGGGAGTTTCTCGGAATTTGCGATTTAAGTTTTTTTATAATTTTCGTAAATATTAGTTTCATCTAGAAATTATTTTGAATTAATTTTTTTTTATCTTTTCCTAATTTTTCCTTTCCTGTTTTCAGGTATTTTAAAATCATAATTGACTTTTGGCCAATTTAATAATCATTCTTTCAAGAGACAATATCCTTGGAAACTTGTATCCTAAACTGAAAATTTTTTAGGGAACTTTAATACGAAGATTTAGGAGAAGATAAAGAAATTTTAGCCACGATGATCTTAAAGGGTATTTAAATTTCGTTACTACTAATGAGAGATGTTGATTAACATTTAAAAAAAGAACTGATGTTTGAAATTATGTTTGAAAGCATATAAGAACCATGTTGTCAAGTACAACCACTTCTGATCAAATATCTCTCTGCGCTATCAGGAAATAGATTTTTTTAAATGGAAGCAACCACTGATTATTCGCTTATTAAATTCGTTATTTTTTTCTGATTACAAAAATATAGGGTTCGACAGGTCTATATCTTATTGTTTTAGAATAAAGCTTAAAATAAACTTTTTCTTTTAGTGTCGTCGAAGAAATTAAATTTACAGTTTCCTGTAAATTACGGTACTATAACTAAAAATTAAAAAAACATATTTTTCCAATCCAAAACAATGCAATCCATCAAATATTTCCGTATTAATAGTTGGTGTAATAAACATAATTATTTGTTTTTCAATATCAGAAAAATAATACCTATAATTTAAATACTGCCCTGTAATTTACAGGAAACTGTAAGTTTCATTTCTTCAACGACACTATTTCGGCGGCTAAAGATTAAAAAAACATATTTCTGATATTTGAAACAAATACATTTGTTGAACTATTTAATTTATATTTGTTTTACACAAAAGTTGGAATAGATTGCTTTATTTCACATTTTTTATTAATATTTAATATTATTATTAAATGACTTAATAAATTATTGATAGATGGCGCTCATATATATTTTTTTATTATTTTTTTAATTCAAATAAACATAGCAACATTTGTTTGTATTCAAAAATGTTTTGAAGTGTAAAATTAAAAATCCTATTTTTTAAGATGGATTACGAAAAGTTTAAAACGTTAGAATGTTACATATTAGAAAATAAAAATTTACAGGAAACTGTAAATTTAATTTCTTTGACGACACTAAAAAAACTTTATTTTTAGCTTTATTCTAAAACAATAAGAAATAGACCTATATAACCCCATATTTTTGTAATCAGAAAAAAATAACGAATTTAGTAAGCGAATAATCAGTGGTTGTTTCCATTTAAAAAAAGAATATTGTGATAATATCTCAAAATCAAAAACCGACAAAAATTTTTTGACTACGTCATCAAATTCTATGTAAAAAAGTGTCCATATAATGTCTTAGTTATAATACTCCACCTATAATAATAACCAAGATAATTACATTTGCGGGTTTTACGATATTTTCAATTTTGGCCTCTAGGGGAAAAACAAAAGACGATAGCGTTTTGAGGTTTTTGGCATTAGCAGTTTCTCGAAAAACGAGATCATGACATGTAAGCTACTTTTTTTCTAACTCTTATAGTTTTCGAGATAGCCTATTCGGACATCGAATTTGAACCACCCTGTACATACACATATGTATTATCATTCTCCAATAACGAATGATTTTAGTATGGAAATTACATTCAATGCTTCTTTATAAAATACATTCCTCCTTCACCTCCTCATCTTCTCCCTCTTTTGCCTCAATTTTAACATTTTCTGTCTCTACCGAAAATTCCAAGTTTACAGTTAAATATTCTTCTGCTGTTTTTACATTATCTATCCCCAGTTTTTTACTACATTTATGCAAATCGGTTAGTCTCGCGAGTGGCAATTTATCTTCAACGTCGTAGTCACTGTCAGTTGAACTTCCTTGATCCATCGGAAATGCAGCTTTGTTAAAACAATTTCTAATTCTTTCTGTGACCTTCTGTCACGCAGATTTAATAAAATACAAGCTCCCTACTATATCAATAGATTTTGATAATTTAGAATCTATTAAATCGCGATAATAAAATTTAAAATTGCGTATAATAGGTATAATACTTTTTTGTTTGATTTCCAGGTAACCAGTAAATCTTTGGAAGCGATATTTTTTAACATTATTTCTAAAACGCTACTTTTGTAACCACCTACCCGCTTTAAAGGTACTCACCCTCAATTTTTCTGCAATTTTCTTTGCTTTTTTCTTTACCAACGGTCCTGATAGGGCACTATTTTGATTTCTAATTTTCACAAACCATTCGAAACAGAATTTGTCGATTTTTGAATTACTCAAAAAGTTTTTCTCCGTTTTTATACCGACTCCAGGCTGCCATTTCATTCGAATATTTTCTTTATCTTTGACTATTTTTGCCACTTGTGGTTTCCCGATTTCAAAAGAAATTTATACTGGAAAATATAGGTTTGGGGTTGGTTCCAAGATTTTTGTCTGCTGAATGCTTTCACTGTATATGATATGGGTAGTAAACACTCAAACTAAGATCTCATTACAAACCTCACTAGGAATCAACCAAACATTTGTTATTACCATAAAATATAACACTTTACTACTAACCATGCGTAAATTGTAGATATTTATAGATTATTAGAGACGTCACATATCGGTTTAGTACACTTTTTACAATATGTTGTTGTTTTTCTCTTTTTGTACGAACAGAAAGAGCAATACTTTTGTTGGTTCTTCTTGTCACTGCTCATCGCTCTTATATCTTGGCTGCTATGAGCTTCCGGTTGTCTTTCCATACCAACATTTTTCTCAATTCTATCGTTAGTCTGTGTTGCTGCTAATCATTAAATTAATGGAGAGCTGGATGGCTTCTTGTCCAATTTGTAGCAATTGTGTACATAGACCACATAAGAACTTATACAAGCTATCTATTAATAATGGCAGACTAGAATAGAAAATAGGTGAATATGAGGATCAGGGAGTATATGTTGGAATTTTGTCAGATAAACGATTTATTGATTGGAAACACGATGTGGAGTCAGAAGAGACAAGATAAATGTACGTTTGTGGCGGAATAAAGAAATGCTAAGAGTATTATTGATTACTTCACATGCACCCGGAATCTCCAAAACAGAGTTGAGGAGGATAAAATTGAAAGTGTACAACTCGGTGGCAATCCTAATATTAACATATGCCAGTGAGTCATGGTCACTCCAAGATGTTCGATGGAGACTCTAAGAAGACGAAGAGGGATAGGATAAGAAATGAGGAAATAAGACTGGGAGTGGATCAAGAAGAGATAATCAGCAAAATAGAGAGAAATCAGCTAAACTGGTACGCCTACATAATTAGAATGGAGGATAACACAACAGTAAAAAAGGTACTTGAAGCAAAGAATAATGATAAAAGAAAGAGGGGAAGACTCTATCTAGCAGATGTAAGAGAATTAGCCAGGAACCGGATGGAGTGGAAGAGGTGGATGGAGGAATAGGAAAAAGATTTATCCGACGCCGTCAGGCAAAAGGATCAAAAGAAGAAGAAGGAGAACTACAGCAGGCAAATTGCTGTATTTATTCCTTTATTACTAACTATACGTAAAATGTACTCACCACTATTTAAAAAACCTTGTAGGAATATGGGAAACATAGAAATAGTCGTGTTAGAATTTAACCTTCGAAGGTCATCTTTAGGTATTTTCCTTTTCTATGTACACAAGTTTTACACATGATGATTCTAGGTTTAAAGTACATTTATTTGGGCCATAGTATTTGATAGAGGAGAGCTTATTTCGCGTTGCATTACATCTCAATGTGTTAATATCATCCAAAGTATAGCTTTTTCGAGATTTATATTAACCTAGTAATGCGTAATCTGATGATATCAGGCTTTCATTAGGAGTTTCCATAATCTGAAGATGCAGAATTAAACTCTCTCAACACATTAAATTAAATAAATCTTCTATTTCAATCAATTCATCTCGAACTACATTTCCAAAAAGTCTTTTAACTTTTCTCACTTCAACCTTAAAAATGTACTCCTTAGGATTCTTTTGGTCTTTTTATCCAGTTGTTGATAACCCAAAGTATTTTGAGTTGATGATGTAAGTTCAATATAATTTGACATTACACTAAAACCTCGATATAATGGATTAATACGGGGAATTGAACTAGAACTAACACTTGACCTAGAACTAGAAAGTTTCTGGTTTCAAAAAAAGTCGAAAAAAAAACATCAATAAGAAAGTTTTATCAGAATGAAATAATTAACACCATTATTGTAAAATGATCTGTACAAAAAGTAAAAATATTATTTGACTTTTAAACGTCAACTTGACAATTAAACGTCAACATTGCTAAAGAAAGTAGATATTAAAAAAAACACAAAAATCAGTTAATTTGATGGAAAAAATCTTTTGAAATATTAAATGTGGTGAAATATATTGATATATCATAAAAGTTATAAAACAAACCGTTACCGGTATATTCGATATTCATCAAAAGATTTCCAAAAATTTAGGTTGGTACGATTTTAGGGAAATGTGTTGTGGTTTCTAAACGTCAAAATAATGTTCAAAGATGACACTTGTATGTCATAATTATTTTTAAAAAAATCCAAAAATGTTATAAATAGAACAAGAAAAAAAATCATCAATAAGAAAATTGGATGGAAAATGGAAAACTAAAGGGTTTTCCAATAAGAGGTGTTATTTTGAATAGCCCGTTATGTATTTCGGTAGATGTCACTTTTGAAGCTGTCATTTTTTGACATTTGACAAGTAGAAAGTACGCCATTATTAGAAATGGAACGATACACGCTTCGTATTGAAATTATTAAAATTCACTATAAAAATGGTGAAATTTTGGCAGAGACGGTTCGTAAAACTCGAACATTTTTGGGTCGTCGTGAAGCACCTTGTCGGACCGCAATACAGAAATTGGTGGAAAAATTCGAGCTGTTGGGACAAGTTAGTGATGTGAAGAATAAAACCCGTGCACGTCGCTCAAGAACAGCCGAGAATATTGCTGCTGTAGCCGAAAGTGTTGAAGAAAACCCAGGTTTGTCCATTCCTCGTCGTTCTTTGGAATTAGGCATTCCACAAACGTCATTACACCGTATTTTGCATAAAGATTTGGGTCTTAAGGCTTATAAACTTCAGTTAACACAAGAACTCAAGCCGTCCGATCATCAACAACGTCGTATCTTTGCTGATTGGGTCGTTGAAATGCATGAAAATGATCCGGAATTCCATCGACAAATCATCTTGAGTGATGAGGCCCATTTCCACCTCGGTGGCTTCGTCAACAAGCAAAATTGTCGCATCTGGGGCTCGGAAAACCCAAGAGTTATTGTTGAAAAGCCTCTATCCTCAACGTGTGACTGTTTGGTGCGGTTTATGGTCCAGCGGAGTCATTGGACCTTACTTTTTCGAAAATGAGGCTGGACCAACATGGATTGCGCTATCGAGAGATGATTAATGATTTTTTATGGCCGGAATTGGATGGTATTGATGTGGACAACATTTACTTTCAACAAGACGGTGCTACGTGCCACACAAGCAACGAAACCATTGATCTTTTACGGGAAAAGTTTCCGGACCGTGTTATCTCTCGAAGAGGTGATCACAATTGGCCACCGAGATCTTGTGATTTAACACCTTGCGACTTCTTCCTTTGGGGCCACGTGAAAGAGAAGGTGTACGCCAACAGCCCAGCGTCGATTCAAGACCTCAAAGATGGAATTCGTGAGGCTATTGAGGACATAGGGCAGCCATTTTACAATTTGGTTATGGAAAATTTCATGGAAACGATATTGTCCTGTAAGCGTGGTCGTGGTGGTCATTTGCCTAATGTTATTTTTCACTATTAACGGCATACCTTCTTCTTTATAATGAAATAAACAGCATTATTGTAAAATGACCTGTACAAAAAGTAAAAATATTAAAGTAAAACTAGAATCATTCGGGTTTAGCCGTTTTTAGAGACGTGCGGTTAAACCCAAATGATTCTAGTTCTAGGTATAGTGTTAGTTCTGCTTAGTAACAGTGTTAGTGTAAAACTAGACTAACACTAGACCTACGACTAGAAACATTCGGATTTAGCCGTCTTGAGAGACGTGCGGCTAAACTCGAATGTTTCTAGTTTTAGGTCTAGTGTTAGTTCTAGTTTGACACTAGCAGTATCACTAGAACTAACACAAGACCTAGAACTAGAAACATTCAGGTTTAGTAACGATTAGTATTAGTAGAGATATATTATTTCATGGTACTTTAATTGAATCTAAAAATTTTGATTGTTTTAAAGAAATCTGATCCAATAAAAATTTAATGATATTGGCATAGAAAATGATTAAAAAGGTGGAGTAGATTACCATAAGTTAACACGTTTACAAGATTAACCTTTACTAACAACTATAACTACAGTTATCATAACGACACCGTATTGTTTTCTATTTTCTTGAAAGAGCGAATTCGTGTTGGACATCAAGATGTGTCCAATCCGCAAACTTGACATGATTATTTAATGATTATTCATTATTCATAACTTAACATTAAGGTATTTAAAAATTATATATATTTCGCTTTGAAAAGAAAATGTTTACGTTCTTTTTGTGAAATAACGATACCAAATAGAGATATTCAATACACACACATTTCGAGAGAGTTTCTCGGCTCGCACATGTGGTATAGGCGAGAGATGGAAACTTGTTCGTCGTGGCTACGATTGACCTTTTGCCGGCGGCCGAGCGGTTGCAATATTCTCGCGGTATGCGCGAAGCTGACATTTCAAAGGCGGGTCAATTGAATGATATACACGCGAGTAATTGCGAGCGTAACCCGCGGGTATCGTGCATTAAAACGGTTTTTAACCATACTCAAACGCACCCATATTTTATTTTAACAATCACATTAATGCAATTCATTTAAAACACACATCCGATTATTTATTTATTAAGCTTTTCATGATTATGTTTATGTGGGTGTATTAAATTGGGTAACGAGATTGTTGAAAAGTGTTGATAATTAAATAATTGATGTTGAGTCAAGGTTAAAAAAATGACGCTCTCCATCATTTTGTGTTTGTTACTCTTTGTATCGAATTTCAAAGTAAATACCGAGTAAACACGTTAGGTAATTGCTGTATATTGAGATTAACCTCGTGCAAAATAATAAATTATTCGAGTTTGCGGTGTGATGTTGTTATTGTTGTTATCGTAGGTGACACACGAGAATCGACGTTTTGAATAATAGAATGCGTTTTGTGTTACGTAAGCAAAATGAGATTATCTCGATTTTCTCGTCTCAATGTTAAACGATGTCAATCTTTTGTGATCATGCAATAAACATCCTTGACGAAAGTCAATTACAACCGGCTCGATTGTGCACAATTGAAGCCTTTTATTCCAATTCGTAAATAAAAATTTATTACTCCAATCTTTTTTTTTTGAACCACTCGTTGTTAAGATGAAGTCGGATAATTTTAGGTTTTTTTTAATTAAACTCACGAGTATTAGTTTCCAATTGGTTCATCGAAAGAGGTTGACCTTCAATGTCTTTAGCCCTCATCAATCCAAATAATCGTTTAGTTACAAAAAAAAGAAAGGCAAAAAAGTCGTGTAATTGATCTTTGCCATTTTTCCCATAACGTTTACTTCTTTTTCTTTATTTATTTTTATTTTCAAAAGTTCTGTGTCGTCCAATTAGTCTTCGGCTACGCCTCTTTGCTGCCGCTGTGTTTCTCGTGCCGTGAAGTTAAAAGATTTTACCAAGGACGTAATCTCTTTGATGAAATCTTCACCTTCACCTCTAAATAGGATATAAAAAAATTAAACGCTAAAATTTGTTGATTATTATCTAAACATCTTTAAATAATATTTTGATAAAACTATTTTTTTTTTCGAAATAAAACCTTGAATCCAATCCCTGCTTTCTTTACGGGGCAGCAATTAGTCTCGCAACCCAAGTTTTTTTCTCTTCGTTCTTCTTCTCCACTTCCTTCATTAATGCACCATCCCTTATCTTAACCGGTTAATCTTCGTTTCTCTTCGAGGAGAGTTTTTGACGTCAGAACTGCCGAACGAGCGCCCTAAATTGGTTGCTTCCTTCGTCGACGACGGCGACCGGAAGTGGCCCTGCGTGGTTCTCACGTCTCCGAATTCAATTCGAACAAGTATTTATCGTAATGCCCTCCTCCGTCTGAGGATTGTTTTCAAATTGATTTTTTTTTATTAAACAATAGGAGTAATGGTAATTATGAGAAATTTTATAAGGTCCATTAAAGTTGATTTTCTAATTTGATTTGTGATGAAGCGATGAAAGTTGGAAGTCGTAGATTTAATAGTCGCTAAACTCATCTGGCAATTTATTGACATTTCAAAGGCTCGATTTCACTCGTTATTTTTTATTATTCTAAGTTGAGAGCGAGTTATGTAAGCTGGTTGTGTTCGGTTAGTTGGTTTAATTGTTTTTTATTATTATTTTTTTACCTTTTTTTATTAATCTTACATTTTCTCTTTTATGGTATTATAAAATTATGAATCATTTGTGGTACCTTTATTGTTACAAGTCAAAACGGAAATATCAACGATTCAGCCAATCAACAAGCATTTTATTTTGATTCCTAGAAAATAACTTGGCCGTTCAAGATACGCAAAAATATCTTTATCGTATCAGATGAAGTAATCTCTTAATATATTTAAGTTGTAGATTTGAAAGAAGAGTATTTTAACTACATAATATATAAAAATTTGGCACAAATAGTTACGAAAAAATTGAAGACAACTGATTAGGATGAAAGAATTTAATGGCTAATTCTTGTGCCAATCAAGCTTATAGTGGATACTTGGAAAAATAAAACATAATGCGAAAAATGCCATAAAGAGCTTAAAATTTTTAAGCACACTTCCTTCCACACAAAATGACTTAAACTGTCATAATGTGGCTTTTCAGAAAATTATTTCTAGAAGAGGTCATTGCAAGAAATGAGAAACCATTTAGATGCTTTACACGCAGTGATATGTATAACGCAAGATGTTAGATTAAAAGTTGTGGTGGAAAGTCGAGTTGTGAGGTAGATGTTGCTAAAAACGGAGTTTTTGGGGATTGTGATGAATGAGAATTTATGAGAAATGTTTGACGTTTCGGATGCCATGTTGCAACCTTCTTTAAAAATAAGTTTGAAGTGTTCAAAATATGTCATAACTTGGCACTGTCGCTAGAATTAACAGTAGACTTAGAATTAACATTAGAATTAAAACGAATACTAGATCTAGAACTAAAATCATTCGGGTTTTGCCGTCTTAAAACGTCTCTTAAGACGGTTAAACCCAAATGTCTCTAGTTCTAATCTTCTTGCACTGTCACTAGAACTAACACTATAACTAGAATCATTTGGGTTTAGCTGCACGTCGCTAAAAACGGCTAAACCCGAATGATTCTAGTTCTAGGTATAGTGTTAGTTCTAGTTTTATTTTAATATTTCCAACTTTCTTATTGATGTTTTTTTTCATGTTCTATTTATAACCCTTTTTGATTTTTTTTATATAATTTTGACATACAAATGTCATCTTAACGTTTGAACATTATTTTGACGTTTAGAAACCACAAGACATTTCCCTAAAATCGTACCAACCTAAATTTTTTTAAATCTTTTGATGAATGTTGAATATTTCTTACCGGTTTTTTTTATAACTTTTATGATATATCAATATATTTCACCACATTTAATATTTCAAAGGATTTTTTCCATCAAATTAACTGATTTTTGTGGTTTTTTAATATCTACTTTCTTTAGTAATGTTGACGTTTAATTGTCAAGTTGACGTTTAAAAGTCAAATAATATTTTTACTTTTTGTATAGATCATTTTACAATAATGGTGTTAATTATTTCATTCTGAGAAATGTTATACTTTTCATCCAATTTTTTTGTTCTATTTATAACCCGTTTTGATTTTTTTTTAAATAATTTTGACATACAAATGTCATCTTAACGTTTGAACATTATTTTGACGTTTAGAAACCACAACACATTTCCCTAAAATCGTACCAACCTAAATTTTTGGAAATCTNGACGAGTTATGAGGTTGATGTTGGTAAAAACGGAGTTTTTGGGGATTGTGATGAATGAGAGAATTTATGAAAAATGTTTGACGTTTCGGATACCATGTTGTAACTTTCAACAGTAGACTTAGAATTAATATTAGAACTAAAACTAACACTATACCTAGAACTAGAATCATTTGGGTTTAGCCGCACGTCTCTAAAATTGCAAAACCCGAATGATTCTTAGTTCTAGGCACAGAGTAAGGCAGAGAGTTAGCTCACCGGGAAAATGATAGGCCATTCTCTATCTTTTATTATCACATCATAATACCGATATTTTCTCTTTGTCATCTTGATAGAAATCCTTAGTAGATGGCGTACATGTCGTTAGTAATAT